GTACGACCACTGATCATTGGTAGTCAAGTTGAATCAGAAGATAGTGATGGTCAGTCTGAAACTGAAGAAGAACTTAGTAACAAAGCCACCCCACACCTTCGAGAGTCTTTAATTGGGAGCATAAACAACTAAAAGTACTTCGTAAGTGTAGCTAAACAATATGGTACTTCTGGATTGTGTGTTCATAACTGTATGTGCATGTTTTCTCTTATGAATGAGTTTAAGCATTCCCAAATGATAAACAAGACAACAAAGAAAGTGATGGAGAGATGGATATTGAACTTGGAGCTTAGCGACCTCATCATTAACTGAGACATAACTTAGCAGCGTGCATAATAATGTACACAATAAATATTTTTAGCTTAAACATTGTTATAACCAAGTGTTTTCGGGATCATGCTGCTGTCCACTGCGACCACGACCAACTGCCAGAGATCTTTTTTGCTCTGCAAATGGTACGTACTGAAAATGTCTCATGCTCGCTCGCAGTTCCCCAGTCGACATGTTTGGTTTTATCTGTCTCGGCCCTTCTTTGAGGTTCGTCTCGCTTGTGGACGGAGGTACACTTCTCTGGCTGTGGTAAGAGTTGGGATGGGCTATCTTGCCGTTTCCTGCCGGAGTATAATGAGTGTTGGGAGAGTGTGTGCGGCCCATGCGGTGCGGGGGATTCGAGACTTGTCCATGTGACTGATGCTGGTGAGGATTCTGTGCGTATCCTGGTGAGTGGAGCACGTCGTACTCATGAGTTCTGCCTCCATAATGAGCATGGTTGGTACTCTGAGGCTCGGCCCCGTTTTTGGTTCCGCTTGATCGTCGCTTCTTTATGACGGCCGTAGAGTAGTGTGTGGAGGAGTCTGCCCCACCTCCACTGAGGAGATTGGGGTTGCTGGCATATACCCGACCACCGTTTGACCTCCCACTGGAATACACGTACCCAGCCTGCTCTGGAGGTGGATGTCCCGTACCTCCTGTTCCGTTCACACCTGACTGGGTGCCTGGGGAGTACTGACGAGACATCGAAGGAGGTGGACGTCTGCCGTGCGATCCAACTGGGATTCCATTGGCCACTTCGTAAGGCTGTGGCTGTGCAGGTCTCTGGTGGTGGTGGTGGTGGTAGCCAGTTGACTGGTCCTGCTGGTTCTGGTAGCAGGTGGTTATGAGACCGGAGACGTTGGAGGAGCTGAGGGAGGGATGTCGGGCGTGAGGATTGCTCTGCTGGTGTGGCGGGGTTGGGGACCTGCTGGAGGGAGCAGGTTGGGAAGGAGAATGCTGAGGCGACCAGGCAGACTGGGAGTGAGGTTTTGTCTGGCCAATGACCGATGCAGGAAGGGAGCGCTGACGCCCGTGCCCCGATGGGGAGCCACCGACACGACCCCCGGAGGGAACAGGACTGGGGAAGCTGTCCAGACTTCCCTGGTGGGAGTGGCTAGAATCATAGGGGGCGTGGTTTGGAGGAGATCGATCGCCGGTCCTAGTGTCAACCGGTTGAATGTGGGGGAGAACTTCTCCTCGATTTCGGCCACCGTCTGGTTGGCAGTTTCCCGGAGTCTCATCCGTAGTTTCTTCATCTCCACACCGATATCGCTCATCCCTTCATTATTTCCCCTGAGGGAAGACATGTCTGGAGTGCTAGCGTGGACCAGACTGTTTTTAGGGCTGCGGGATATGGAGCGTCGTTTCTTCTCCGGGAGTGGGGGGAGGTTGGCTGAGAGGAGTTTGTCGGTACTCTGGCTCTTTCTCTGAGGTGTCCGGGTCAGGGAATCAGTCGACTGCCACAGCACTGCGTTCAACTTGCTCATGTTGTTGCTACCAAAGAAGTTCTCGAGGACGTTGCTGTCTGAGCTATTGGCAGTGCCCGCTAAGGGGTCCTTAAGGTTGAAGGCGCTGGCGGACAGGCGGGTGATACTCGGGGGAGGGGAGAGCGGGGAGATTGGGGAAGTTGGTGATTCAGACGGACCCCTGGAAGTTCTTCTCAGCTGTCTGTGGCCGTGTGGAGTCGAGAAGTTGGCGTCCACGAACTTTTGTTCTGCTTCCAGCTGCTTTCGGTGTATCTCTCTGATCTCGTGGATGCCCTGTCCGAACCTTCCAGAGGTCCTGTAGAATCTCCTTATCACAGTGACGGAGATTGTCCTGCAGTGCGTGCATGCATGTGGAAATGAATTTAGTCAACGTGCTTAGAACACTTAATCAAATCCAGCAAAATTAAGCACGTGCAAGGACAGTCAAATTCCGCATACTCTCAAATGGGCGAAATTATTACATGAAACACCTGTAGCCCTGATGATCTCCAGACACACAGGGCATGTAAGTACTGTTCCCAAGCCATTTCTCTACCGAGTGTTGTGTGGGGTCATTACACCTGGGATTTGAAGGCTCTTGCACATGTCATACAGCAACAGGTCTGCAGAATGGCAGTAATTATTCCTATGTTTCATTCCTTCTTCCCACGCCCATCGACATCTCTTTACTCTGAGCATTTCGCACCATACTTAGCAATGGGTAGAGTGCATATATGGGCATTGAATTTAGCATTTGCTCCATTTTTGGACCTAACCTTCAGTAAGGAAAGCAAAACAGGAGTCACATAGACTGAGCAAGGATTACTAGGATAGCACATTCATAGCCCACAACTCCTTTCCGTATCACTTGCACACACTTAGCTATTGCAATTTTATAGGAAGAAATTTATTAGCACGCCGGTCTATTGATTATTCCCAGGCTAACAACTATCGTAGCCACAGCGTAAACATGCCCGCATGTGTAGCTAGCTGTTAACTCATATGCATATTCATGTTATGATGTAATGGAATTCACCAAGGAATGTGCTATCACGCACAAGTTTTCTGTCCATCACATGATTATGGGGAGGAGAAGCTGTCAGCTCCCACTGTATGCATGCATGAACTTCCTCGAATGCTGGATGTAGTACCGTCTCAGATACCAAAGGTGAGGTATGCCAGGAATCTTGTGAATGTTGTCAGAAACTAGATTCACCATTCTTCAACACGATACAGGTACACCTGAGCTACACGTTAGGGTGTAATAAGAATGCTGTTGTGGGATATCCTGGTGGCATACTCCTGGGTGGTATAATAGAATCTACATATAGCTACAAGTATGAAGTTACATTTGGCAATACACATCCCGCCCTCTACTACAGTACATGTAAGGGGAGGGAGAAGGATTTTAAACATAGACAAGGCTTTGTTATGATGCCAAAACGCAGTGTACGAGACTAGGAGCTTTGCAACGTCGGATGTTGTTGACAAAGAAAAGTCCAAGAGAACGAAGTGGAGAGTGGTCTACAAATTGAAACATATGCCCAATCCAAAAAGTGCTGTTAGTTTGGTACATAACCCATCTGGATGACCAACTGTTTCTTGGTAATTCCACCAAGGAAAGAAGCTCTTACATTGACAAATGTGTCCATATGGAGAACACAGCTTCGTTACTTGGTGTCAGATGCCATACCAAACCACCAAATCGGTGAGTATGAAGCACATGATATGCACACAGAGATGGTGTTAGGGTTTTCATGATTGCACAACACACAGAGACCTTCCAGAGAAACCAGACGCCCTATCACATACCGCTGACCAGGAAAACCTAGTTAATGGGCACGCTTCTTGCGAAGATGGTCAATGTATGTGTGACAGTGAAATAATCCTGGCAGCAGCATAATTCACATTCCATCGCCCGCCAGAACCTAGCACTGCTTCACACACTCACACACCCACAGGGCATATGTTTGGTTTGCAGTCTGAGAGAGCATGTGTGTGTATCTGCTGAGTTTCTGGTGTCTGCAGCTGGCAGTGGAATGGATTAGGAAATGAGGCCACTAAAATAAAACACCTTTTACACCCACTGAATCTGTTTTCATCTCTAGCATGAATATTTGTCACTTTCTGTAAAACTGCTGGCATGACTCTTGTTGTTACCAAAGGTATGTGGGGGTGAGTGGTAGGCAAAACAAACAACATGCTGCCACGGGGAGGTGTTGTCCTAGCCACTAGCCATGGTGAGTGAAGTGGTGGCAGTCAAAATAACTCTGCCCAGTCATGTGTGCCCCAGACTGACCCACTGCTAACACACCCTTCAATCTCACGCTGGTTTGTAGCTGCCCCCCTGAGCCCTACGAAGATCAGTTACGGGAAAAGAATTGTACTGATCCCTTTAGTAGAGTTACACGGTATTGAGGGCAGTATTCCATGAATCTGGGAGGATGCACTCCTGTTACACATTCACCCATTGCATTAGGCAAAAATCCCTTTGTAAATTTTGGTAAATCGTCTCATATAATGCAATGTACGAATGCACAGCAAAGGGCATTGCAATCTGATTCCACAATGGATTCTGCACTACTGGCAATGTGTGTAGCTACTCAGGAGGTTAAACATTATTGTCCCAATGCTTGGCTAGTCTATCTGCATCAGTGCTGCAAGCCCATCCTGACGTGTTGTTGTTTAGCTACGACACTCAAAACAAACATACTAGGTCCAGGAAAACGGTCATTCCAGAATTGCTTGCACATATTTGTTGCATCTGTGCGCCGTAGCCAAAGTACACCAACTATCTAGCACCGTAGACAAAACCGAGGCTCGTGTGAGCTAGTATGGACACACTGCAGGAGCCAGACCTCGGTTTCCTTGGCACCAATAATAAAAAGCAGAAGTAAGCCTACCTCTACGCTCGGACTCACCATTTCTTCCTTGATCCAGGCTACGGCCGTCTCGAGATGCACAATCCGTTCCCTGTCGTCCACGGGCCCTGCACTGAGGGAGTCGGCGGAATCGTGTCCGCTGTCTTCGTCCTGCGAGTCCACGGACAGGTCTTTCTCGGTCAGAGACATGACGGGAAGCTCCTTTGCTTTTAGTGCGCGGCGGAGAGAACGGGTTCAGGAACTACAGCAGGACACACGCCGGAGCTAGATAAAAAGCGCTATGCAGGCTTGCCGCGCCGAGCTAGCTCTCCTACGTATTTTCAAGACACGCCTACTTACTACCTTGGGTCTATTGCGCATGCGCACTTGTGTTTCATGGCTGGGATTACTGACACATTCCTTTCAGATGTTCACATCGGCACATTCCACACCCTCTCTGATCAGGTATATATACATATCTCTAAGACACAAACTCAGCTGAGATTCATAATTATAATCCCACAGGGAACACTTGTGACTAGATTCTCTTTCACTCTGCCAGTCCCGCAAGATGGCAGTGCTGCCAAGTCACAGGCTGAGCTGGACGAGGATGGAGACATGATTGTCGTTAGGCGGGCACAGCATGTCATACTCATTGGTAAGACTGGCTATAATGGAAGGGTGAAATCGTATTTACCCCCAACACATGTGTATGAGTGTCCCTCATACACTACAGAGCATGCAATGAGTACGTCGCTGGAGAAGGTTGGCCAGCAGGTGTGGAGGGGAGCTCTGCTAATGGTGGACTATCTCATTGGTTGGGGTAACTCTAGACTGGAGGATTCAGTGGTCTTGGAGCTGGGAGCTGGAACTGGGCTCGTCAGCATTGTCGCAGCATCAAAAGCCCACCACGTCTTCTGCACTGGTGTGTCATTGTTCGTGTCTAAGGTAAATGTGTGTCTAGTGCAATGTCTAGAGCATTAGTCCCGCGGCCAACTCCACTCAGTTTGGTTACGCTGCGATGGTGTCTTAATGCACGCTGGCCACTCATGTATCCCAGACACTGGGAAATCAGTGCTGGAGTTGTGCCAGAGAAATGTGGAGACCAACACCACCGCTGTGGGGGGTAGGAGTGGAAGCATTGCAGTCAGAGAGCTCGACTGGAGACATCCCTTCTCAGAGTCATCATGTGAGACACACTCTGCAATGCAAGAGTGTCAAAGTGTGGTGGGGTCTACTTTCCAGCTGCAGGATTTTGCTGGAGTCAGGAGGACATGGACTCTCTCTCCCACGTTTCACTGATACTGGCATCTGATGGTAGCTAACGTCATTAAGTGAATGTTCAATAGCTGACCTGAATATTCACAGCTGTCATGATTGGATGGTATTGAAACTCAAACTTCTCTCCTTCTGCAGTTGTGTATGACAATGACCTGACAGGTGCCTTCTTTAGCTGCTTGGCACGACTATATTCCCTCGTCTCAAAGCCTCCGACTGTTTTAGTTTCACTGGAAAAACGGTACAAACACTTCGAGAACTGAGCCAAGATTCCATTGGAGCTAATGTATACGTTCACTCGTAGATTGAACTTTTCGCTAGAAGATCTGGCAGTGGTAGGCCCCTACTATCAACACTTTACGAGATGTCTGGAGCATAGCTACACCACTAGTAAAGGAGAACTAGCGTTCCATGCTCAGCGGATTTCCACTGATTTTCCTCAATGCTCTAAATATGACAGAGTGAAAGAATTGGTATGTAAACTGGTGTTTCGATTACAGTATGCACTTTTCACTTTACGGAATCCTTATACTCAGGAAATATGGGAACTAAATGCCATTATATCTGACGAAACAATTTAATGTACTCATGATTTTATCAATGTTGGTTCACACGCTATTGTTTGTTCAAGAGAATATTTCATTGGTTGTACTGTGGAAGGAAGTCGAAGTAGGTTCACTGAGCTCGTCGTACAGGTCTCGGGCACGTTGCTCAGAACTTTCCAGCAGACGTGCTCGCTCACAGCGTCTGCGGACACATCTACACATTACCGTGTCCCTGATCCTCTGTTTACATGTCAGTCCCAACTGAAATGCCTTCTGGAGCAGTCTTCCTTGAGGATGTAGGTGGTACACTGGCTTGCACACGTGGAAGTACACGATGACCCCCCAAAACTGAAGAAACGCGGCTCCAACAAATATGTACACGTGATTGTGAGGTTGATCCTGTGTGTAGATAGTTACACTGGACCAAATGGAGAGGTTGAGAAGAAGCAGTGCTTCTATGACGTTGACCGAACGTTTCTTGTATATTCCACTGCCGTAGAAGTAGTTGGCTGAGAGGAGTAAGGTACAGACCCCAATGATCAGAAGCAAGAGAATGGTGTTGTTTGTCGGGAGTGAGACAGCGCAGAGGACAGCTACTCGAACGAAAAGCTGAAGTCCGACCCAGAATCGATACTCGTCCTTGTAGGGCCCGGTGTAGGCATCAAAGAGTGGCTTCAACTTGTTGAGCCAGTGAAACATCGACAAGGACGTCAGTCTTGGAAGATGCTTGATGAACAATAATGCCAGGGAGTACGGTAAGAGAACTACTCCGAAAACTATGGCAATTATGAAAAGAAGCATGTGTTTTCCATTGAAGTAGGGTTCGGAAGCATCGTAGAACCAGAGAAAATCGGACCCCACACTGGCTGCCGTAACACATGTCGCTATGGCACGTATTAGTTTTGCATAGGAAAGGAGGATGAGTGTTGCAAGAACCTTTGTCCCGTTGTTTTTCAACAGCCTCGTGACAAGTGTGGACGTGCGACTCAGCCAGATAAGGAGGCCTGTTATCAGCCAGATGTAGATGGGAAACACAAACTGAAGGAGAGTTTTGTCGAAAGTTGTCATACTGTTGTAAAAACAAGCCTGAATTCCGAGATCTAGGTTCAGCCAGGCTATGAAGGCCCGCAAGAAGATGTAGACTTTGTCGTCTTGCAATCTCAATGGAAAAAAGGTGGCCTGGCAGGCTTCAACTATGTTAGCATACAGTATAAACCCATTTATTGTTCCCTCGGTCACCGTGAAGTTGAATCCTATGAGAAACACTACAAGGAGTACTCCAGCTAGTGCAAAGCCACACGTCATCCCCAGTGCATCCAACACACCGTAATGGGTACAATTGATGCAGCGAGGTGTTCCAAACACAGTACTCAGTCCCGCATGACACCGTCCACAGAGTATACCGATCCGGTTGAGGTAGCACTGAGAGTCTTGCTCGATACTGTTCTGGTAGGCCTTGATGTACGTGTCACTTGGTTTGCAGTACAAACGAGGGCACCGATGTACAATGATGTTCCCCGATTCACCGGCATCGATTTCGGAATTGTTGGGAGTGTTATACCCAATCCATTGCCCAGATGGACGCTTGATTGTGTGACTCTCCGAGCTACATTCTATACTCATATTTTGTAACTTACTTATGCAGTTGCATGTGTAGGCATCAAGTACAAATCCGAGTGGGCATCTTGTAATTTGAAGCTCGACGACAGGGTATCCTACAGTGTAGGTCGACTCTGGGATATTCAGGGAGAGATTAGCGGAAAAGTTTTCTTTCTTTGAGTACACCGTGTAGGGCAGTGTCACGCAGCTATGGTTGACCTTTGCTGTTTCCTCATTGTAACCAAGGTGAATGGTGTGTGATTCTTCATTGAAAAAATGTGCAACGATTATTCCGCCTGTCTTCCCTTGTCGCTGTCCAACAACCGTTACATTTATAGTCAAAGATTCCCCGGGTGACTTGCGAAGATTCAGACTTTTACGGTTACACTGAGCAGTGTCGTTCTCACAGAAGCAGACCCTTACAGCATCTGACGAAATAGCCGTTGGATCTGTCTTATTGTAATTGAAGGTCTTGTTGAAAATTCTTCCTGGTTTTTCGCTCACGAGGTGTTTGTTTATCCACGGGATATTGTGCACCAGAAAGTAGCAGGAGTCTATGTGTCCTCCGTAGATAGCTTTTCCAGTGTTGGCTGTGTTGTCGTGAAGACACACGGTAATCGTCTTGAGTTTCGTGTCGCTGAGTAGAGTGCTGGTGTTGAACTGAAAGAAGCACAGTGGTATTGCAGTGGTGACCCCATACTCTGCATATATCCCTCCACCTGCATCAGTTGCAGTGTTGTCTTTTATCAAAAGAGTGGTGTTTTCAGTCAGGAACAGAATTGCATTGTCCGCCAGCAAAATCCCCCCTCCACGAACCGCTCTGTTTCTTGTGATGTTATTTGTTCCCCGGAAATTAAGGTTGCTGTGCACAGCCGCAATCCCAGAACAATTATTATCCGAAATGTCGCAGTTTTCTAGGATTACGTTTGGGTGCTCTTCCACATATAGAGCACCACTACCAATGCTGGGGTGGTTGTAAATGTTGTTGTTTTGAAAAACGCAAGAAGTGAATCTTGTTTCAAACTGGGGCATGGAGTGAAGGTCGCTGCCCCCAGCTCTGAACAACACAATACCTACAGCTATGCCACTACTCTGTTGCAACTTGTCGGTCTTGAGTACGTTGTTCTCGAATGTGGTTCCGCTGAATATGACCCCCACCTGGTTATTGGTGAGTTCTGCAGAGTCATACAGCCTCATGTGCACAGCCGACCAACCATCCTCCAGTTGATTGTTGGAAAACTGGGACTCAACGACTTCTAAAACTGTTTGGATTTCATTAGACCGTAGCGGCAACTGGTCATCAGTCGAATTGATGTAGATGGACACTTCCATGCCACTGCCCTTCTGATATGTGTCTCCTACGTAAGAATTGTTCAAGGTGACTTTATTGGAATTAGTCCGGTCCGGAAACGCTAGTATTTGGATTCCAAAATTTGAGCTTTCATTGATGCTACCGTACCCCGAATTGTTGGACAGGTTTACTTCATTTAGCTCAAAATGGATGACTCCAACGCGACAGCTCAGAATCAGATCCAACCCACCACCGTAAGAGACGGAAAATCCATCCATTATATCTGTTTTAATCAACTGGAAAACGGGAGACCCCTGGAGTGCAACTCTTGTTGTAGTGTAGCGCGATATTTCCTCCATGAATATCAGTGTCCAAACTCTCCCTTTTCCCCTTGTTGCCCTGCAGATGGCACCTTTCAATCGAGGAATTTCCATAAACCCCACCCCCCAGTATGCCATATCCATTGCTGTGACTAATACTTGAGTCTATAAGTCTGAAATGTGTAACGTCCACCAGCCATACAGTGGCGTACCATCTGTCTACATACGTCCTGTTGTGATCAGTACTCATTGTAGTGTAGAGTTCCTGCCCGCAATTTTCGATACTTAATCCCCTTATTTCCAGGTTTGAGACTCTGCTAAACACAAACCCTGCCTTGTGTCCTTGACAGTCAATCCTTGGTACGTCACTTTTCACGGGGCTATGGCCACACATGCTGTGGTTGGCTGTTGTTAAGATTAATCCTGAAGCTTTAGTCACCGTTATGTTGTCTCCATCGTCCAGCAAGTGTTCTCCCGGAAAGAAGAGAAATTTTCGAATTGTTGGCAAAGTACTCGGTCTTGTGCGCGACGTAGTAGCCCAGTGTGTGACAAAGGCTGCTAGAATTCTCTGAGCCGTTTTTAGGAACAACGTAGTAAGTTTTATCTCCACTTGATGTGGGAGCACTGAGCAATAGGCTGAGAGCTAGAAAGCAAAGTCCTAGCGTTAGCCGAGGCATCTTGTTTTCAAGTCCACCTCTACGACAAACTGTTGTGTCATTTCTGCAACTGAGTTTATATATTCACTGATTTTTCCGACGTTTTATCCTCCCCAAGGGATAAACTGTTTATTCTCTATACACACAAAACATACATACTATTAGGTCATGTGACACGTGTATGTTTATACGTCAGGAACTATGCATAAAAGTACCTACTAGTTTCTAGTTTCAGTGTTTTCTTAAGGAAAAGAAAACAAACTTTTAGAAAACTCTGGCAAGGGTATTGTATGTGTCTGTGATGGTAGCAGGGGTTTTCACACACTTTCGTTCACAATGAGGGGCTCGCGATAGTTAGGATTGGGCCACGTGCCATTGCTCAGATCATTCTCACCACTCTTCTCTTCCTCCTCCTCCGACGAATCATCACTGTCCCTTTTCTGAATTAGAACTGGCTGTATGACCATGCGCCCTCGTCTCCCTTGCCACAGAGGATCTTGACACAGGCTGCCACTTTTCAGAGGTCCAGCCCACTGTTTTGTGGGCATGGTAGGCCACTATGCCCAGAAACTTTACGAGAGCCAAGCCACCAAAGACAAAGGGGGCAATGTCCCTGTGCTGTGTATACTTGTCAAGTGTGAACATCATTGTGGCCGAGAAGAGGATGAGGTTGAGGTACATTAGGCTCTCCAGATACCCAACCAGTTTGTTGCGGTAGATGCCTGGTTGAATGGCAACCAGAAGAACAGCACAGACAACGATGATTAGTGTGAAGATGAGTGAAGGATTGCTATTGAAGTTTAGGGTAAACGAAGTGAAGAGAGCAATTCTCACAAGGAGTAGGAACCCAGTCCAGAAGTGGTACTTGTTCTTGTAGGGACCAGTGTAGGCATCCAGTAGAGGTTTGAGTCTCTGGATCCACCCACACATTCTGCTGTTGGGAGCTCTTCTCAGGCACTGAATGAAGGTAAGGATGAGGGCATAGAGGAGAGCCACACCTCCAGCCAAACATGCCACCACAAACAGTGTAATGTGCTTTCCATGAAGATAGTGGACATTGGCATCAAGCAGCCACACTGAAATGTTGACTTTCCCATCATGTGACTTGACATCGGTGAAAAATCCAACAGCAATAACAGTACGAATCAGTTTGCCAAATGAGAGGAGGAAAAGTGTGGCTAAAACCTTTACAGAATTCTTTCCAGCAAGTTTTGAGATCCTTCTAGATTTCCTGCTGAAGTAGACTATTCCTCCACTGATGATCCAAATGTATAGAGGGAAAATGAACTGTAGCCAAGTCTTCACGTAGGCATCCATGCCATCATAGAAACACACTGTGACTCCAAAGTCCAGATTCAGCCATGCAATGAAGGCAGTCCAGGGTCTAGCGTGAGTGTCAGAAGGGAAGAACAGGTCCTGGTTGACTTGTACAATGTTGGCATAGAAGATGAGTCCATTGAGTGTTCCTTCAGCTACAGTGAGGTTGAGCAGAGTCAGCAGAACCACCAGCAAGATTCCGGCCACAGCACACACTGCCGTCAGTCCAACGACTCTGAGGTACTTGACATACCTGTGAGGTGTACTGCAACCAGCCAGACACTGAGAAGACCCAAACCCCAAACTGCAGTTCTGTTTGCACTTCCCACAGAGAAGACCAGTTCTGTTCTTGGCACACTGCACATCTTGATCAAAGGATTTGTATGTTGTATTGATTTTCACACCACGGCGTCTTTCAGAGCAATACCCCAGTGGACAAAATTTGTGGTAGATAATCTGTGTCGTGTTGGGGAGAGGGTGCATTAGTGTTCTATATCCAATCCATACTGGCGGGTTGCTCTCTATCCACTCGGTGATGTATACTCGGGAACCAGCAGAACTTAGTAGAAAACGACATTCACCTTTTTGAGGAACGGATCCTAGAGGACACTTTTGAATAGCAAGATCAATAGTTGAGAAATATTTGTGTGACCCACTGTATTGGAAACTTCCCCCTGCTACCACGAGTTCCAGCTTTCCACTTATGTTTTCATTGCTTGAATAAAACTTATACTCTAATTTAGTACATTGTGTTGTGTTCTGGTCAGTTTCTTTGATAGTATCACTGATTGAACAGTTGCCTTTTTCGCAACTGATAAGAGCCTCCACAAGCCCTGGAGCTGGACCATTATTTTGCCCCAACAGCATTGCGTATACTTGTAATGTTGATCCAGGAACTATGGTAATATTATGGATGGTGTGGTTATGGAGACAGGCAGTTTCGTTATATGTCTCATTAGAGCAGAAACAGACAGAAGAAGGATTAGAGGAGATCGGAGAGTTACCCTTGGACTGTATATGAAAGGCCTCTTTGAAAATTTTCCTTGCTTCTTGTTTTGTGTAGTTCTGGGTAATATTCGTGTATATGATGCAGTGGTCTACCATTCCACCATATATCGCCTCACCTGCTAGTGCAGTGTTGTTGACAAGAGACACACGTGTGTCATTGAAAGTGATATGAGTATTGTTGACCTGAAAGAAGCAGTGGGGAACATCCTGGTCACATTCACTCTCAACATATATCCCTCCACCAAATTCCCCTGCCTTGTTCTCGGTGATATTGAGGAATGAATTATTATGCAGGAATATGATTGACCTTGAGCAGAGGACCATTCCACCACCTCTTACTCCAGTGTTGTTGTGAATGATATTTTCACCTCGCATGATCAGCAAACTCTGAATTGATACAATCCCACTGCAGTTATTGTTGACAAACATGCACCCTGAAAATGTTGCACTGTCAATCCCTTGAATGAACAGGACTCCATTGTGGGACTCTGCAGCATAGAGAGAGGTAGAAGAAGCACTCGGTTTTGGTATGTTGTCTCTGAATGTGCAGTTTGAAAACTCTACTTCGAGAAGAGGTCTCTTGTGTGGGACGTACACTGGGAGCTGGAAGTTGCGAATGTGTATTGCAACTCCTCCGTGTTGTGGTTCGTTGCTCTCTTTGATTTTTTGTTTCTCAAACTGACAGTAGTTGAAGGTCACTTTCGCTACCATACGCCACTCTGTTTCACGGAACCTTACATATACTCCAGCTCCATATATGGATTCATTCTCAAGAAAATGTGTACCATTCACTGTCAGGATTGGTATAATAGTGTCAGTTGTAATGTTTGTAATGAGACGGTTGCCTAGTTTTGCATTGTCATACCTATCACCTCCAAGTCTAAATGCGTTGAAGTAAAGTCCGCCACCAATATTTGCATTACCATATGCTATGGTACAGTTTATTATTGCTATCTGTATTAGCCACTGTTCGGAATAGCTTATGTACTCAATGGCCACGTTCCCTCCTGAACTGTAGCCCTCAGCTCTATTGTTCGTTACGTTCAATTTCTTCAGGGTTATGTTCATACTTATATTGCATGCAATGTGGATGAACAAGCCACTAGCATAAGGTTTGACATAATCATTAGAAGTGGTATAGCTCTGATCGCCGTACTGAAAGGTGGAGTTGTATATGATTACACTGCTTACGTGTCTGTTGTCGTAGTGTTTGTCATTGTAACAGTACAATGCCAGATTCTGCCCATGTACCCCTGTGCTGTTTTCAACCGTTGTATCACTGATGATGGAATTTCCGTACAAATTTGTCAGTTTTAGCCCAATTCCCACTGTGTTTGAGATGAATACATTTGACATACACAGATTTGTGATCTTGTACATTCCTATGGCATCGCACAATGATGGTTTTTCCTTGCTGCAATAACTGCACTCAAACACCTTAAGATTCTCAATTGTCAAGTTGGTCACGTATTCAAAATAAAATCCTGCTCCATTTGAGCTGTTACACCTTATAATCACATCACCACCTTCTTCACCCTTGAATGTCACATTTGAAACATCCCCGACAAAGATTTCTTTCCAGAGCTGATGCTCTCCAGCCAAAAAGATAAATGTTGCATCACTTGTGAAGTTTTTCACGGCATAGTACATCAGAGTATTGCAGGTATCTTGAGTATTACAAGGATCTGGACACCGTTCAGAGGCTGTTTCAGGTGTCACACAATACGTTTTAGGATAGCTTCCTTCAACAAAGAAGACAGCTATGAAGAAAACTATTAACATGGCACCGACAGGGCTCTGCATCTTTACTGCTAGCTCTGCTAGTGGTATGGTGCGTGACTTGGTTAATGTGAAAGAAACTGCATCCATTGGGACCATCAACACCAGTTCCTAAAGGATAACAAACATGCCTTTGGGGGTAGAAAAATTACCCGCGCAAAAATGTACAGCAGTACACAACGTCATTGAATCTATTGTACTTGCTGTTAGTAGACAAAAACACTGAAAGACTTTCGAGTTCTCTGTGCAGGGAAATATTTTTGCCACTAACATTCTGCTCCCCAGGTAGTTACTTGAGCTACTACCATAACCTTATCATGCCCTGACACATAAGCCACTGCCAGAACCACAAAAGTGTGCATTTAAAAAAGGCGTGGCTTAGGATCGTGCATGACTTGGTTCATGTGAAAGAAACTGCATCCATTGGGACCATCAACATCAGTTCCTAAAGAATAACAAACATGCTTTTGGGGGTAGAAAAAGTTACCCACACAAAAATTGCAAAAAATTTTTACACAGTGTTTTCTATAACACACAGCTAGGCACAAAGTTAAAAGTCAGGTTTGTGTGCTCTTTCTATTTCTTTGTATCTTCTGTTAGTAGACAAAACACTAAATATTCTGTTCGAGTTGTCTCTGCAGGAAAATATTCTTTATGTATTTTCATTGACAACGGGGGATTTCGCGATAGTTGGCATTGCTCACACGATGCCCAGTGGTGTTCTCTTCATCTTCGGACGAATCCTCACTCTCTCCCTTCTGTATCAGTAATGGTTCCACCATAAAATATTTCTTTGGCCACCATTCACACTTTTTATGCAGTTGAACCCACTCTTTGTTGACATGGTAAGTTATTATGCCCAGAAACTTTACCAGAACTAAACTACTGAAGACATGAACAGCAAAAGCTCTGTGTGGTGTGTTCTTACCAAGTGTGAACATCATTGTGGCTGAGAAGAAGATGAGGTTCAGGTACATTAGGCTCTCCAGATACCCAACCATTATGTTGCGGTAGATGCCTGGTTGAATGGCCACCACAAATATCAGAAGGAAAACACAGACAACAATGATCAAGGTGTAATTCATTACAGGGCCATCTTTAAAGTTAGCAGCAAAGGAAGTGAAGAGAGCAATTCTCACAAGAAGTAGGAACCCAGTCCAGAAGTGGTACTTGTTCTTGTAGGGACCAGTGTAGGCATCCAGTAGAGGTTTGAGTCTCTGGATCCACCCACACATTCTGCTGTTGGGAGCTCTTCTCAGGCACTGAATGAAGGTAAGGATGAGGGCATACAGGAGAGCCACACCTCCAGCCAAACATGCCACCACAAACAGTGTAATGTGTTTCCCATGAAGATAGTGGACATTGGCATCAAGCAGCCACACTGAAATGTTGACTTTCCCATCATGTGACTTGACATCGGTGAAAAATCCAACAGCAATAACAGTACGAATCAGTTTGCCAAATGAGAGGAGGAAAAGTGTGGCTAAAACCTTTACAGAATTCTTTCCAGCCAGTTTTGAGATCCTTCTAGATTTCCTGCTGAAGTAGACTATTCCTCCACTGATGATCCAAATGTATAGAGGGAAAATGAACTGTAGCCAAGTCTTCACGTAGGCATCCATGCCATCATAGAAACACACTGTGACTCCAAAGTCCAGATTCAGCCATGCAATGAAGGCAGTCCAGGGTCTAGCGTGAGTGTCAGAAGGGAAGAACAGGTCCAGGTTGACTTGTACAATGTTGGCATAGAAGATGAGTCCATTGAGTGTTCCTTCAGCTACAGTGAGGTTGAGCAGAGTCAGCAGAACCACCAGCAAGATTCCGGCCACAGCACACACTGCCGTCAGTCCAATGACTCTGAGGTACTTGACATACCTGTGAGGTGTACTGCAACCAGCCAGACACTGAGAAGACCCAAACCCCAAACTGTAGTTCTGTTTGCACTTCCCACAGAGAAGACCGGTTCTGTTCTTGGCACACTGCACGTCTTGATCAAATGATTTGTATGTTGTATTGATTTTTACACCATGGTGTCTTTCAGAGCAATACCCCAGTGGACATATTTGTGGTAGATGATCTGTGTCGTATTTGGGAGAGGGTGCATTGGAGTTCTATATCCAATCCACACTGGCGGATTGCTCTCTATCCACTTAGTGACATGTGTTGGGGAATGGGGAAGATTGAGTATAGAAAGACAGGCACCCTCTGAAGATATTTTGGATCCCAAAGGACACTTCTGAATAGTGAAATTAACGGCTGCATACTGCGTTTGGGACCACACTGTATTCAAAGCTTCCCCCAGCTACTACGAGTTCCAGCTTTCCACTTATGTTTTCAAGGCTTGAATAAACTGTATGTTCCAATCGAGTACATTGTGTGGTGTCCTGTTCTGTCTCTTCGATACTATTACTGGTTGAACAGGTGCCTTTGTCGCAGCCAATAAGAGTCTCCACGATGCCTGGGGCAGGGCCGTATCTCTGTCCCAACAACATAACATACACTTGTATCGTTGATCCAGGCACTATGGCCCTATTGATGGTTTGGTTACTAAGACAAGTAGTTTCGTTATATGTCTCATTAGAGCAGAAACAGACAGATGAGGATTAGATGAGATTGCAGAATTACCCTTGGACTGTATATGAAAGGTTTCTTTGAAAATTTTACTTGCTATGTCTTGTGTGTAGTTCTGGGTAATATTCGTGTATATGATGCAGTGGTCTACCATTCCACCATATATGGCCTCACCTGCTAGTGCAGTGTTGTTGATAAGGGACACACGTGTGTCATTGAAAATTGTATTAGTGTCATTGACTTGAAAAAAGCAGTGGGGAACATCCTGGTCACATTCACTCTCAACATATATCCCCCCACCAAATTCCTCTGCGCTGTTCTCAGAGATATTGAGGAGTGAATTATTACGAAGAAATATGATTGACCTTGAGCAGAGGACCATTCCACCACCTCTTACTCCAGTATTGTTGTGAATGATATTCTCACCTCTCATGATCAACAAACTCTGAATTGATACAATCCCACTGCACTTATTGTTGACAAACATGCACCCTGAAAATGTCGCACTGTCAATCCCTTGAATGAACAGGACTCCGTTGTGGGACTCTGCAGCATAGAGAGAGGTAGAAGAAGCATTCGGTTTTGGTATGTTGTCTCTGAATGTGCAGTTGAAAAACTCTATCTCAAGAAGTGGTCTTGTGTGTGGGACGTACACTGGGAGCTGGAAGTTGCGAATGTGTATTGCAACTCCTCCGTGTTGTGGTTCGTTGCTCTCTTTGATTTTTTGTTTCTCAAACTGACAGTAGTTAAAGGACACTTTCGCTACCATACGCCACTCTGTTTCACGGAACCTTACATACACTCCAGCTCCATATATGGATTCATTCTCAAGAAAATGTGTACCATTCACTGTCAGGATCGGTACGATTGTGTCAGTTGTAATGTTTGTTTTGGGACTATGGTACAGTTTATTATTGCTATCTGTATAAGCCACTGTTCGGAATAGCTTATGTACTCAATGGCCACGTTCCCTCCCGAACTTAAGCCCTCAGCTCTATTGTTCATTACCTTCAATTCCTTCAGGGTTATGTTCATACTTATATTGCATGCAATGTGGATGAACAAGCCACTAGCATAAGGGTGGACAAAATCATTAGAAGTGGTATTGCTCTGATCGCCGTACTGAAAGGTGGAGTTATATATGAGTACACTGCTTACGTCTCTGTTGTCGTAGTGTTTGTCATTGTAACAGTACAATGCCAGATTCTGCCCATGTACCCCTGTGCTGTTTTGAACCGTTGTATCACTGATGATGGAATTTCCGTACAAATTTGTCAGTCTCAGCCCAATTCCCATTGTGTTTGTGATGAATACATTTGACACACACAGATTTGTGATCTTGTACATTCCTATGGCATCACACAATAGAGGATATTTCGTGCTACACTTACTGCATTCACAAACCTTTAGATTCTCAATTGTCAAGTTGGTCATGAATTCAAAATAAAATCCTCCTCCATTTGAGCTGTTACACCTTATAATCACATCACCACCTTCTTCACCCTTGAATGTCACATTTGAAACATCCCCGACAAAGATATCTCTCCAGAGCTGATGCTCTCCAGCCAAAAAGATAAATGTTGCATCACTTGTTAAGTTTTTCACGGCATAGTACATCAGAGTATTGCAGGTTTCAGGTCTCACACAATACGTTTTAGGATAGCTTCCTTCAACAAAGAAGACAGCTATGAGGAAAACTATTAACATGGCACCGACAGGGCTCTGCATCTTTACTACTAGCTCTGCTAGTGGTATAGTGCGTGACTTGGTTCATGTGAAAGTAAACTGCATCCATTGGGACCATCAACATTAGTTACTAAACATGCCTTTGGGGGTAGACAAAGTTACCCACACAAAAATTTCCAAACCTTGAACAGCTATACACAATGTCATAGATGTCAGTTTGAATCTATTGTACTTGCTGTTAGTATACAAAACACACTGAAAGACTTTTGAGTTCTCTGTGCAGGGAAATATTTTTGCCACTAACATTCTACTCCCCAGGTAGTTACTTGAGCTACTACCATAACCTTATCATGCCCTGACACATAAGCCACTGCCAGAACCACAAAAGTGTGCATTTAAAAAAGGCGTGGCTTAGGATCGTGCATGACTTGGTTCATGTGAAAGAAACTGCATCCATTGGGACCATCAACATCAGTTCCTAAAGAATAACAAACATGCTTTTGGGGGTAGAAAAAGTTACCCACACAAAAATTGCAAAAAATTTTTACACAGTGTTTTCTATAACACACAGCTAGGCACAAAGTTAAAAGTCAGGTTTGTGTGCTCTTTCTATTTCTTTGTATCTTCTGTTAGTAGACAAAACACTAAATATTCTGTTCGAGTTGTCTCTGCAGGAAAATATTCTTTATGTATTTTCATTGACAACGGGGATTTCGCGATAGTTGGCATTGCTCACACGATGCCCAGTGGTGTTCTCTTCATCTTCGGACGAATCCTCACTCTCTCCCTTCTGTATCAGTAATTGTTCCACCAGTATACGTCCAACAAAATATTTCTTTGGGCACCATTTATGCAGTTGAACCCACTCTTTGTTGACATGGTATGCTAATATGCCCAGAAACTTTACCAGAACTAAACTACTGAAGACATGAACAGCAACAGCTCTGTGCGGTGTGTTCTTACCAAGTGTGAACATCATTGTGGCCGAGAAGAAGATGAGGTTGAGGTACATTAGGCTCTCCAGATACCCAACCATTTTGTTGCGGTAGATGCCTGGTTGAATGGCAACCACAAATATCAGAAGGAAAACACAGACAACAATGATCAAGGTGTAATTCATTACAGGGCCATCTTTAAAGTTAGCAGCAAAGGAAGTGAAGAGAGCAATTCTCACAAGCAGTAGGAACCCAGTCCAGAAGTGGTACTTGTTCTTGTAGGGACCAGTGTAGGCATCCAGTAGAGGTTTGAGTCTCTGGATCCACCCACACATTCTGCTGTTGGGAGCTCTTCTCAGGCACTGAATGAAGGTAAGGATGAGGGCATACAGGAGAGCCACACCTCCAGCCAAACATGCCACCACAAACAGTGTAATGTGTTTCCCATGAAGATAGTGGACATTGGCATCAAGCAGCCACACTGAAATGTTGACTTTCCCATCATGTGACTTGACATCGGTGAAAAATCCAACAGCAATAACAGTACGAATCAGTTTGCCAAATGAGAGGAGGAAAAGTGTGGCTAAAACCTTTACAGAATTCTTTCCAGCCAGTTTTGAGATCCTTCTAGATTTCCTGCTGAAGTAGACTATTCCTCCACTGATGATCCAAATGTATAGAGGGAAAATGAACTGTAGCCAAGTCTTCACGTAGGCATCCATGCCATCATAGAAACACACTGTGACTCCAAAGTCCAGATTCAGCCATGCAATGAAGGCAGTCCAGGGTCTAGCGTGAGTGTCAGAAGGGAAGAACAGGTCCAGGTTGACTTGTACAATGTTGGCATAGAAGATGAGTCCATTGAGTGTTCCTTCAGCCACAGTGAGGTTGAGCAGAGTCAGCAGAACCACCAGCAAGATTCCGGCCACAGCACACACTGCCGTCAGTCCAATGACTCTGAGGTACTTGACATACCTGTGAGGTGTACTGCAACCAGCCAGACACTGAGAAGACCCAAACCCCAAACTGTAGTTCTGTTTGCACTTCCCACAGAGAAGACCGGTTCTGTTCTTGGAACACTGCACATCTTGATCAAAGGATTTGTATGTTGTATTGATTTTCACACCATGGCGTCTTTCAGAGCAATACCCCAGTGGACAAAATTTGTGGTAGATGATCTGTGTCGTGTTGGGGAGAGGGTGCATTGGTGTTCTATATCCAATCCATACTGGCGGGTTGCTCTCTATCCACTCGGTGATGTATACTTGGGAATCAGCAGAACATGGTAGAAAACGACATTCACCTTTTTGAGGAACGGATCCTAGAGGACACTTCTGAATAGCAAGATCAATAGTTGAGAAATATTTGTGTGACCCACTGTATTGGAAACTTCCCCCTGCTACCACGAGTTCCCAGCTTTTCCACTTATGTTTTCATTGCTTGAATAAACCTTATACTCTAATTTAGTACAATGTGTTGTGTTCTGGTCAGTTTCTTTGATAGTATCACTGATTAAACAGGTACCTTTTTCGCAACTGATAAGAGCCTCCACAAGCCCTGGAGCTGGACCATTATTTTGCCCCAACAGCATTGTGTATACTTGTAATGTTGATCCAGGAACTATGGTAATATTATGGATGGTGTGGTTATGGAGACAGGCAGTTTCGTTATATGTCTCATTAGAGCAGAAACAGACAGAAGAAGGATTAGATGAGATCGGAGAGTTACCCTTGGACTGTATATGAAAGGCTTCTTTGAAAATTTTCCTTGCTTCTTGTTTTGTGTAGTTTTGGTTGATATTCATGTATATGATGCAGTGGTCTACCATTCCGCCATATATGGCCTCACCTGCTAGTGCAGTGTTGTTGACAAGGGACACACGTGTGTCATTGAAAGTGATATGAGTATTGTTTTGACCTGAAAAGAAAGCAGTGGGGAACTCCTGGTCACATTCACTCTCAACATATATCCCTCCACCAAATTCCTTTGCTCTGTTCTCAGAGATATTGAGGAGTGAATGATTACGAAGAAATATGATTGACCTTGAGCAGAGGACCATTCCACCACCTCTTACTCCAGTATTGTTGTGAATGATATTCTCACCTCTCATAATCAACAAACTCTGAATTGATACAATCCCACTGCAGTTATTGTTGACAAACATGCACCCTGAAATGTTGCACTGTCAATCCCTTGAATGAACAGGACTCCGTTGTGGGACTCTGCAGCATAGAGAGAGGTAGAAGAAGCACTCGGTTTTGGTATGTTGTCTCTGAATGTGCAGTTGGAAAAACTCTACTTCGAGAAGAGGTCTCTTGTGTGGGACGTACACTGGAAGCTGGAAGTTGCGAATGTGTATTGCAACTCCTCCGTGTTGTGGTTCGTGGCTCTCTTGATTTTTTGTTTCTCAAACTGACAGTAGTTGAAGGACACTTTCGCTACCATACGCCACTCTGTTTCACGGAACCTTACATACACTCCAGCTCCATATATGGATTCATTCTCAAGAAAATGTGTACCATTCACTGTCAGGATTGGTACGATGGTGTCAGTTGTAATGTTTGTAATGAGACGGTTGCCTAGTTTTCGCATCGTCATACCTACCACCTCCAAGTCTAAATGCGTTGAAGTAAAGTCCGCCACCAATATTTCCATTACCATATGCTATGGTACAGTTTATTATTGCTATCTGTATAAGCCACTGTTCGGAATAGCTTATGTACTCAATGGCCACGTTCCCTCCTGAACTGTAGCCCTCAGCTCTATTGTTCGTTACGTTCAATTTCTTCAGGGTTATGTTCATACTTATATTGCATGCAATGTGGATGAACAAGCCACTAGCATAAGGTTTGACATAATCATTAGAAGTGGTATAGCTCTGATCGCCGTACTGAAAGGTGGAGTTGTATATGATTACACTGCTTACGTGTCTGTTGTCGTAGTGTTTGTCATTGTAACAGTACAATGCCAGATTCTGCCCATGTACCCCTGTGCTGTTTTCAACCGTTGTATCACTGATGATGGAATTTCCGTACAAATTTGTCAGTTTCAGCCCCATTCCCATTGTGTTTGAGATGAATACATTTGACACACACAGATTTGTGATCTTGTACATTCCTATGGCATCACACAATAGAGGATATTTCGTGCTACACTTACTGCATTCACAAACCTTTAGATTCTCAATTGTCAAGTTGGTCATGAATTCAAAATAAAATCCTCCTCCATTTGAGCTGTTACACCTTATAATAGCATCACCAGCTTCTTCACCCTTGAATGTCACATTTGAAACATCCCCGACAATGATATCTGTCCAGAGCTGATGCTCTCCAGCCAAAAAGATAAATGTTGCATTACTTGTGAACTTTTTCACGGCATAGTACATCAGAGTATTGCAGGTATCTTGAGTATTACAAGGATCTGGACACCGTTCAGAGGCTGTTTCAGGTCTCACACAATACGTTTTAGGATAGCTTCCTTCAACAAAGAAGACAGCTATGAGGAAGAAAACTGATATGGCCATGGCACCAACAGGACTACTGCTAGCCTACTACCAGTGATTTATTGCTCATGTGAAAGGGAAGCGTGACACTTGGGACTATAGATAAAAAGTTTCCAAACGTACCCAATAGTGCCACTTGACAGTTCGGTTGTTTACCTTGCCATTGTCTTGCAACTTTATGGTTGTGCAATTAAGGTTGTTGTGAAGCTACATACACAAGAGAATTTTATCATACATAATGTACAGCTATGCGTCAGGCACACTTTCATAAATAGCTACTTCTAGCTAGTTCTATACTCTTGTGTTTATTCTCCTCTATGTTGGAGTTCTCTATTTTTATGGGCTGCTGTTGACAACAAGGGGTTCCCTATAGTTGGGAGTGAGCCACCTTTCATTGCTAACACCACCATGATGGTCATTGTTGTTCTCTTCCTCCTCTGACGAATCCTCACTCTCACTCTTCTGTATCAGTAATGGTTCCACCAGTATATGCGTCCATTGTGATCTCATTATTGGTCATGGAAACAGTTGATTCAAAATTATCACACAGTGTTTCTGGTGTCTTGTGTATGCAAGCACACTACTAACACACTCTACTTTCAGTATTTTCTACTTTGTCATTAGCTACGTTTATAGCCTAAAACGATGAAGGCTATCTCTATGTTGGAGTTCTTTTATGGGCTGCTGTTGACAACAAGGGGTTCCCTATAGTTGGGAGTGAGCCACCTTTCATTGCTAACACCACCATGATTGTCATTGTTGTTCTCTTCATCCTCGGATGAATCCTCACTCTCACTCTTCTGTATCAGTAATGGTTCCACCAGTATACGTCCATGTTTTCCTTTCTTTAAGCAACAAATGCCATTTTTCAGCGGTCCAGCCCACTGTTTATGGGCATGGTAGGCAACTATGCCCAGACACTTTACGAGAGCCAAGCCACCAAAGACAAAGGGAGCAATGTCCCTGTGCTGTGCATACTTGTCAAGTGTGAACATCATTGTGGCCGAGAAGAGGATGAGGTTGAGGTACATTAGCTCTCCAGATACCCAACCAGTTTGTTGCGGTAGATGCCTGGTTGAATGGCCACCAGAAGAACAGCACAGACAACGATGATTAGTGTGAAGATGAGTGAAGGATTGCTATTGAAGTTTAGGGTAAACGAAGTGAAGAGAGCAATTCTCACAAGGAGTAGGAACCCAGTCCAGAAGTGGTACTTGTTCTTGTAGGGACCAGTGTAGGCATCCAGTAGAGGTTTGAGTCTCTGGATCCACCCACACATTCTGCTGTTGGGAGCTCTTCTCAGGCACTGAATGAAGGTAAGGTGAGGGCTAGAGGAGAGCCACACTCCAGCCAAACATGCCACCACAAACAGTGTAATGTGCTTTCCATGAAGATAGTGGACATTGGCATCAAGCAGCCACACTGAAATGTTGACTTTCCCATCATGTGACTTGACATCGGTGAAAAATCCACGCAATAACAGTACGAATCAGTTGCCAAATGAGAGGAGGAAAAGTGTGGCTAAAACCTTTACAGAATTCTTTTCCAGCCAGTTTTGAGATCCTCTCTATGATTTCCTGCTGAGTAAACTATTTCCTCCACTTGATGATCCAAATGTATAGAGGGAAATGAACTGTAGGCAAGTCTTCACGTAGGCATCCATGCCATCATAGAAACACACTGTGACTCCAAGTCCGATTCAGCCCATGCAATGAAGGCAGTCCAGGTCTAGCGTGAGTGTCAGAAGGGAAGAACAGGTCCATGTTGACTTGTACAATGTTGGCATAGGAAGATGAGTCCATTGAGTGTTCCTTCAGCCACAGTGAGGTTGAGCAGAGTCAGCAGAACCACCAGCAAGATTCCAGCCACAGCACACACTGCCGTCAGTCCAATGACTCTGAGGTACCGGACATACCTGTGAGGTGTACTGCAACCAGCCAGACACTGAGAAGACCCAAACCCCAAACTGCAGCTCTGTTTGCACTTCCCACAGAGAAGACCAGTTCTGTTCTTGGCACACTGCACATCTTGATCAAATGATTTGTATGTTGTATTGATTTTCACACCATGGTGTCTTTCAGAGCAATACCCCAGTGGGCAAAATTTGTGGTAGATGATCTGTGTCGTGTTGGGGAGAGGGTGCATTGGTGTTCTATATCCAATCCATACTGGCGGGTTGCTTTTGCTTTCTATCCAGCGTGTAATATATGTGGGAGAGTCAGGTGGACTAAGCAAGTAGTTACATGTCCCAGTTTTGGGATCAAGTGCAGATCCGAGTGGGCATTTCTCTATTATAAGATGAATATTTGCCGTATCATACTTCAATTGCCCCCTGCTGTACTCAAAGTTGCTTCCTTTCAAAACTAGTGTCAGTGTTCCATTAATGTTGTCAGTGCCAGAGTGTATTGTGTACTCCACTTCTGTGCATATGCTGGTGTTTTGTATCGTTTCTTTAATGTCTTGGTATTCACTTAACCAACAATCATTGTATTGTCCACAATCAATGTAGGCCTTCACAATTCCTGGGGCAGTACCAAATCTTTGACCAAACAGCATCACATGCATTCTAATTGTCGATCCAGGTACTATGGTGCTGGTGATAGTTTGATTTTTCAGGCAAGTGTCATTGACAGTGATGAAGGTCTCATTAGAGCAGAAACATATTGAAGTAGGATTTGATGAAATTGCAGAATTTCCCTGCGACTTTATGTGAAATATTTCATTAAACCTTTTCGTAGGCCCTTCATAGTCAATGTTTTGACATATGATGCAGTGGTCTACCATTCCACCATATATGGCCTCACCTGCTAGTGCAGTGTTGTTGACAAGAGACACACGTGTGTCATTAAAAATTGTACTATCATTGACTTGAAAGAAGCAGTGAGGAACATCCTGGTCACATTCACTCTCAACATATATCCCTCCACCAAACTCCTTCGCTCTGTTCTCAGAGATATTGAGAGTTAAATTTGCATGCAGGAATATGATCGACCTTGAGCAGAGGACCATTCCACCACCTCTTACTCCAGTATTGTTGTGAATGATATTTTCACCTCTCATATTTAACAAACTCTGTACTAAAACAATCCCACTGCAATTATTGTTGACAAACATGCACCCTGATAATGTCGCACTCTCAATCCCTTGAACGAACAGGACTCCGTTGTGTGTCTCTTCGGTGTGGAAAGAGGCAGGGAAAGCCTTCGTAGTTGGTGCGTTGTTGGTGAAGTTACAGTTTGAAAACTCTATCTCAAGAAGAGGTCTTGTGTGTGGGACGTACACTGGGAGCTGGAAGTTGCGAATGTGTATTGCAACTCCTCCGTGTTCAGCTTCATCCTGATGGAGTCTCTGCTTCTCAAAGTGACAATATTCAAAGGATATTTTTGCCACCTCGGGCCATTTCGTTTCGTTGAACCTTACGTAGACCCCTGCTCCAAATACCGATTCATTCTCTAGGAAACGAGTCCCCCTCACTGTTAGAATTTGCACAGTATTTGCCGACGGTTGATTCCTAACATTATCCGGCACACTATCATTCCAACCATTTGGGATTCTCAACTACCGAGGTCATAAACAGGTTCGTTACCCTGAACATTTGCACGGCTGAACAATAGGTAGTTTTGATGCAGTACCTGCAGTCAGTAACTTTTAGTCCCTCAATTGTCAAGTTCGAGATGTAGCTGAAATCCAACCCAGCCTGACTCCGACTGTTGCACTTTACAGTAACATCACTTCTGTCTCCATTTTGCTTACTCTGAAATTTCAGGTTGGACACATTCTGAATGTATATCACTTGCTGTAGCTGGTGTTCTCCGGGGAAAAACACAAATGTCGTATCATCCAGGCTTTTGCTAAATGTTCCATTTGCAACGTAATGCATCAGAGTATGGCATCTGTCTGTAGGACAGCAAGAATCTGGGCAATCTTGGGACTCTTCAGGATTCGCACAATAAGTATTTCCTTGCTGATTAGCACAGCCTTTTAGTTGCACCTCACCAAAGGACAGTGCCATGGTGAAGAAGGCAATCAATGCTAAGTTTTGTTTCATCTTTAGTGGTGATTTGCTGCTTGAAAATGCACATTGTGCTGCCAGCATCATGGTTTTATAGGAGCAAAAGCTGGGCGGAAATGTTACGTCGTGTATCACGTGATTTTTCGTGGGAGTGTAATCGTCACGCACGTGATGCTTGGGTGCGCAATAATTTGAGTTGTGCAACTAAACATCGACCTAGTTTATCGACCTAGCTGGAGTGTCGAGCGTGTTTATTCGGTTTTTGGGGCCGTTGCAATTTGTGTGGAGGCTGTACGTGCAATTAACTAGTCGCTCCCTGAGATCTAACCCGTGAATCGAGTCGTCGGGCGTGTCAGAGTCGGTGTTATGAGCACCCGCCAAGATCGCGGCGGTGGCAGGCCAGGGAAGAGAACCCGCTACGACCAAAGGCGGGGCTACGACCCGGGATCCGGTCCAGGAAGACAGCTGGGCGGCGGCGGGAGCTCTGGGCGCTACAACAGCGGGAACGGTCATGACCCTCCCCCGCGTTTCGCACACAGACATCACCGCAGCAGCGACTCCGGCTCCCGAGACGGTGGCTACTACTATGACGAGGGAGGAGGCGGCGAGAGGGGAGGAGGGAGGAGAGGCGGTGGCTACTCGGGGAAGGGGAGGTATGAGAGGGAGTGGGGGGGAGGCGGCAGCGGTGGAGGTGGCAGAGGGTCTATTCCCAAGTCTACTTATGGTAAGCAACCTCTGTAGGAATGTATATAGATGCAATAAAAATTAGCGTTGTAGGACAAACCAGAGTGTAGAGCATTCACATTCAATATGTGCTTACCTTTTATAATGTGTTTGGTTTAGATGTGTTCGGGTATGTGTGGAATGCGAGTAAATTGTCTGCATAATTAGCGTTAAATCTCAGGGGACTGGCCGTCAGGCCTTGGGGAATAACTGCGCCCTTTGCTCCATGTAATATGTACACTGCTCGGCCTACACGCTCTCTCCCTACTTCTCCCCCCTTATGTTCCCATGCATTCATACTATAAACCATAAACCATGCTATAAACCATTATAGGCATAGAATCAGCCCCCTCCCAGAATTTGATGGTGTCCACCATCTGCATATAGATTGCATGGACTGAGACATATCTAATACTTCCTTCTCGGGGGCCCCTTTCTCCCCATCAGCAAACGTAGTTCCTCTAACACTCCCCCATTGAATCCCACTCTTTTTTCCTTGGAAAAGGAGTTGTCCTGGATGTTGCTTTGCCTTTGCCTTGAGACCTCATTGAACTATGCCTAAGATCGTTGGAACTCTCTACCTCTCCTTGTCTCTTCTCCCCCCCCCACTCTCAGATGACGTGGTCCAGGTGCTGGGGAAACTGGAGACCTCTACTGACATCGACGGAAGCTGCCGATTGGCCCACCAACTGCAGGACATTCTGGAGGCTGCTGAGTACAGAACAACACAGGTTAATTTCCCTCGTTAGGTTGATGATACATACAGACCACTTGGGAGAGCAGTATGAAAGGTGGCACCCTTGGTATGCAAATCAGGCTAACGTGTACATATGAAATGCAAGTGTGCAGGCACTGTAGTAGCTGCAAGTATAGGGCTATGTTCAATGCATGTTCTGACCGCATGTTCCAGGTTTATATGTTTATTTGACCACGTGTGTTTCTCTGTAGACGATTGCTAGGAATGTGGAAGATATCCTCAGATCACTAGAGAACATCATTTTCAACTGGTAAGTTTAGTTTAACTATACATCTGTCGTGTATCTTGGTTTCCGTTCCCTTCGTGTTCGTATGTTAGGCCACACCTTCCACAAGGACACATATCCACCGTTTATTTCCCCCATGAACAGCTTCTTGCATGCGCATGTGCATTAGACCTCACTAATACGGACACTTTCATCTGTGCCTTGTTTACTTCTATCACATCCAGTGTCGAAGATGGAGAAAAGGAGTTGTGTGTATGTCTGGAGCAGTCCATAGGTCACATTGGCAAGTGCCTCGGCCGCGACATACAGAGGTATGTTAGGGAATGGTGTGTGATAATAGTTTGTGTGCGTATGATATAATTACAATAGCTGTTCATCTTATTAGTCAGTGTAGGAGTGACCATATCTCTATCGCATACTTACATTTGTTCATTAATTAAAATACGCCTGCGCGTACCGTAGGATGCAGAAAGAACGCTACTGTAATGGCGAGGAACCGTGATTCTGAGAGTTTCGAGTTTTGTATTACATTCGAATGCCATATGCACAATTTAAATAGTACTTGTATTCACGATACATGTTAAATGGTAGTCCTCTGAACTTTCACACCTTGCCCTTCTTTGCTCTCTCTCCCCCCTTTGTCCCGCCCTCAGGGTGTATGAGTGGGTGTTCACTCACGCCCATTCTGAGGACCTGGCTGACCCAGTCAAGGCCGTCTTCATCAGAGGACTCCACGAAGTTCTCTCTTCTGACTCGGCCAAGTCTCAAGGACCTCTCATGCAGGTCTGTCTTCTGTGCAACAACCTCAGAACCCTTGGCTTCAGGACACCTCAGTTCCCTTCCTCCCTCCCTCCCTCATTCTTTCTCCTCCTTTGTGCACACTCCTTACTCTCCCCTCTCTCCCTCACTCCGCTCATTCATTCTTTCTTCTCTTTCTCCTCCCCTCCCTCCCCTCCCTCTCCTCCTCTCACTCATTCTTTCTCGTCTTTCCTCCCTCCTCTCCTTCCCCTCCCTCCCCTCCCTCCCCTCCCTCCCCTCTCCACCCTCAGTACACAGCTGAGAATCTCCAGATGGTATTAGAGGTGGCAGAGTCACCAGCTCTTCTGGAGGCAGTCGTCAAGAGTATCACAACTCTCTCTCAAACCTCTCCACAATTTTTCGCCCAGCACTTCAAAGTGAGTACAGCTAGTATGTATATTCTTTTATGTATGCCTGTGTATTAGCCACATGTGCAGTACATAGTTGATGTTGGTGTTCTTGGGAAAGTTTGATGCTTCCTAACCAGGACCCAAAGCGGCGAGTGCAAATTGTTACACATAAGTGCACAATCGTTGTAGCATATACGGCCCACTCTCCCATGCTCTGGGAAAAGAAAAAGTCTAAGGCTAGGTTCATAATTGGCCCGTTGCGCTGTGCCACGTTGCCGTGCCGCGAGGATAGACTCCATTTCTATCTTCGCAGCAGGATGTGACGAGGCAATGCACCATATTGTAACTAGTTTAACTCTGCATGCTATCGTTCAGAGCTCTTTTGCGGCAAATCCCAACTGTATAGGCCAGAAAACAACTAAATATATTCTAGATCTAAAACCTGTTTGCTATGTTGACCGGATCCCCTTCCTCCTCCTCAGAACACGGTTGACATACTGGTAGGCTGGCACATAGACACCCAGCAGAAGCCGTCGCTCATCTCCTACATCTCCTCGGCGCTCGTCTCTCTGAGGGAATTCTGGGTGGAGAGAGATGGTGTTCTCCGTGGGGCTGCTGAAGCAGTTCCTCGAGGACATGGAGGCTTACAGCAATGTGAATTTGGTAGTCTCCCTGTTAATGGGAACGTGTCAGTACACAAGGGCCTAAATGATTCGAATGTTACCCAAAGGATGTGCTACTTAAAAAGTGGCTCGTGCAGTGAAAGACATTCCATTTTAGTAACAGCATCTAAATTTAGCTCTTATATCATGCCACATTCCCTTTAAAAGAGGTCTCCCTGTTAAAAGAAGAGGTCCGTCACGTTTTGTGAGTTTTATGTACGTATCTTTTATGGTGCAGAGTTTTTGATCACCCTTAGCATCTTCACCTGTAATGTACTGTACAGGTTGCGATCGAGAATGGACTGCGAGAGGGAGACAAGCAAAATCAAAAATAGAGAACGCCGACGGAGAGGAGAGTAGTGCCGAATAACGACAATAAAGAACGGGGGAGGTGATGGGAAAAGAAAAATGGCGTAAAAAGGTTAGCGGTGACACGGACAGAAAAAAAATGGCCCAACCATCAGAAACTACGCCGCACCGCGCCTAAGCGCCGGCCCCTGACTCACGGCAAGAGATCACAAAACCTGTTCACCCCACCACCAACCCACCCCCCCTATCAGCTCCCCCCATCAGCACACCCCGCACTTCTAAGCCTCAAAGAAGTGTCAAACCAGGGAATCATCCCCCCTCCCCCTACCTTAAAGCACTATCAACAGTCACCTCCGATATTCCATACCTATCCCCCCCACAACCTCAACACTTCCTTCCCCATCCGCATTAGCCTAAACCAACCACCTGAATATATAATCCCCCCATGCCACTTTACTCCGGCAAACCCAATCAGTAAAACCCTCGGGGCGCAGGACACTACCCTCCACCGTGCCCCCAACAACAAAAGCACAGACGAGGGATGTGTTGGGTAGGGCTCAGGTAATAGCACGCGTCCAATTGCGACTTTTCGGGTGTTGGAGTAGCGTTTATGTCGTGGTCAACCTGCGTGTTGATGATCCTGGTTTTTGTTCTTTTTATTTTGCCCAATTTCAGATATCCAGGTGAAAGAAACACCTTGGCTAATGGCAGCGATTCTTGGGGTGGTCTTTCCTACCAAACTGTTTTCGTATCTTGCAAACGTTACTACCCTTCACCTTTCACAGATAATGTCCTTGAATACTAAGCAGTGGATAGATAGATAACACAAGTTATGAACAAAATGCTTTTTACTAAAAGCTTTTCCTGCTGTTTTAGTTCCTTTCCTCCACATATTTACATCAGTCGTTTTAGAACATGCAGTAACGTGCCGTACTGCTACATGCAATGACACCAAGTTTAATGGCCAGTTTGAGACAAAGTCAATGGCCATCAATAGTACGTAGCATCATGCATAGTATAGATTGTGTTTTACAGATATGTAACGTGGTATTTCTCAGTCGTATATGCAGGACGTTTCGGGCTTCGACCCGTGGCTAAGACTGCACGACGCACGGGTTAGTGTCGACGTAGCTGCAAACAGAGGGTATTTACTGAGAGAGAGCTCACCCCCGCAGCAGTGTCTCTCAAACTGCACGACAGCGCACGGCAAGGTGCAGCGTGCGCTCGCCTACCTCCTGCATCTCCGCACTCCGCTACTACTCTCCCCCTCCGCTCATCAACCTCTCCTCGCGTCTGACCCACGCTCGCTTCCTGCCATCGTCTTACCTCCCTCTCTCTCCGTACTCCGACGCCTCTCTCCATTCCCTCTACTTCCGCACCCCTCTTGTCATGGGTAATACGGTTTGCAAGGACACAGATGTCTTAATGTCACTGTTGCCAGACTCATTATTATTTATCAAGATGCATATCAGACGGGCTCAGGGTAGTCCTCATCCATAAGCACCGTGTTGTCCTTTTTGTAGGGTGTTCACAACAGTTCTGGAGGCTCTGGGGACCTCATTCTCTCCTTCCAGCTGTCCCGACCTCACCCCAGCATACGTACAGAATGTAAGAGACCTCGTCGTACAACAGGGGTTAAAGTCGGTCAAAAAGCGTGCGTACATTATGCTTCGTACTCTTAGAAGAGAATTTCGGTTAAGGGCAACAGGAGGGGAAGTTTAGAAAATGTTGAAGTTTGTTCCGGTGTGTGTGTGTGTGGGTGGTGTGTGTAAGTGGGGAGGGTGCACAATACCTTGATCATATCCCTCTCTTGTGTGTACACTCCATATTCCATGCCACGCTAGCTACAGCTATCATACACTTATGGGGCATATCCTCTCTTGTGTGTACACTCCATATTCCATGCCACGCTAGCTACAGCTATCATACACTTATGGGGCATATCCCTCTCTTGTGTGTACACTCCATATTCCATGCCACGCTAGCTACAGCTATCATACACTTATGGGGCATATCCCTCTCTTGTGTGTACACTCCATATTCCATGCCACGCTAGCTACAGCTATCATACACTTATGGGGCATATCCCTCTCTTGTGTGTACACTCCATATTCCATGCCACGCTAGCTACAGCTATCATACACTTATGGGGCATATCCCTCTCTTGTGTGTACACTCCATATTCCATGCCACGCTACTACTGTATGTACTGTGTATACCTCTAGCTATCATACACTTATGGGGCATATCCTCTCTTATACTCTCTTGTACGTACAGTATATTCAATAGTCCAATGATAACTCATTGTCATATATGTGAACGCATCAAGTAAAAATAGGGTGTACGCCACATTATAATGTTTCCCTGTGTACGCGAGTATAGCACGAGCCATACACGGGCGGAGGGGAAATCCCATACGTAGAGCGCAATGCTCTTGTGTGGTTCTGGTGTGGCTAATCGTCGCCATATCGCGCATGCAAATTCTCTATTCGTTGTACTACATAATTCATTCATAAACTCAAACTTGTCCCTGTGTGTCATAACCCCTATTTTTACTTGATACGCTCACATATACAGTTGTGGATTCTCTCTCCCCCCAGATCCTGACCCGCATCGTCCACTACGTCCTGTCGGCCACAGACGTCACTCTCTCGGAGGACCTCCTGGTCTCCGGAAACAAATGTGTCACCCAGCTCTGTCACTGCCTCCAGAATCACGCCACGCCCAGCGCCACCATGGTCGCCGGCTACGTCGTGAAGCAGCTGCAGGTGTGGGCGGGTCCCTCTCACGACCTCGCCCAGTCACTCGTCAAACTCGTCAATCAGGTTTGTTTGTTTCTTTATAGCTAACATGTTCCATAAATCTGAGGATCTGAGCAGTGAAGAACAATAGCTTGCTCTGGTGCAAACGTATACTTGGGTGTGGCACCTCGTTTCCTTTGGGTACTAGACACACAATGAGACATTTCATTTCTAGAGATGTTTATGGAAACACAATGAGGATTCCATAGCAAAGGATTGAACTCCTTTTGAGCACGTCTTTTTCACTTCCAAAACTCGTGAATGATGCACACATGAAAATGTGTATGATGTCTTTGCATATAGTGCACTAATCCTTCTCCGTCCCTCTTTCTCGTAGCTGGTGGAAGACTTGCAGGGCTCTCTGCCGACCCAGTTTCTGCAGCAGATATTCTCAAAAGCCTCACCCGTCCTCCACCTCCGATATTGTGCCAACTCCAAGGTACACACAAACAACCATACACATAATATGTAACAGAATCGTGTGTCCGTATAATTCTCAGACTAAGGTTACCTTATTGACTGCACTAGAAATGCTCTGCACACTGTAATGTATGGGACATGTATTCGAAAGACTTTTGTATCAAATTGCCTGATATGATGATGTGTGTGTTTGTAGCTACTGAACCAGTTGGTGAAGCTGTACCAGACTGTACTGTCCATCAGAAACATACCTCTCCTGGAGACCATGTACCAGTGAGTTTTACCAGCACACACAACAGCACACTGTCTTTCTCTCTGAATGGCGGCGTCCTTGTACATCTGGATTTCTTCCATGAGCAAAAAATTTCGCAAAGTGGGATTTTTTTACAGATTAACCAAGGTCTTTTTTTGTGAAGCAAAAAATATCAGCCTGATACTCTCCTGCAAAGTGTACATGCACCTTTATTTATGCGCTACACTATAATGGTTACGCGGTGAGGCATCAGCGAATATCTGTTCTTTCTTGCAGATTGATTGTCACTGACTTGGAGGAGGCATTTCGTCAGCTGGAGCTGTTCCACAGCCCGAAGAGGTTAGACTACTAACCTTTTTTGAAAATGCCTGCATCATCCAATACTGTATGTATGTGTGACGTGTGCACGTGTACTGTGTGTATGTATGTATAGGACGGATGTGGAGGGGAGTTTGGGTCCTATTGAGATCCAATCGACCATCATATTCGACCTGGTGGTACTGTCGCAGCTAGCCAACACCAGCAAGGCTGTCATCGAGGTATTGCTATTATTAGTACAATAATCATGTATAGATAATTATATGTAGGTGTACTTCAAATGATCAAGATGCTAAAAACCTATTGGGGCCGAAGGACACATATGTGTACATACGTAACTAATACGCAACAAATTAAATATGCAACGTAAAGAGCATAATAAAGCAACGGTGGCCAGAATCGAACCAGGAACCTGATGTTAACTATAAGCTATTAGGCACAGTACTATTCTACAAATTTCACCCCCCCCCAACGATGATTGGCTCTCTCCGTCCGTCCACAGATGTGGTCCCCAACTCCTAGTGTGTTCTCTCTACTGGTGGAGAGACTGGAGAGCCTCACCCCCTCCCTGGCCAGCGAGTACCCCGCCCTCCACCACGCCTTGCTCCACGCTCTCTACCAAGACTGCCACATGTTAGTCTATCATAATATTGTACGTCCTGCAGGTTGGGTCATATACATGTAGGTTTCAGGGTGTTGTAAGTCAAACATTTAAATTGCCAAATTCAATGATCGCAATGTGCCTTATCCCCCCTCCTCTCCTCCCTTTTCTCTCAAATATGCAGCAATGGCTACTACATCCCGGGAGCCGGGGGGAGCAGTGTGTCGGTGGGCGTGGCCTCGCTAAACCCCGCCCACTCCCAGTCGGGCAGCATCACGAAAGTCCTGGCCCTCCTCACCAAACAGATGCAGCTGTTCACTCTCTCTTTTGACACTTGGTAACCATTGACCTCATAGGAAGAGAAATTTTGAGATCATTGCTTAAAATTGTAGCTTTGCACATTATGCATGTCCATGTGCATTATACTAAGCATAACTGGTTAAATTTGCAGTGTTCAGTGTATTTTTGGTACTAAGTCAGTGTGTGTGTTGTATGCAGTCGGTTGGTTCAGAGGTGGGTGGACTACATGCTGGGAGCTCTGGTGACTGCCGGTAGAGACCTGCAGGAGAAGGTCACCCCTCTCCTTGACAACCTCACCTGCCAGCTCCTTGCTCTCTGTGAGTATTCGGTCTGTCTCTTATACCATAGACGATTGAGTGCCTTCTTTTCATCTCAACACTTCCGTGTTCCAGAAGAACAGCTCTTGCCTGCCGCCATCTTTTGCATGTTAACTCCTACACTGAAGTGTATGCATAGCATTATTGGCAGTGTCTGAATCCCCCGTTTCCTAGGTTTTTCCCGGGAACACTCCATTCGTCTGGAGAATGCAGCTGTTCTGAAGGCACTGTTCCAGAGTCAACTCATCAGTGACGATGTCATCATGAAGTGAGAGTGGGAGGGAGGAGGGGGAGGGAGGAGGGGAGAGGGGGGGCTATGGTAACGACACGTTTTCCTTCTTCAGTTTTTAAGATAGATATTGGCATTGGAACGATGGGAATTTTTCTTTCCTTCTTGTGTTGAATGAGTTTTAGTATGCACTTAACAACGAGGAAAGGTTTTAAGGAGTGGTGTGTGCATTTCACGAGCAATAACACTTTTATCTCTCCTGTAAATGCATGCACAAAATAAGAGGAAAAGGAAGAAAAATCTTTGCCATTGTATGAGTGTGCATACATACATATGATTTGGATTTGTTGAGTGGTATGCGTGTATATCCCTACTTCGTGACTGTTTTTCATAGGTGTGTACCAGAGTGTCTTATCAGACTGTGCGACACGAGAGGTGAAATAAGGGCGGCCTACTCTGCCCTCCTCGAGGTGGTCCCCACCCACATCCTGACCAGCTTCTCCAACGGGATCGACACGTTTCAGCCGCCGAACGGCCGGAAAGGTGTGGATGGCGTGAGGAGTTGCCGCGGGACCTGGCACGCCCGTCGGGTGCACATGACCAAACAGAGTCAGGTGACCTTCCACGGGCACCACTTCAAGGCCGTCATGGGCTTCATCATGCACGGATATGCTCCCAGGTACGTATTACGTACTGTATATATGCACAATATATTACAGTATATGTGTACATATGCACTAAACACACATACTGTTACAATTCTAGTGGAAACTTTGCAGTTATGTATTATGATGTAACTTGTGTTCTTATGTGTAAAGTTTGTCCGAGACGGATTTGTACATACAATTGCACTCTGCAAAATGGGCTTAATTTCAATTATTTGTGTGGCCCTCCGTGCACCACTGGTGCTGCAGCAAGCATCTTCCAGACGACTGGCTGGAGAGGATGTACCACTCTTGCCAGCACCGACAGCCAATGGTGGCAGAGTCCCGGGACCACCCCGAGCAGCATCCACAACTCATGAGCCACATGGTACGTGTACATACCCTCCTTTTCAGAAGTATTAACAATATGCCTGCCATGTGCCACTGACATGGCGCACGCATAACACCGTGCACCACTTTATGGCACGGAATCGCAGACTACACAGAATTGCGCACATTTGTAATTCAGTTTACGCAGAGAAATTGCATTTTTCTACGCGTGCGCGCAAATTCTACTGTGAATGTATATACCTGAGTGCATCAATGTGAATGTCGTGTGATGTATGATTCAACTGACTGAATGTTGTGTGGTGTATGACACTGACTGCGTTGTGTGGTGATGATTCAACTGACTGAATGTTGTGTGGTGTATGATTCAACTGACTGAATGTTGTGTGGTGTATGATTCAACTGACTGAATGTTGTGTGGTGTATGATTCAACTGACTGAATGTTGTGTGGTGTATGATTCAACTGACTGAATGTTGTGTGGTGTATGATTCAACTGACTGAATGTTGTGTGGTGTATGATTCAACTGACTGAATGTTGTGTGGTGTATGATTCAACTGACTGAATGTTGTGTGATGTATGATGCAACTGACCGAATGTTGTGTGGTGTATGATTCAACTGACCGAATGTTGTGTGGTGTACGTATGATTCAACTGACCGAATGTTGTGTGGTGTATGATTCAACTGACTGAATGTTGTGTGGTGTATGATTCAACTGACTGAATGTTGTGTGGTGTATGATTCAACTGACCGAATGTTGTGTGATGTACGTATGATTCAACTGACCGAATGTTGTGTGGTGTATGATTCAACTGACTGAATGTTGTGTGGTGTATGATTAAACTGACTGAATGTTGTGTGGTGTATGATTCAACTGACTGAATGTTGTGTGGTGTATGATTCAACTGACTGAATGTTGTGTGATGTATGATTCAACTGACCGAATGTTGTGTAGTGTATGATTCAACTGACTGACATGTTGTGTGGTGTATGATTCAACTGACTGCTGTACAGGTGTGCAACTGCGACGCAGTGCTGTGGTTCTGGGCCACGTACGAGTCTGCCCAGTACTGTCTGCTGGCTCGACTGAGGACGCCTCTCGGAATGCCCCCAGAAACCTTCACCGCCATTGAGAGTGGGTAGTAATCTGTGATTCCACTGCGATTCCAACTTCCGGCCTTTCCACGCACATTGAAGGGTGTATTAGTGTGGGCATCAAGTACATGTCTTATGTACATACATACATACATTCATATGCCATGCCGAGCCTACCTAGTCGTCTGAATGCGAGAAGTATTTGACAGGCGCTCCATATTTACCTGATGTGCGCAGAAAATTAAAGTGTCACTCTGAATACACGTCAAAATTAAGCTGCTCGCGCTTGGTTGCCAAAAATGTGTGGCATTCGTTGTAGTAGTATCACTGCCGTACTTCTTGTGTGTTTCCAGCTGTACTGAGAGGCTATGCTCAGGAGGTGGAGTCTGGTGATCGCAGACATCTCAGAGACACTCCTTCCTCCTTCTCAGGCCACATGGGAGCAGGTATATACACCCTTTCTCCCTCGCCTACCCTTCTATCCTTACTCTGACTCTCCATCTTCTATCTCACCACGTAGCCAACTTTCCCATCTTGCTCACCTTAACTCTTCATTTCTCCATCTCTCTGCTGTTTTCTACTCTCAATTCTTCCACTTTAATGGCTCAACGATTTCTTCTCTTTTCTTTTCCCTTTCCTTCCCGCCCTTCTCCTTCCCCTTCTTTCCCGCCCTTCTCCTTCCCCTTCATTCCCGCCCCTCTCCTTCCCCCTGTCCCCAGGCCTGGGGCCTCGCCACTACACAGTTCACCTGAGAGCGGTTCTACTCCTGCAGTTCATGGAGCATTTGGACAAACTCATGTACAACGCCTACGAAGGCTCGTGTGTCACTCTCCCACCAGTTCCAAAGGTTCGTAGCATTTTTCAAGTGTTCTGTGAAATTCGAGGAACCAAAGCCATGAAATTTTTCCCCCCTCCTCAATCGCCCATTGTATTATATGCTACATATTTTGATCAACCAAAGACATTATATTTCTTTACTCCTCACTCCACCATTGTGTATCCTTTGTGGAGATAGGGCAACCAATGTGTCTTGCTAATACCTCGCCCATTTAATTTTTTGTGTGTGGATTAAGTGGAACCGATTTTACTAACTCCTCAACTGAAACAAAATATTCTCCGTGTTTTTTTCCCACTAGTCTGTCCGGAGTTTCTTCAGGAAGAATATGGACACCTGCATCAACTGGTTGACGGAGTCCGTAGCTTCATCGTGCCCATTGCTCTCCACGCCGGGATGCCAGCTGTCGCAGTGAGACACGGCTTCTCCGCTTTGAAAATGTTCGCCAAACATCAGCAAGTGGTATGTGGTATAGAACTTATGGAAATCGTTCAGGGTTTGTGGTAGCTACAGTAAAAACTCTGAAACTTACGCAGTATGACGATGCAACACATGTTGTTGAGTGATCGGTCCTTCATGTGCTTTATATGCATGGAACTATCAGATATAATGCATACACAGGTGTCAACCTTGGCGTACATTTCGTACTTTTAGCAGGCAAGTGGGGGGAGAGACAGGTCTGTAAATATCTTGACTATCAGTGCAAATAATCCTGAGGAGTATTTATGTAAAAGGGTAACTATAAAACCTTTCTTCAGAACGTGACCTGAGAAATGTGGCACTATTGGTGTCTATTAAAAGTTGGTCTGCTGTTGTGTTACTAGAGTTCACCGGAGTTCTGGAAGATGCTGGTCCACGTCGTCCATGCTCTGCTACAGCTGGGTTCCTGGGAGGCCATCAGGGGTATGGGGGCCTGGATTAAATCCCTCCGGGGGCAGACGCCCCCCTGGATCGTGGCGGCTGAAGCTCAGGCCAAGTCAAAGTAACATATTACGTCTGTGTTTGATAGCACAGATCAATATGTATGCATGAATTACTAGTCGATGTAACTACCGCTTGCCAATTTTTCTACTGTTGTACTGTTTTTCCCCCCGTGTCTCTGTATGTAGCTATGAGAGTGCGTGCGAAGAGTACCTGAAGGCTCTAGATCTTCTGAGGTCGTCAGAGGAGCCCGACATTGGCCCAGTACAGAAAGGTTACATCAGCAACTTCATAGTCAACAGGGTATGGTGGAATGGCCTGTGTATGCTTTATCCTATCAATATGGTACACATTCACATCCTTCAACCCTTCCCTGATCTCACTAGTGTTTCAACGATTTAGCATTTATTGCAGGCATGTGAGTAAACGAAATGACAAACCAACCATCCCTACTACTTTGACTATAGGTGGAAGGTGGAATAGCAGCATTATCTCTCTCCCTGCCTTGCTTCTTCTATTTCGCTTAACCCCTCCTCTTACCCGAACCCAATAATGACTGCAGCCGAAAAGTGATGCCAATGTACATACATCTTTATGGACTCTAGTTGAATGTTTACTCTCCACATGAAATTATATGTGACTCACACACATACTATGCTTCCTTCCATCTTGAACTCTGTTCGTTGTGTATATATACCAGATGTGTGAGTGCTACATGTCAGTGAGTGAGTGGCAGGCACTGGAAATGTGGTACAGCCAGGTCAAGAGTCTACAGACTGGCCATGTCAGCAGTGGTGGACTGGATGCCACGGCCTTCACCATCCACTATGACATCAACCAGATCAGGTATGGGAACATGATTGTAGCGGAATGGTGTATGGGAGTATGGAGAATGGGATATCAACATGCAATAAAGTAGATCATGTATGCAGCATGCAGGATGGGACCACGACAGACAGCATGTATGTATAGACAGCATGAAAGTGTGTGTAGGACAATGGGAGTGAAAGTACGTACGTGAGGGTATAGCAGTATAAGAGAAAGGAGGTATGTGTACTCCACGACTGGAAGCTACAGGTACGTAATGTACTTGCCCCCCCTTTCTTCTCTATCAGGGCAATGGGCAGTTTTGAGGAAGGAGACTTGTTGTCTGCTCGACAGTACGTGGACAATCTCTCCGACAGTCACCATCCCAACCGAGATCCCGAGGTCTTCCCTCTCTGGTGAGAACATTCTATCTTAATGGCGGGTGTTTTTCTTTCATCGTGGCTAAAAAATTTTGTCTTTTTGTTCTTGAATTCCGGGATATTTTACTGCACGACTGACTGGTAAATGTCTCGTGGGGTATAGTATGAGGAAAATTTGCCGGAAGCTTCTCAAAGCCCGGGCAGCCTCATAATAGGAGACAACATATACTGTACCTATGTAGTACCAACAAGCCCGAAACAGCTGTCCAGAGCAGCTCAGCATCTTTTTTCTCTTGGTATCACATGGTATTTTCTACATGTGTTGAACCAAAAGTATCTGTTGGTCTTTTCACTGATGTGTGTGTGCAGGGATCCAGGGCAGCTGCTGTCAACCAGCAATACTCTACTACTGAAGGTGGTGACACTGCAGGTAGGGGATGATGGATCTGGGAGCGATGACAACACCAGCGTCAACAGTGAGGGAGAAGTGGGACCAAGGTATAATATCAACCTCTGAATAAGGAATACATGTATAGTATACATATGGCAAAGAAAACTGTCCGCGCCTCCACTTAAGAGCTCATAAACTCACGTATGATGTATCCCCTTCAAACCCAGGTCAATCATGCAGCGGTGGATGAAGTTGTCAGCTGCCTACTCAGAGAGTCCACTGAGAGTGGGGTGTCTGGAGTGGCCACTTCGCGTCTCTCCCTCCCACGCCTTGCAGCTTCAGGCTACAGCTGCTCTGCGGGCCCTCCATCCAGTCAAAAGCAGACACGCACAGGTACATGTACAATACCAGCAATACTAGGGAGTTCTGTTTTCCTACTACATGCAGTACAAAAAAAGTAGGAAGTAGTAGCAGAGAAAGTGGTGAATGCAAGCAATGGCTGTATTGTGGCACCACCAAGTGTTTCACAAAAGTAGTGTTTTGGACTGCGAAATGAATGGCTGTTTCTGCCCCCCCAGCCCTGCTCCTCTGGCTTGCTGCTCTACTCCACGCCAGTCAAGAGCCTCAACCCTTCTCGCCACGACACCGGAATCTGGAGCCAGGCGCTGCGAGTCTCCACCCACATCTCTAGCAGTCACCCGTCGGACGACAACAGGGAGCACACACACTCCCTGCTCCTGGAGACGTACCGAGTGGCACGCAAGCAGGGGAACATCAAACATGCCCAGATGCTTGTACAGCAACAGATTTTGGAGCAGACGGATGACGCAACGATGCGACTCGATTTAAATCTTCGCGATGCCATGGAGAGGATGAATGTTTCGTCTAAGGTGTCGGCCCTGGAGAAGCTGTATATCATGCGAGAGCTGGGGAAACTCCACGCTTTTCGTGGGCAGGCTCTGTCGGGTATCGAGCTAATGTCGTCTGCTGTGGTGAACTATACGGCGTCGGAAGAGGCTGGAAGATCCCCGACAGCTGCGACCGGAGAGAGACATGTAGGCAGCGAGCTCACCTCCCGGAGCCTGCTGTCTATCGTCAAGTGGCTACAGACAGACTCGCGGCTCCTGCAGAGCGTCTGGAGCTCTGAGAACGAGACTGGACGACAGCTGCAAACTCTTCTCAGGACGGAGTACGATTGCCGCCGAAACGGGTGCGGGTTGTACAAGTCCAGCCTCAGGGAATCGTTTGAACTTTTCAAGCCAGACGACTCGGTGACTCGATTCGACAAACACGAGTACGCCATTGGTCAGATGCTTCACTTGTCAACCGTCCACTGCCCGACTCTGGCAAAGGCCTGGTGGGCCCTGGCTGGCTGGTGCTACCGCATTGGCAGGAAGAACCTGGAAGCTCTGAGGTACGTCAGCCTGAAATGACAGGTCTTGCCAATCCCTTATATACCGAGGATTTGCTGGAGTAGTTGTGGTTTTACTTTGAAGAGGCACCACAATGACTGTAGGTACATGTACGCATGTATCATGTAAGACAAGTGAACAAGGGTGGTTTCTACATGTGTCACACATGTACTGTACGATATACATTGTGAAGAGATACAATGACTGCATTCTTGCAGTGCCACCGGGACGGCTGAGCTGCTGAACCACGAACAAGAGGAAGTAGACAGAATTCTTGCCAGCGTACGTAAGCACAGCTCCACAGTAACCAGCAGCAAATACCTGCAGCAAACACCTAAATGATCTACATTATGGTCTTGATGAGCATGTTGTGCGTTGTTTCTGTTAGTTGCACATGGATCCCGAGCAGAGGATGGGTATCTTGAGAGTACTAGGGCAGGTCCACATTGCAGATGACGTGGACGAAGGGGACATCAAGGGGAAGGAACAGTTCAAGGTGTGTAAACCGGCCGCACAGCACCAACTTTTCACGGGGCAAAATGTCAATCTCCACAAGAGAAATTTCTCAGTCAAGTACACGAGGATAACTGACTGTATCTTCAAAAAATATTGTAAAATGTTGTGCCCTAGCACTATGTGGTACACTACGGGAATAACTGCAAGTTTTGCTTTTGTTCCTCTGTTCCTCTTCTCGCAGCACCTGGACATGGAGGAGGACACGAAGAGCCTCAAGGGGCAACTGTTGAGCGTGTGCAGCTCCCTCGAAAAGCTTCCCTCTCTGGACCCCCTCCTGGGAGTCTGGCAGGGCGTCCGCGTCCGCATGTTCATGCACTACCAGCTCTCAGCCCGGGCCTACTTCACCTTCCTGAAACTCTCTGGAACCCAGTCCGTGTATTCACCTGGTAATAACCGACCCTGCCTCTCTTTCTGTCTAGACCGCTATACAACATGTGCATTGTGAGCCTTTCTGTGTAGCAGTATACTTACAGTGGCACTCAGCCACCCCGAAGCACGTCACAGAAGTGTGTGACGTGAGGTGAATTCAGAATAGTGCCACACGTTTTCCTCCAAGACATTCGAGAAAAGTTCGGCAAAGTTGCACGCCGTGATGGGATGACATCACTTTGTGTTTTTAGCTCCAGCAGCAATGTATTCTGAACCCGACTTACAGTAGTTTCTGTGCTATAGAACAGTAGTTTCTGCTATGTATATGTAAGCTTGAAAAGCCTTCCACTTGTGACTTTGGTGGCAGGTCTGGATGACATGAACGTGACGGCAACTCTGCGGCTGCTGAGGCTACTTGTCAAGTATGCCGGAGAGCTCAAGACGGAACTGGAGGACGGCTTTGCCACCACTCCCACCAAACCATGGAAAGGTAACAACTCCTCACACTTCCTGGAAGGTTTTTCCCAGCCTTCCCATTTCACTTTCATGCATACTCTTTTTGCACAATAATGAGTCATTTGGTTCAAAAATACACCATGTGATGCCGAGATGCACGTTAATTCCTGGAGTACTTGTGTGAATCTCTTGCATGGTTGGTTATTTCATACGGAAAGAACACTAGTAGCTGGGAGAATCCTTTACACATCTTGCATACTGTAGCAGCATCTCATGAATACTGATGTCTATCACTGTAACTCCCTCTCTCTCTCTCTCCCTGCAGGGATTATTCCACAGCTGTTCTCACGTCTCAACCACCCCGAGGCCAACGTGAGGCAGAGCGTATCCGACCTTCTCTGTCGAGTCGGCAAAGACTCACCTCACTTCATCATCTACCCCGCCATCGTTGGAGCCTCTCGCAGGGCCGAGAAAAAGACATCCGTTTCAGGAGGTACGTTTTCCCCCAATCTTTCTCCGAAGTTTCGTATTTTCGCCCTTATCTCACTCCGACATTACGTATTTTCACCCAAATTTTGTCTTTTATTCGTCCTTGTTCTAAAATTATGTATTTCCACCTAATCTCGCTCTACGATTGTCAGGACGCAACCATCTTCCTTCTCAACGAAATATGCAGTCGTACGTATCCTCCCAACTTTCCATTGCAGGTACAGGGTACATCCAAGAAGATCGCGAGAGGAGAGAGAGCGATTTCGAAATCGGAAGTCGAGACTTTGGAGAGAACTTTTCCCCTTCTGACACAATCAATTCCGACGAGGAGAATGGTAATTTAGAGAACACTTAATTAGCCAAATGAAGCTTTGGCGGGCAGAGCACACTGCAATCACTGCGATAAGCGATAGTGTTAGTACTGTTTATATGTGCGTGCTTGCCCGCCTACACTTCCGTTTTTAACCTTAATCGCCCATTAAATAATCCATCCTCTTCATTTTTTCCCTCATCCTTGCAAGTACTGTGCATTATTCTTAACCATCTCTTTCGTTTTTCCTTTTTCTTTTTTCTTCTTTCTCTGTACAGTATGCCTTCTTTTGTCATCTTCCTCATTCTTCCGTTACTCCTTACGAGTACTGTGTACCATCTGTTCCTTTTCCTTTTTTCCTACTACTACTACATACTTCTCTGTATGTATGTCTTCTTTCGTCTTCTTCCAAAGGCGAGGCGTCCCCAGTGGAACTCAGCAACCTGGAGATTTGTCTCTCAGTCATCATCGACTCGCTCAAGCAGCAGAACCCGCAGCTGGTGAAGGCGGTGGAAGATCTGGTGTCCGAGCTCTGTCGGATCACTCTCCTCTGGGACGAGATGTGGCTGGCAGCGCTCATGCAGAGGCAGGGAGAGGTCCACAGGTCAGTCAGTGTCTCTTTTAGGGAGTATTTGCCCCCCCCTTAATCGTGAGTATTTCACCCCACTTAGACAGAAAAGGGTAGAAGATTTCACCAATCCCTGCCTTAGTAGCCAGTTCCCTTGTAGAATTGTGATGGGCAAGTTTACCATGTCTTGTAAAGACACTGGTTCAAACCACCCTCACCCCTACTTGAAATACTAACTGGCTCTCGTTTTCATTCTCCCACAGACGGCTGATGCAAATTGAACAGGAGAACAAACGGACCCACAGCATCCCGTTTCTAGGGGAACAAGAGAAAGAAGCCATCATGAAGGAGAAGTATCTTGCCACTATGAAGCCTGTAAGAGACCATCTTGCAGCTACAGTATATACACACTCTGACCTCCTGTAATACTATGCCCACACGTGCTTATTACGTGGAAGAAGTAGAGACTGACTAACTCTGTTCGCTATATGGACAAGCACGACATGAATTATGCATCCAGTGTACTAGAAGCGTGTTCATTTGCTGCACTGCTCACTGGTGTTTGTTCTCTCCCAGCTGCTGTGGGTGCTGGAACACCTGGCCTCCGTCACCTCTCAGCCCGCCGAGACTCCCAACGAGAGGGAGTTCCAGTCGCAATACGGCTGACATCATCAGCAGTGCCTTGCAGAGGCTCAGGAACCCCAGCAACTTCGCCAAACCACATACCGTCTGGGAACCTTCAAAGAGGTAATCTATCCAATTGATTTCAGCCTTTCTACCATTCTATTTCTCTACTGACGTACTCTCATCCAAGTATACATACAATGTGCTAGCACACTAGATATGTAGATTACCACCTTTCACTCTCTCTAGCGGCTCTACACTCTGCCAATATATATTTTAACCCACATGTTAAACTGTACTGGCATACTCTGTACATAGCTACCCTAGCATGTTAACCTGTACGTACGTACGTATGCATTTCCTCCAATTCCCACGCTGTTCCAATGTAGTTCCAGCAGATGCTGATGCATCGTGCCCAGAAGAGGATGCAGAACTCCCTGAGTCTGAACGAGATCAGTCCCCACTTGGCCGCCATCTCTTCGTCCTGCATCACAATGCCTGGTCACAACCAGGGAGACGAGGTACATACGTACACCACTTCTGAGTTTTTGCAGCTTTTTGTAGCCTTTATATAATATACATAGCTTGTTGAAGATATAGTCAGAGAAGGTTAGGTGGACAGAACACACTGAAAATACACAATTATGCAAAAACTAAGTACTTAGTATATATAGGGATGACACAGGTTGTCCTGCATTATGCCCATACATTTGAGATTAGTACGTTTCACTTTCAGTTTCAGTCGTAGTATATTGCCAAACTGTGCATTTGCTTTATCACAGAGACACATACTATCATACTACGCATTATATCACTCAGTCATAATGGGCCGGTTGTACTATTAGTCTGTGCATGGCATCACATGGTGTTTTCTACATGTCACGTGACAAAATTAGAGTTGTGCTGCTCCCTAAAATTGTCGGATGTGAAAGACGGGATCGTTACACATTCCTATACCTAATTGTCGGCAGTGCTCTGCACAATTGCCTGCCTTCTTCTGTTTTAAAGTATGCTTGCTCAGAAGAGGTCTTTCACGGACCTTTGTACATAGGTGCCTATATTGAGATGTGTACTTCATAGCTTTGCCCTTTTCCTAATACAGCCGGTGACTTTAGAGTCATTCCAACTGGAGGTGGCCGTCCTGCCCACCAAGACAAAGCCGAAGAAAATCTCGATGATTGGGTCGGACGGACGCAAGCACACCTACCTCTTCAAGGGTCTTGAGGACCTCCATCTTGACGAGAGGATCATGCAGTTCATGGCCATCATCAACAACATGTTCGCAAAGGCTCACAAGTAAGTATAGATTTCTTAAGATTCAGCCTCAGTCTTATCCATTGGAGCCGAAAATCACTCTTTGAAGAGAAGCAAAATGGGATGAAAAAATGAAAGGCCCAGTTAGTGCAATTCACTGACACGTCATCTTAAACACAAGTTGTGTGGTTCACAACATGTTTCCCGTTTTTTAGTGGGCATATGTCTTTGGGCCCCAAGGTTCTATAAAATATCTGCTGAGTATAGAGCTCTCCCCCCACAGACACCAGACGCAGCTGTACCAGGCAAAGGACTATGCAGTCATCCCACTGGGGGCTCGCTCCGGTCTCATTCAATGGGTGGACAACGTGACTCCACTGTTTGGGATCTACAAACGGTGGCAGCAGCGGGAGGCTTACGCCAAAGCGATGCAGCAACAGGTTAGCCCTCCTAGAGTCGCGTGTAAATGTCACATATATGTTGTACACTACACAATAGGCTTCTCCTGCAGCTTTATAAACTGCTGGTGTGTAGTCCATAGGTGTCTAGGGCCTGCCTTGAATGCACATGGCCAGAACAGCACACCTCCCAGAACCAAGTTTTACGTTCCCAAATGTCCCTGTATAAAAAATATTCTGGTAGAGTAAACATTAGCCTGGCTCTCACGCTATGTAATTCACCTGTGAGTTGAAAGTGTCCCACTATACCGTAGCAGGTAGAGGTGTATATGAGCAGTTTGTGTGTGTGATATACATGTGCAGTATGTATGGCATGTATTGCTGTGCCGCAGGTTTTAGACCAGCCCAACATTCCCGATCCCCATCCCTGTCATGAAGCCAAACGAACTCTTCTACTCCAAGATCATCCCTCTCCTCAAGAAGGAGGGCATGTCGGAGCAGAGCCCACGCAAGGACTGGCCACACAACGTCCAGCTGAGGGTCCTCAAGGAACTCATGCATGAAACTCCCTCAGACCTTCTGGCCAAGTACGTACATGAACAAACACCTTTTTATCCAATGAAGCCTGAAGCATAACCGGAAATAGTACATGTTTTGATGTGCCTCAAATACACTGTATGTTTGTGTTGCCCTTGCAGATACAGGATGAGAAAATAAGTGGCATTTTGGTTGATTTAGCTTTGGTAGTAAAGAGAACCCTAGACATAGTACATGACATACATGGCAGTCATACTGTTAGCATGCAGCACTGCATGTTCATTACAAGTAAAAACAGACAGTTCTTGATTTATACAAAGTTCTGAAGAGTAGAAAATGTTCTCACAGAATTTGTTTAGACTGTTTGGTGTTGTGGTCACCGCAGGGAGCTTTGGTGCGCGTCGACATGCGCCTCCGAGTGGTGGTGCAACACCCAGACCTACAACCGCTCCACTGCCGTCATGTGCATGATTGGTTACATCATCGGGCTGGGTGACCGTCACCTTGACAACCTGCTGGTCGAGTTCGCAACTGGACAGGTACTGCGCATGTACATAGTAGGTATAATGTGTATATCACTCGTAGTGTATGTCCATTCTTATACTATTGTACGTGGCACCGCACAGTGTGTTGTAAGAATAAAAACTGTGGCAGGAGCTTTGGTTTGTATACAGTTGTGGTTTCAAGCTGTAGACACATGCCTTTGCATGACTTGGCGGACAAAACGTTGGGGGTCGATTTACTATTGTACAATGTGATCGCTATTTACCGAGGTAAACGTGGATGGTAGGTGTCTTTCTTTTCACTTACAGTATTTCACCCTATAATAAAATATTGCACATGAGAGAGAGAGAGAGTGAGCAATCTGTCTTTACCCCCCTCCCCCATGGGACAGGTGGTACACGTGGACTACAACGTGTGTTTCGAGAAGGGCAAGAGCCTGCGTGTGCCAGAGAGGGTCCCCTTCAGAATGACGCAGAACATCTCTGCAGCTCTCGGGTTTACTGGAGTTGAGGTCAGCGAAGAAGAATGTCTCGTTGAATCAGAGGGGTAGCTACAAGCCTAGCGTATGTAACTACGTAGCTTTTTTATGGCAGGTGTTTTGAAGTAAGTGGATCCACTTTGCGTTACGTATGTGTCCAACGTGCTGTGTGTTAAGTGTGTGTGGTGATCGTAATGTGTTTGCCGTAGAGTTGTAGTAATTACTCTAGAATTGCACTCTGACCTGCAGGGCCTGTTTCGCATATCGTGCGAGGACATACTCAAAATCTTGCGGAGAGGGAGAGAGACGCTGCTCACCCTCCTGGAGGCCTTCGTCTACGACCCTCTCATTGACTGGACTCAGAGCGAAGATGCTGCCTTCCCACTAGGTGAGGCAATTGGCGGCTACCATAATTTCACGTACCCTGACGTTAAACAATCTCATACTATACATGTATGTAACTCTCATTGTGTCAACTGAATGCCCGGAGCGCCGTTTCCCCTCATACACGTAGAAACAAGTGCAAATGTACGCTAAAAGTTAAGCGTATCATCCGTTTAATTCTACATAAAGACAAATTCAATGCACTCTTTTAGTGGCTCCCTGGATGATTTAATTCTTGTGACCCACCATTGCGATGTGGTTTTGTACATTTTAAAAGGATTTTTGATTTTTCTTTTGCTCTAGCCATTCGAGCCACCACAGACACGACAGGGAGGCTGTCACGAAAGGACATGGAGCGCGAGGTGGCATCAGGGATGCTGGTCACCAGACTGGCAGAGTCTGGCACCCACTGGCAGAGAAACAGGTTTGTCCGACTGGTTTGGCCAGTTTACCCACGTAACACAACTGGTTTAGGACAGGTTTTTCTAACCAACTGGCAAGAGAATGCTAGGCGCTTTGTACCAATCGTTGATTTTTTGCCAACTCCATACTTAATTCCACCTTTTACTGTTGTGTTTAATTATTAACAGCTATTTAGGTACTTTTTACTTAATATAATCCCAGTGCTACACCACGCGGATCTTGTTGCTGTTTAGCAGCTATACTGCTATGCATACACTGCATATGTTACTATATACGTGTGTGTAAAATGCAACTCACAGGGAGAGCTTGTGTTCGGTTCTGCTGGCTCTGGAGCACCATCTTCAGGAGATAGCCACCACCGGAGAGAGACTCATCACTCTCAACGAGCTCATCGTGAAGACAGACAAACAGATGGACATTTTCAAGGACGCCATTTCGACTCCCGACCATCCGCTCATCAGCATGCAAGACAAGTGAGTTGTGGGAATAGAGATGACTTCCAAGTGTGGCTGGAGTATCCAAATCCCTGGAGTAGGTTTCCCAACGGCTAAAGTTTACAGCTACATATACAGTCACAATTGCTGTAGTCTCTATGGAGAGTGAGTGTAGGTCCTACTATAGTGCCACTGAATGTGCCTGGTCTGTGAGAAGTGGGCTATTTATAGAGAGAGAGACACCAGACAATGGAGAGAGACGCAACGGCTGCCAAAACAGGAGGGAGGCTGAACAGTAAACAAGAGAGAGAGAGAGAGATGTAGCGGCAACCATTGATATTACAAGAATATCGATGTCACCTAGCAATTGAATGTAGATAAAGGCCCATGTACAATAGCAACCGAACATTGTATTCACAGTAGGAAATTGTGTTTGATTCCACCCAAATAGATACAAATAGAAAGGTTTCGAGTGATAAAAACATTGAGTTACACACTGTCTTGTTTTGTTAGGTTGTCAGAGCAGAACAAGCTGGCAGCAGACCAGAAGAGACTGGTGGCTGAGGTCAGAGATAAGCTACAGGAGTATCACGACTGGAACATCAAGTACAATGTGAGTCAATACGTCCCCACATTAAGGCAGTGATATAGACAATGCAACTCTGTCGCGTGAGACAAATTATGTTGCAGTGCCTAGACAGGACGGGGTACTGCAACAGATTTGTTGGATATCCCTAGGCAAATGACATGATGAACCCTGCTTGCACGTGTAGGCTGATAAAATCCCCCAGTACCTAGCTTCATACATGTCGGTTGCCTAGGGGATATATGTATCCAACAAAGTTGCATTCAACTTCAAATGTATGGGTTTGAAAGACCATGCATCACAAGTCTCAAGCATGCACCCATCATGTTGCATCATGGACCCATCATACCCATACGTTTGAAGTTGCATACAACTTTGTTGGATATATCCCTAGGCAACCGACATGTATGAAGCTAGGTACTGGGGGATTTTATCAGCCTACACGTGCAAGCAGGGTTCATCATGTCATTTGCCTAGGGATATCCAACAAATCTGTTGCAGTACCCCGTCCTGTCTGGGCACTGCAACATATATTTGTCTCACGTGACAAAGCTGCATCGTGTGTGTTAAGGCCTTTTCTACAGCAACAGGCACATGGGTGTGAAGATATCCAACATGTATTATATCTTTACAGGAGGCGTTCACGGCCATTCACGGTGCAGAACTTGGCACTCTCATCACACACGTGCAGCAGAAACCGCTCAGTCTAGGTACACATGTGACTGTCACGTGACTATCACACCACTGTCACATGATCCACCTCCTACCCGTCGCTGCAGGCTTACCAGCCCACGATCCTGCAGTAGAATTCCTGGAGTCCATCAGCCACACCCAGAACATAGAGACCTGCGACCTGCTGGAGGAGGAACTTCTGGCCATGCTGCAGAAGAGACGGCAGATCCTCCACAATGCCCTTGAGGCCCTGCACCAATACCGCAACATCACCGCTCAGGTGGATCTGTGATTACTAATTGATGTTCGTACTATACCGCGTGGTTTTGTCTCTTCTTCCATTCTTGTGTCTACAAAAAATGCGAAATCGTTGACACCTTTATTTAGGGAGGATATAATAGTGAAATTTGGGCGAGATAGGGATAGGTGCAGCAAGATGGCAGATATTACCATTCCGTACTCCAACTGTAGTCAAAGTATTAAAGATAGTTGGCTTGTCTCTTCTTCCATTCTTGTGCCTACAAGAAATGCAAAAATTATTGAGACCTGTGTTTAGGGAAGATTATAGTGAAATTTGAGCGAGATAGGGATTGGTGCAGCAAGATGGCAGATATTACCATTCCGTACTCCAACTGTAGTCAAAGTATTAAAGATAGTTGGCTTGTCTCTTCTTCCATTCTTGTGCCTACAAGAAATGCAAAAATTATTGAGACCTGTATTTAGGGAAGATTATAGTGAAATTTCGGCGAGATAGGGATTGGTGCAGCAAGATGGCAGATATTACCATTCCGTACTCCAACTGTAGTCAAAGTATTAAAGATAGTTGGCTTGTCTCTTCTTCTATTCTTGTGCCTACAAAAATGCGAAATCATTGACACCTTTATTTAGGGAGGATATAATAGTGAAATTTGGGCGAGATAGGGATTGGTGCAGCAAGATGGCAGATATTACCATTCCGTACTCCAACTGTAGTCAAAGTGTTAAAGATAGTTGGCTTGTCTCTTCTTCCATGCGAAATCGTTGACACCTTTATATAGGGAGGATGTAATATATACAGTATAGTTCGTCAAGGGTTAACAATCTGTTGTGATCAGTTCCATGCAGACTACCTGACGCAGTCTCGAAGCTTCCTGTGGGAAAGTTGTCTGGGGCCTCTCCTTGATGGACCCATCACTAGAGCCAGGTTCGATCAGTACAGTTTAGGTGTATATAGTACAGTACAGGGCATGATACCGAACCCTCTTTAGTTTTTGCCTGTAATACTTTTAGCACTAGCAGACAGTGTGTTTCAATTTTGTGTCCTCTGTTCACAGTTTTATTGAGCAAAGGTGTATCTCAAGTTTTACATGGATCTTAAAGATTACATTCATATATTATACTGTATATTGTAGTAATTTGTGTACATTTGTGATTATCTATCACCTCCTTCATTTTCATGTGCATGTACACACCGCACAGTCTGATGAAAGCTGCAGAGGACTTTGACAATCAGCTGAATGCCGGGGGACGCTCTGCTCAGCTGGTGAAGGCCGTGGACAGTCGACTGCGGAAACAGACTCAAGAGCTGCACGTTCGCTGCAACAAGGTCAGACAGACACACACTTGAACCACCTATGTATGTAGGAGACTGACAAGAAACTCTTTCTTTAAAGGGAATGTGGCTGTATATAAGGGCTTAATTCTTGCACTGGGCCCTATTGTTTAGTTCTTTAGTGAAATGTATAAATTTGCTAATGTCATTCTTTTTAAAGAGAAGAAAAAAAGACACTTTTTGCAGCATTTTACGGTTGCCTTATAATATACAGATGCTTGTGGGAGGAGTGCATTCATTATAGCTGCTTTGTGGGATGCGCAAATCTAACAAATAACCAAGTTCACCTTTCATCCCTCTCTCTCTCTCTCTCTCTCTCTCTCTCTCGGCCCTCGTCCACTATAGCTCATGGAGCGCTCCAAGATGCTGTCTTCGGTCGAAGTCAGTAAACTAGAGGCCGGCGTCAACGATGCAAGCAGAAGTCTCCACCAGTTCTGTATCGGTATGTAGGTGCCTACACCTCCGATGTCACTGAATGCGAGTTTTCTCTCTCTTCAGACAACCCTGAAGAGGGTCCTCCATCCCTGGCCTGCTTCATCATTGCTGCACTCTGCCCCCTCTCTCGTCGCTGGCTTTTCATGGAGCAGACTGCTCAAGGTGTGCACATACTCATATTTTCACAATTCGAAATTCATCTCTCACTTGGCTAGCTCAATTGTACGGGAATCTGGCGTGCCCCGATTTTGCTGTACACGGAATTTTATGCATTCTTCTTCAAGTGTACGTTAGCGCGAATTGTGTGTAATACATACATACCTATAGTAGGGCCAATCAGCACTGATCTTTCTACTATAGCACGGTCCAATCTTCCCGGTAGAGAGTTTCGTGCAAATGTGTAGTTTAAAAGGTCTTGAAGACCATGGTATTGTCTCCAGTTGATATAAAACCCATCTTCTACCCTTTGCCAAAGTTACAAACTCTCTGTGTGTACATGTATATCTTGTCCAGCTGCTCGCGAGCGACTGAGCGACCTCACGTCTCGAGACGGGGACTGGTTCCTGGACGAGCTCTGCACGATGAGCGGCAACGTCTCTCAGATGAACGGACTGCTTCAGATGTGCATCCGAGTAAGCATGATCTTTACTGGCGTGTGTACAAAATCGGTGAAAAGTACCAAGTAGGGCACTGTTTTGGTACATGTGTTGGGCTCAGCATCATATCCGTATTACTAGCATGAATGCAATTTGGTTTCTACAAGGCCCTAGTATTGGTGTAGTTATACTATTCTCTCTGGCTGTTGTAAGGAAGGGATATAGTGTTGTCTAAGGTATTTCTAGCCTAGACTAAGATAGTTACCCCTCTCTCTCTCTCTCTCTCTCTCTCGCTCTCTAGGCCATGGGGCATGACCTACACTCTAGCTCAGTCTTTGCGTGTGCAGTGGAGGCAGTCAAGGCCGTGCACCGCGTCTACATGAGCATGCAAGAGCTGTTCAACCAGTTCCAGAGCTCCGTCCTCCCAGAGGCCATCAACAACGTGCTCATGGAGGACGAGGGGATGCTGGATGTCTTGGACGAGCTCTCCTCCTTCAGACTCAGCTCCTACCCCGACCTCCCTCTCCTGGATGCCCTGTCTCGACTGGGGGAGGACCTCCTCCAGGCTGCCTTGAAGGTGTGTGACTGAAACAACTGTATCTGGACTTGTAATTGAAACTAACAGGCATACATAGCTAATGCTGACAACAGCATGATAACTCGCTTCTGAATTGCCTCAACACTTTACCAGCATATACCAACATAAATGTGTCCAGAGCTTCCATAAGTCCACAAGAATGAAACTAATACGTACTTATAAGAGATACTACCTATGTATAAGAGATGTACTGATTAAATACTTTTAAGAGATATGACATTAGAATCATCACACAATACTGACGGTACTAGCTCTCGTAAGAAGTGCTACTGGATATGTAACAAGAATTAAGTTTGTACTAGGTACCAAGCCCATCCCTATATACTAAGTAGTACCGTACTTAGTGATGCTCGTGTTTTGTTCCCTCAGAGGCAGCAAGCTGACCTGATGGTGACTGCCGCAGTAGAGGAAATGAGAAACAAGCTCTCTTCTCTGTTGGACGAAGGGGGTACGTACGTATGCATATATACTTGTGTTGAAACAGTTCTCTGTGTGTAATATCTGTAGTTGTATACATGTACTGTATTGGTGTATGTATGCGTGGGCTCCTTTGATCTTCCCACGCAAGTCACAATAAAGTTGTGTATAATTGTACTCCCGTTGGTGAGCAATGTTTGTTTCCAAGGGCATTTTGTATGAAAATAGTCCACTAGCTCCACAGAGTATTGGTTACATTCTCACACAATCTGCTCATGCAGAGGAGAACCCGGCCAAAGCGAACCTCAACAAGTTCCTCGGTCTCCTCCACAAGTGCGAGGCCAGCACCCTGGCAATGTTGGAGACCGTGGACGCCATCGACGTCCCACAGACCTGGGGAATTGTCGACATCATCAAACAGACCATCTCTCTCATGGTACTGTATATACAGTATACCACATGTGGCTCAGAGCAACATGCATGGGGACTGGAAATTTTGACGATAGTACACAGCTGTAATCACACAATCAAAATCCGCACTCCTACACATAGATTAGAGAAACATAAATTTGTGGGAGACATGTCATCCCCACGGGAACCTGGATGCACTAGTTCAAGAGCACATGATAGAACACGTAGCTCCTCTGTGTTCTATAATGCACTATTGACTCTATTTATCGCCACCCTCCTTCTCTCCGTTTCTCCTTCTGTCTGACTCCAGTGTAACACGGCTGGCCTCTCACTGACCGATGAGCTGCTGTCTGTCCACAAGGCACAGGCCATTGTGGAGTTCTGTGTCGAGTGCAAGAAACTACTCAAATCCTTCAAACTGGAGCTGAACAACCCAGAAGGTATGCATCTCAGTTGGTAGAGCGCTCGCCTAGACTGCAGAGTGTCGTGGGTTCGAATCCAGGGCAGCTCTTCTTCTTTTAAAGGGTTGTCCTGGGTGTAGTTGACTTGTTTGCCTTGCCTTGCCTTTCTACCTCGCTACCAAGTTGTTGAGACATTACATACATACAACCACATGCCACCAAAGACAGCTTCAACTCTTACTTTTAACTACGATTATAAACCTGCACAGCAATGCTTACTGTAACTTTGTGAACAAGACTTTCTTTCTGTCTCACTATGGAGTAGAGCACCCGGCAGGTCTCCAGCAGCAGACTCCACCGGGAACCCCCGGCAGAAAGTCCCTCCTCATCCCGGTCCCCTCGGAGCAGTCCCTGTGTCTCCCCGTCCGTCGCTACATCTCCGAGAGCCTCATCTGTCACGTCCTCGGCCAGCCCTCGTACTCCCTGGCCTCCCTCCTGGTCTCCACCATGAAGGAGTACCTGGGAGGGAATCTTCCACCCAATCCCGTCGCCCCGATCCCCGTAGAAGACCTCTGCAAAGTGGTGAGTTCCTGAAAAGTCACCCAAAGTTGACTGACAATGACAGTGGTGGACTAACTACGATTTTGTACCAAAACCACACGTCTTATACATATTCTTGTACGAAAGTGTTAAAATGATTAGGAAATGAGAGGTTTTTTTGATAAAAATAGGGCACATTGCTTACTCAAACTTTACCGAAAGCTGTCCACTATATTATGGTAGTATACAGATTTTGTGTGCGTGTCTCTGCAGGTGAATGACTACTACCAGCAGGAGCTGTCGATGGCCACCATCCAACACGCCCGCGGCCTCTTCTCCCACTACGACGTGGCCTGGAGAGAGTGCGACAGGACCAACAGACTCCAGACCAACCTCAAGAACGCAAAGCAGAGCCTGCATCGGACCAGGGGCCTCACCACTCGCTTCCAGGTTGGTTCAGCCGGTCAGTAGACACACGCAGTGGATCCGTTTGGTAATGATTACTTGTGTGCATGAAATTGAGACAGAAAGCTGCGGTTCAATTAAAGCATGGGGAAACCCCCCCTAACATACCCAGGTATTAGTACTTTGGCATTTCTGTTGCCTAACTCTTGCTATTCAGTGGCTCCACGAGGAGAGTCTGATATCACCTGACTCCCACTACCCCTGGGTTGGACCTCAGAGATCTGTCCTACTCACCACCATCAAAAAGGTACGTACAGTATTATAGAGGAGAGAGAGAGAGAGAAGGGGCTGAAAGAGGGAAATGGCGATAGACACAGTAGCAGAAGAAGTCAGAGTCACAAGGGCCTCTGTTGTGGGAATGGGACAATTCAAAGGCTGGTGGAGGGGAGGGCAAAGTGCAGTGCTACTGACTATGGTAATGTCGCCATTGCAAGCATTGTGGCACGGGCGAATGTTGCACGTTTGTATGTAATGCATGCAGTTCAGAGCATGATGGCCCACTGACCCCCCTCACCCGATGCAAACTCACAACTTCCCTCCTTGTCTGCCTCGCAGGTGTTATCGGAGCAGATGGCAACGTCTCTGACGGGCGTCCTGGACCGCATCAACAGCCAGTGGTTCCGCATCTCTCAGAGACTCCAGTGGGCCGCTGGCTCCACCTCGTCCCTCAACTCCACCATCGACGAGTTTGAGAGAGCCATGAACCGGCGCAAGATGATCCTTCAAGTAAGGAAGTGTACTTGTGGAACCTCCATCAACAGACATTCCAAATGGCAGACTCCTCGTGGTCACATGATCCCGTAGAATCATGTGATTGCCTGCGGAAGAACCAGTCATTTGGGACCCAATATAGGTTTATGTATGGTATATACTTCAGATTGGTATTCAGTACTTTTTGTTCATATGTGTAATAACTAAACAGACAACACTGCATACAAGTTTTGTGTAGTATTAATGAGGAGCTTGTCCCAAAGAGAGAGGTTAACTTAAACAAATGCCCTAGTGTATCTTTCCGAATGCTTTTAAGATTCCCAAATACTTTCTGTTGAGTTTCACCAAAACCCATTGGCCAACACCATACTCTGTTGTTACAGACGGAAGAGGACCTGTATCTAAAGATATACGAGTACAGCGAGGCAGTGATACACTTGGAGTCCTCCCACACGCGCATCCCAGCCCAGACCACCTCCGACAGGGAGATGACACAACTCCTGAACAGGTGCCATTTTCCAGTCAAAATTCTTTTTCTTGGCACATAGTGTAAATTAGAAAACTCATTGATAAGACATGAGGTGTATAAATTATTTTGTTGCTCCTTATTCAAGCCTTGACATCTTTTTTAAAATTGCTTATTTACTACATACGACCCCCTTTCATCAGCATCTAGCCTCGGTAGCGTGCATTGGGTTATAGCTACTGCACACATGCTACAGACATACACTTTGTCGAGAATTGTACCAATTAATGCTACACATTGTGCATGTAGTAATGTATACGATGCAGCCACAGTCTCCTTCTCTCCCGAATCTCTTTGTGTTTGTTTCTTCTTCTCTGTGGTCTGTGTGCAGATGTGCAGATGTGAGTGTGAAGCTCCAGTTGTGTATGGACCAGTTGTCTCAGGTTTCCGACATTCTTCCACTCGTTGAGGTACATACATACATATTGTGTATATACTAAAGTTACACAAACAACCCCAAGCTTACAGAATACCAGAATTTTCACACAATTTGTGAAACTAAAACCCTTACTAACACAGCTCAGGAACCCTTACCATTACACTCTCTGTCTTCCTGGACAAGTGTGAGGGGACTTAAAACACTGTTTTCTGGGAATTGGGAATACCTCCTATAGTGCCTATATAGTGCTTGTGCTAAACTCACTCAGCTACCGGAGGATGGAGGACCGCTGACAGTGGAGTGGATGCAGGGGAAGCTGGACCACCTCCAGCTGGAGAGAGGACGGATCATGGTAGACAAGAAGGCCAACAACACCAAACTGGCCAAGAAGAAAGAGTCGGTTCTCTCCGAGCTGGAGAAACTGAGGACACTCAACAGGGGTCACCGCAAGCTCATGGTCGAGATTTGGTCTCACCTCACCACACTAGCAAGAGTAAGCCCAAGTTAATATTACTGTATATAATTATAGTGATAATGAAACTGAAATTAGTTGTTGGTTGTACGGTGTGTGTTGTTGAAAAGAGGACATGTGTCCTTTCATATTGGATCCCACGAATCGTATCACCATTACTGTCTCTTTCCTCCCTCTCTCTCTCTCTATCCTATCTATCTGTTAAAAAGCTGGAAGAGGCACCACCGCCAGGCCAGGCAGTCCCTGGACCTCGTGCCTTCATCAACCTCCAGAACAAGTTTGGAGAAGAAACCAAGACCTTTATACAAGCCACCCAGGAACTCATTGGTACCGAGAGCACTCTTTCATACAACTCTTCTCCCTTTTGTAAATGTTTTGACTTAGACCCCTGCCTGCCCTTGTACAACTCAGAGGTAGAATGCTTTGCCTAGAGAATAGATGTAGAGTGCTTTGCCTAGAACTCAGAGGTAGATTGCTTTGCCTAGAGAATAGAGTGTCTTGATTCAAGTCCTTCTAAGGCCAGCTCTTTTTTCTTTGTGCTGTCCTGAGTGAAGTCACGAAAATGTTTGACGTAAACACTTCATTGTGTCTACGCTCGTGTTGTGTGCTATTTCTCTCCAGCCTCTGACATGTCTCTGACTGGCAAGTCCACGTGGACCAGTCCGTCAAGAGCTGAGGAATTCATACACATGAAGGAGGCCTCTGGCAACCACCGCATGCTGGCTGAGAGGTGAGAGAATGGCAAATGCAGTTCTCAATAGCTGGCCATTTAATAGTCGTGACAGCCACTACATCTGTTTGTACCCAAGCTAGTCCCCACTCTTCCTCCTCTTCACACAGTGGTTTTAGTTCTGAACCCCTAGAGGTCGTGCATAGAATTACTGCGTGCAGAGGAGGGAGAGCCTGAAGCTGCTTATAATGAAACACTTTCTCAGCAATCATTATATGACCAAGCAGTTTGTGGGTTCTTTTGATATTTAACCATGGTTCTCACTAAAGTTACGAAAGTTACAAAAGTCACGATGTTATTTGTAGTTCAACGCCCCATATGTAAAACTCATCCGAGATGCATTATGGTGTCGTCGTATTCTGTGCTTTATCTCCTTTCTCGTGACTTTAGTCTCCTGGGCCAACTGCTGTCGTTCACGGACCAGCTGTTTCAGGGCCAGTCGTGTGCCAACCTCAAGTGGAACTCTCCACCAACCATCGACAATATCATCCCCAAGAGCCACTCATTGATCAGCATCACCAGCCAGGGCCCCGTGGCCGCTGAGCCTCCCGAACAGCAGTCCAAGAGTGAGTCACTACTCTTTTTTGAACGGGAAAAGTTAAATCATCTACAAAATATGTTTTGTTTCACAATGGAGGTTCCATTTAAGATGTGCAAAAAATTTTTTCGGGATGTTTCACACCTCAAAACTGTGAGGATGGACACTTGATTTAGATATTGTATCTCTTCTCTCTCTCTCTCTCTCGGTCAGTCTATCGTTCGAGTCAGGGTATTGTGCGGGACAAGCGGACGGGGAAGGCCCTGCAGGAGCAGAACTCCTACGCCGTGGGAGTGTGGCGCAGAGTGAAGGCCAAGCTGGACGGGAGGGATCCAGACCCCGGCTACAGAATGACCGTCGCCGAGCAGGTGCATTCAGAGGCAGTAGATGTGTATGACGGACAAAAATTCCGTGCAATTGCGAACAAATCACCGTTTTGGCAAGTGTTACTGCAAATCTACCCTGAAAAAAAACAGTACACAACTCGGTTTTATTATGATACGTTACCAGCTCCCTGTGTGTATATCAAAGTGTGCCATGTATAATACCAAAAGACACACGGCGTTTAGCAAAATTTACTCATTGTTGACTAATGTTTACACCCATAAATTCTTTCAGCTCAGTTATCAGCACTGCCCTATGTGTCCAAGTGTGGCATGCTACCACTTAAAACAAAACATGGCATTTTGGGCAAATTTTACCCTTACCACAAAATGGTGGATATTTGACTCACTTCTTGGTATCCTATGTTTGTGCCTTACTAATCAATGCAACACAGGATCAAACTACACTCTTAACCGTTTGTTTATTTTCAGGTGAAGTTTGTGATTGATGAGGCGGTGGGTCTTGACAATCTGTGCCAGCTCTACGAGGGCTGGACGCCATGGGTGTGAGGTGGTATATAGGACCACCAGGAGTAACTTGTGCAGTTCCTCAACGATACAATAGACTATAGAAAGCTCAACATAGAAAAAAAAACGCTCTCTATTTAGGCTACTCTACATCACCACTTGTGTGGGAGGTGTTTGAAAGCTACCAGAACTCTGAAAGCCAATTTACACACTTTCTTCCATGAGGCAAGAGATAGACTTTTGCTAGTGGAAACTTCCGGAACGATTGTAGTTGTTTGTAGGAAACAATACTGACCAAGCCAGGAGGCTGGCTAACCGCTCCCACCATCTTTGACTGTGTAAACTGGTAGCAACCTCTACACAGTAGTCTACAATTATAGAGCATTTTATGAGCTTTCACACACACATGCTGACTTTACTTGTATGCTAATAATTATACATGCTGATTTTGTAACCATTTTGCGCTATAATTGTCAACAATTAATATTGTGTATATAGCATCTCACGTTAGCCTTTACTTGTGCACATAGGACAAACTGATCACATTTAATGGACATATAATTATAGTGATGCGAATTGTAAAACTAATACATAGGAGAGAAGAAGAAAAGATAATTGACAGAGGGTAACAATGATATAATATATCACCTAAGTCGTCCGTCCTGATTCACGTCTCCCAATTCCGATTTTGGGTCTGGAGAAAATGTACTCCACTCCATGTGTGCACAGTCCCTAATGAAACTACAGCCGTCTCTGTCGGCGTCTGTCCTGCACAGGCCCTCCATCTTCCAAAAGTCGGCGACTAACTTGTCGAGCCATTCCTCCAGGCTCTCGCCCGTCTTGAGCACGTTTTCTTTCCACTCTAAGAAATCTTGCGTCTCGGAAACGGGCGACTGCGGGGAGCTACTCGTCCGTGCTGCGTTGACAGACGGCGGGTTTCCCAACGGCTTCATTCGCTCGTGGGTTAGAGGCACGACGAGAAACTGTGTCTCCATTACCGCAGTACCGTCTACTAGCTCCAGTCTGGCGCTCCAGACGCCGGGGCGAATCGGTCGATCGAACTTGAGTTTGTGAAAAGTCACGAACCAACCAGATTCGACTTTGACGTTCTGAGTCTTGACTCGAGACCCGGTTGGGTCGTCCCAAACAATATTGAGCTGCCCGACCTTACCTGGGTTGAGACGGATTGCGACCACGGGGTCGTCCCAGGCTCCCAGAATACCGCCGTAGTTTCTGAATATGCTCTCCTTCCCATCCCAGTCTGAACCGACCTGTGTAATTGTGTGTATGGAAAATGAAACATGACACAGTTACTAAGTCATCAATCTGCAGCAACAACTGCAACAAAGCTAATGGCCATATCTGTCTTGTACTTGCCTCATATGTGAGGAGGCATGGGAAAAGGGACCTTTATGGCTGGAATGTGAAAATTAAGTTTGAGGGTGAAAAACCACAAAAACTTAATTTTCACATTCCAGCCATATAGGTCCCTTTTCCCATGCCCCCTCACACATATACCATTTTAGGCCTCAGTGAAGGACACCTTGGTCCTTGGAGACATCAAGTTTCCTTTTTCGGAGGTACATTGGTATGAGGCATAAAAAAATATTTTTTATAAAGCGCCATCCCTTATTCGGAGGGTCCTTTTTTCAGAGGTTTTGCTGTACGTGTGGTGATCTATAAAACCCTATGGCTCACCTCGAAACTGTACACTCTATTTGCCACCTCGTCATTTGGTGAGTACTTCTGCAGGTAGCTGAGTGGAGTGAAGAGGATCTCAAACTCGGCCGGCGAGAGACGATCGGACATGGCGTCTCTCAGGGTCACCACGAGCCCCTTGAATGAATCGCTCACCATCAGAACACTCACTTCCTTTACCACCGCTTGCCGAGGCACCTCGCACACACCATCAACAACGCCACCCAGTGTCTTTGAGTCCGAGTAAAGCTTTGCCAGCGCCAGTCGGAGGAGCGACTGGTAGGTACTGAACCTGGCATTGTAAGGAAAGTTGACGTCGTCTTCCACGTGGAATACGTTCTCCCAGAATGACTCGACGGCTGGAGTGCCTTCGGGAGAGGCTCCGTAGAGGTAGAGGTCCAGCTTGTTGATGACGTCCTGGCTCACTATTGCCTCAAACTTTCTCGCAAAGAAGTTGTGATCTCCGGGAGACTGGTAGAAAAGAGAGGGGGTCCTGTTACTATTTATATACTCCGGGAGTCCCGAATGGTGCAATGTTTTCCTGTTACTAATACATGTAACAATAGACCATGTGATGTATATATGTTTATATTAGCAGGGATATGCCCAGGGTGCTCTAGTTTCAACCCTTGATTCTCTATAGATAGCCATGGTTTTGCCTGAATAGACATAGATACACTCCACTGCCCCTCTGTTGGGAGTAATATTTTAAACGCATTTGCTTTGCTTGAATAGAACTCCCAAAAGTACACGGTAACACCCGAGCTACACTTATGAATGCAGCAAATTTGACTGCACAAACAGTGAAAGAGCAGAGTTGCTTGACCTTGTTGCCATCATTTGCTAATGCACATAGTGAATAGTGAATAGTGTAAACTCACCTGAAGTCTTCCGATGTCTTTGGTAAGGAAGTCGTTTGGGGAGCAGCCGCACCAGTCCACGACGTGCTTGTACTGACAGCGACAGCCCAGCTTCCTGTTCCAGTTGGTGATGCGGAGGTTGGTCTTGACAAACCTGTGGCACATCGGTCCGTTACGCAGCACCGTGTGGAAGAACGACTGGAGGGGGAAAATCACCGTGTTTTATGATCGAGTCATCAACAAAAGGAATCATCCGTGTCTTACTTGAAGCTAACGATCAAGTGCAGGATACTGAGTATAAAAGTGAAATCCGTGGAACAGTACGCTTCGTGGATATAGCATGTACCCACTGGCCAGCCAAACTAAGTTGCCTTTAAGCAATTTTTGTACAGTGCTATCAAAGTGACCAATGACCTTTTTAGGCAACACATGGTCACCGGAAACACTACACATGTAAGGAAGAGAGGCGTCTACTTACCTCGGCAGGCAAGAGAGAGAACTCGTAGTATCTCTTGATCCCGGTGAGAAAGTCTGATTGATCGGTGACCAGGTAGCGAGAGTAGTTGCGGTGTATTGCGATCCAGTCGCTCCCACCGTCCACCGTGATGTCTCCCGGCAGTCTCCGGTTGTCCACTCGCCACATGTGATTGTCACACTCCACAAATGTACGGTCCAGTCCCTGCTTCTGTATGAACCTATACACAGTATAAATGAAACTCCCTATCATAGCGCCATACGTTTATGATATTATACAGTACTATATAATATTATGTCCATCCTAAGTAATACTGTACTTGTATTGTGTACACGTGTGGGATCGTCATAAATATGCAACAGTATTGTAAGCAGTTTCTTGTATATACATAACACTACGGCCTTAGACCACACATCATCCAGAACAATGTGCAGAGCCAGCAAAAATGTACCTCCAACACACCCAAACTACCAATGCCCCCCCGCGTGCGGCTGGGCGTAATCTGAGACTAGGACTGTTGAACACTGGGATTATACGTAACTTAATTCCCAAACATCCAAAATATAACCCCTTCTTAATGAGATCAAGCAGGGAACTATGTGAATTTATCCTCCCACAACTCGTGTCTATCTAATAAAAAGTGAGGTTATGCGGTGCACTAACTTGTTTATGTCGGCTCCGTGAGTCTTGACAAAGTTGTCCCCATTGTGTGCCTTCAGAAATCTCGCCAGGTCACCATTGGCCCTGAAAAAAAAACACAGAACAGCACAGCGTGTGTGGTATACTCCGGAGCCATAGAGAGTGCCCCTTATTCAGACACGTCCCTAATTCGAAGGTACAGTATGGGGCAGAACCAAGTGTCCTTTGTGGAGAGGCCCTATACTACTATACATTCAGAGGGTCCTTTTTCAGAGGTACACATAGTGTATGCATAGTATGGTGTAAGTCCATTCTCATCCATCCCTCTCTCTTCCCCCCTACCGGGAAAACTTCCATTTCACTGAGAAGGCTTTCACACATGCTTGTCTAACAAAAACAGGATCCCTAACTCTGAAGACGGTTCTAAATGGGGTGCAAAATTCTTTAAATGTGCCGATACTTTGAGGCATGACAAATAAAATGTGTTCTTATCAGAGAAGTGTACTGTTTCAGTGGTGCCATTAGAGAGGGCTACCACCACCACATATACCCGTCTGACAAACCTGAGAGGGTAGTCTGACTCGCTGAGATTGATGAAGTAATCCCACCGCCAGCCGGTGAGGATGTATTCGAGGTCCTCCAGAGCTCTCAGTAGCATCTGTAGCAATGAGGCTCCGCCCCATATGGTGGCGATCCTCCACGTCGGGAAATAGACGTTTGGAAAATCTGAGAAAGTCTCGTAGAGATTCCGGTGCAAGTAGTCTGACCTCTGAGAAAATAGAATGGGGACAGAACTAAAGTACACCAGTCGGACAGAATAAGGTGGCTGTATATACTAGTAGTGTCCTAATTGTCCTTATTTCAGGGGTAAATTCAAGAACGGTTCTTGCAGAAAGTGTCCTTATCAGAGAGGTTTGTTAATTTCAGGGGTGTCCTTAGAGAGACGTATTACTATAGGAGGAAAATGAGAGAAAAATATGATCGGAAGTGACCGTGGATTTATTGCTCGCCTGTACCTAACCTTACAACTTAAACTTTTATTTTGTCAAAGAATCTGATCATGTTTACTAGCCCAAGAAGCAGCACATATATGACTATACATGCAGAGGGTGTGGGCAGGATGTGGAATGCAGAGCCAATCAGGAGAAATATGAGATTGTTGTGACTGCTACAACAAACCATCTCTTCGCTATTAAGTCTACACCTACATAATTATTATGAAACTGGGGGAGCAATCCAAGAAATAATTGACCACGATCAATCAACACCCAGTCTAGTTGGCTCGCACAATAAACTCACTGAATCAACGTGAATGAAGAAGTAGTGGTCTTTGTGATAGATTGCCTTAAACAGTCTTTTCACCTGGCGAAACGCCCTCCCGTGCAGCGACAACAGAAACACAATTCTTGCACCACCCGAGACATCATTCAGCGATTTTGCCATGAAATTTCTCCCCGAGTCTTTCACCCAACACTCCCTCTTTATGTTTGTGTCGTAGAGGAGACCGGCCATCTGCATGCACGTCACGTTGTGCAGCAGTTCCTTGCATTCGTCGCTCGAGGCACGAGAAATGGCCGACAGAGCGTCTTTCTTTTCGTCGACGTTGCAGTTGTGGTGCTCGGCGGGTACGGGAAACGGTTTCACGTTTTCAAACTTTGCTTTGTTTTGTTGCGAGAGAGACGTGCTTGTTTCAGATGTGGCTGTGGTGGTGGTGAGTTTGCCGCCGTCTTGCCAAACTGCGTCCGGGACATTGGCAGCACCGTTTCTCCTCTGTAAGTCAGGTGAGACGTGCGTGTTGTTCTGTAGCTGCTGCATGTGTCTGACTACGCGATCGCGATGACCGTCCCTTACTTGTCCGCCGGCGTCGTCCTTCTCCTCGTACTGGTTCACATGCGGTTGAGGTGGTCTGTTGTGGTCCACTGGTGGCAGTTTCTAACAGGGGAAGGGGTGGGGACATCATGACACAAAAGGTGGGTAAATACAGTGCTACTACTGTATATATAGTCTGACCAAAAACCATAATCACACCCACAAGCCCACCACTGCCCCAGTTCAAAGGAAAGTGTCCATAAAGCTCCACTCTTTTTTTAGGGCTTCTAAAACTGCTCGTAAACTGTTGTTGCAGCAGCGAGCATGTCAGAAGCCTACACCCACAAGCAACATCTGTAGCCACACTATGTGTGTATCTGCTACTTCCAGTGTGTGCAACTGAAGAACACATCTGGGACAACATACGAGATGCAATGGAGAATGCTGGACGCTATACCCAGTAGCCCACCAAGGTGTCTGTGTACACGCACAATACCAACCGACACTTGAAAGTCTCACACATACGTAGACCATATTATCATTGATGATACAGTAAAACATGCTGTCTAGTGTCCAGATTGTATATACACACATAATAATTATGCACCAATGCTCTGATGATCAGGCTTTATGTGCATTGTACATACACACACACAGCCCTTTTGAGCACCCAACTCCATCCGCTTTACTTAGTGCTAACACCAGTACAAATGTTTTGTGCTAAAGGAATGGCTTGTACACAAACTTCAAATAGTACAGGGTCATTCGGCTAGTAAGACCTTGTTATGACTAAACTGTCTAAAGAGCAGCTGGTACTAAGCAAAAAAAGCGCCAGAGAAGGACACAATACGCGGCCAATGGCCTACTAGATCGTTCCAAGCGTGCCTGGTAAGGAGATCAGGCGTGTGTTGCTAGTCCACCACACGCAGGCGTGCATGACAGGAATATTCAACATACGTAGCTGACTCTTTGTATCAGACACTGAGGTAAGCCTCACTCCACGCAAAAAAAACTCCGAGATCATGACACGAAACTGAGTGAGAGATTCCTCACGTTGTGCAGGGAGGGCGAGTGTGGGGTGGCCTGCTCCTCCAGAAAGACGTCTCTGCCGGCGCTCTGCTGACTGCTCAACTGACTGACCGCCAGCATCTGCAGCAACAGCACCACGCAGCCGAGTCCGACAATGAACGCTATACGAACACCGAACACTCTGAACCGCATCTTCCCGACCGTGTGCTGCGGACCATACAACACCCAGTGAACAGAGCTGGCCGCCTCGGGGCTGAGGAAAAGGAGGAGCTAAAAACGATAGCTCCTCCCTTTACAATAATTAGCGGCAATTTCTAAAAGAAGCACACCAAGAAATCTTTACTATGAGCGAAATAGCTGCTAGTGAGAGCCAGGAATCACCGCCGACTGGTTCTACTGCGGCTCCTGAGACCGAGGAAGGCACTGATAGCAGTCTGCTAGAGTTGACTGCGGGGTTGGAAAGGGGAGAAAAGGCGGAAAAGCTTCCCCCAGACACCATTCCTCCCTGTTCCCCCCAATCCGGCCTATCCGTCCTGGCACACAAGATATGGATTGGCAACCTCGACAAGAGACTGTCCCAGTGGGTGACTTGCAGTCTCTGAAACTGGCGTCTTCAAACATGGTGTCAATTATTAGGGAAAACATATTGAAGTTTGTAAGACGCTACGGGACTCCCGTGTCGTTTCGGTTCAACTTCAGGGCTGGGACGGATGTGATGGAACCGAGAGGTTACTGTTTCGTGGAATACTCTACTCGAGAGGTATATAAGCACTGACAGACTCTACTCTACCTCTCGCTCACACTCAAGGTGTTTTCCCTACACATGTGTGGTTTTGCATGGTAGTGTAATTATACGTAGAGTTTCCGTTGAACTGCGTCTGACTGATAATTCTGCTGATGTGGGTACTTAAGGAGGCAGAGAAGGCCAAGGCGGCACTAGATGGCAAGAAAGCTCTCGGGAAGAAAATCGTCGTTGACTGGGCTCGTATTGATCCGGCCACTAAAAAGAATGCAAGTCACACAATTTCTGTTCTGTATCTGTGTATGTAGACATTGCATAAGCACAATTGTGGACAGTGTGTCATGGAAATGTTACACCTGTATCCAGGAGGACTCTGCGTCTGAGACATGGGATCCAAGTGTTGTTTCTGAGACCCTTGAAAAGGGAGTCAGGTAAACTGCATGCACAGTGAAGGACCCTCTGAGTAAATTACATCTCTCTATAGATGACACTTGGTTCTATATATATAGTACATTTGAACCTCCAAAAGAGGTTTCACGGTAGTTGAAGCCTGTGTGACTGGTACTATGTATCACCTGCTGCAGTACATCAGCCAAGATAGCGGCTCTCGAGGCTAAACTGAAAGCAATGGAAGAAGGAAGGTCAACGAGTGTTGCTGAGAGCATCCAACGGCGGCCTTGGACCACAGAGAGACTAGGGAGAAGGAGACTAGCAGACTCCAGAGTCATAAAACGGCCTCACATGAGAGGAAGAACTCGCCACTTTAGGGCTAGAGGCCGTTTCACCTAACCATTATACATGCCTTGTTTCAGAATCAGTATGTTGCGTGTTCGTTCCGTAACGCACGCGCACTGTACGTGGATACAACGTTTATCTGTATGCACGTGGGGCCCCCGACGATGATGGAAGCGGAGGCTGTGAAGGAGCCGGAGGGAGCCGACGCAGAAACGGTAGACGATGAGCGGGAAGACGACAAAATCGAGGACATGCTGGAGACAACTCAGGCCCAAGACTTCTGCCTGGAGAGTATCACACCATGTGTTCCTATTAGAGCACATCAAACAGTAGTATTCAGACGTGTATTCCTTGACATATTTGCCAGTTTTACCTTTGATAAAGCAGTCTCAAAACCAGAGAGGCCTCCGTCACGGCGATTACCAGAGATATAGGCAAGTTTTATGCATCAAGTAGAGTGACTACGTTCCCATGTATATACTTGGTTTTCAGGCACTACAGTTCACGGAGGATGCGTCGCATCAGACGTAACCTCAACTTCACCCACGGCCATCGACACAGGTTCCAGAAGAAAGTCCTCACGGTTGAGAAAGTCACTGAGCTCAGGTATACCACCAGTGTCTGCCAGAGGACCTGCTCTGCTTTTTGATGATAGACAAGCTCTTTTATAGGGGATAGACAATGGAAAGATAGACAATGGAAAGTGTAGAAGCCAGTCAGTCACCAATTCAACATATCAACCAGGGCATTGTCTTAGGATTATTGAATGTGAACAAAGCATGTCTGATAAGGAGTGAAGAATTGTACCATCACAATGATATATACCTGTACTATTTAAGCCTGCCACATTGATACAGTGTACCTTTTCTCTCTTTGCACTGACAAGTTTGGTGCTGAGCATACACTGACCCTGCTTCTTTCTCCTAGGTATCTCTATTTGCCACTGGTGTGTGCTGAGAGATCATGGGCAATGGCCATGGAATTGAAACAGGAGATAAACTCGGACCCTCGGAAGAGGTTTCACATGCTCCGTAGGCTGAAAAAGGCGGCAAAACATGCGGAGCACCTGCTTCGGTTGTCTGAGGCCTGCGAGAGATGTGACGCCAGGACAAGGCTTGAAGCACAGGTACAGTATAATACCCATGGCTGAGGTTAGACACACAATAAATGTCTCTTGTCTCTCACTGTTCAGGCCTACAAGTTCTGGATGAGTGCCAACGTGAAATTTGAGCAGCAAAAGTGGCAGCAATCGCTAGAAGAGTTTGGACAGTGCCAGTACGTATATATGTATGCAGCATTAGAACATGCATCTATGTATCCTTTCCATTCAATGTTTCGCAACCATCCTCAGGACTATCTATGAGAAGCTGGGTGGAGCTGTCCCGGATGACCAGAAGGCGGTGTATGCTCAGCGTGTGGAGGAGATGGTTCCAAACATCCGCTACTGTGCCTACAACATAGGAGATTCCACTGACGTAGCAGAGCTGGTCAAACTGAGGCCAGATGCTCCAGGGCTGGCATCTAAAATTGATGTGAGACTAATGACAGGAAAAGCCCTCTAAACACCAATAGGACATAGAGGAAGTGTCAATAACTGAGGTGTCCTTTTTAGCTGATTTGAGTGCAGGATGTGTAAATTTTGTCCTTATGAGGGAAGCGTCATCATTTCAGGGGTCGACCAGAAGGGTTCCACTATAGACCTTCAACTGTGTCATGACTCAACAACTTGGTAGTGAGGTAGAAAGGCAAGACAAGGCAAACAAGTCAACTACACCCAGGACAGCTCTTTCTTTTCAAAGAAAAGAAGAAGAGTTGCCCTAGGTGGGATTCGAACCCACGACACTCTGCACAGCTTTAGGATCCCGTACATTATGGTTTAGACACGACACTTTAAACCCTATTTCTCATATTGAAAGGATGTCCTGTCGAAGACGCAAGAGAAAGCAGCTTCCTCACTCAGCGAGGTGATGTGGCGAGAACAGCGTCTGCCTGTCCGCAACGAAAGGCTGAGGGTGGGCCTCATAAAGCTGCAGCAGCTGGAGGGGGAACTGCGGGGACGCAGGACGGCTGAGGGGGACGAGGGAAAGATGGAGATGTATGAGCAACTACTGATGGAATGTCAGGACGCTATGCAGATTGTTAGAGAGGACATTGCTGCAGAAACGGTATTCAACTTGTGTTAATTTCGTGAATTTTTCCCGTTTTTTTTCTTTCACAAAAAGGCCGCAGTAGTTCATGTATCCTACACCCACTCAATGTCATTTGGCTTTGCTCTTTTTTGACAGAGCCTGTCTGAGAATAAGAAGCGGTCTCAGAAGGCTGAGGTCCACATGGATACACTGAGGCAGCTAATGGACTACCTCACCCACTTCAAGCTGACTGTGGCCATCGATCGAAACCTCCACCTCTTCCAGACCATGAAGAACCCAAAACCAGGGGCCAGGAATGCCAAACCCGAAGAATTTGTCCGAGTCTTTGATATACTTCTACAAGTAAATCAATTCAGGGTCGTCTTATCAGTATGGTAGATAGATTCTTCTTCTTCTTCTTCAGCATAATAGTAATGAATTTTTGTAAGAAGGGGAGACAGCGAAATTTTGGTGAGATAGGGATAGGTGCAGCAAGATGGGAGATGTAACTATTCCATACTCCAACTGTAATCAAAGTATTAAAGATAGTTGGTTTGTCTCTTCTTCCATTCTTGTGCCTACAACAAATGCAAAATCGTTGACACCCTTATTTAGGGAGGATATATAGCAAAATTTGGGCGAGATAGGGATAGGTGCAGCAAGATGGGAGATATTACCATTCCGTACTCCAACTGTAGTCAAAGTATTAAAGATAGTTGGTTTGTCTCTTCTTCCATTCTTGTGCCTACAACAAATGCAAAATCGTTGACACCCTTATTTAGGGAGGATATATAGCAAAATTTGGGTGAGATAGGGATAAGTGCAGTGAGACAGAAGATGTCACCATTCCATACTCCAACTGAAGTCAAAGTATTAAGGATAGTTTGTTTGTCTCTTTTTCCACTCATGTGCCTACAACAAATGCAATATTGTCGACGCCCTTATTTAGGGGGACAGGCGCGATAGGGATAGGTGCAGTAATTTTTTCTAACCCTATTACACATGCCTCTCTTTCTCTTCAGCATGTTACAGATTTAGGTGACATACTGGGGGCAGAAGATCTCACCAGTCAGAAATACATCGCTGCCCTGACGCTCGCTTTCAAGTCGTTTCGCTGTTATTATCTCTCGGAGTCGTATGTGGTTATGAGGAAGTGGGCAGAGGCAGTGGGGCTGCTGGACCGGGCTCTGGAGCACGTGACGCAGTCTCTGGAACAGTATAGGTCACTGGAGCAAGGGGCGGTCTCTGTGAATGTGAAGGTTGACCAAGAGAAAGTGAGTTCCGTATGATCCGTCGAGGCATGTAGCCATCGGAAGTAGCAAGAAACGGTGGAAAGAACATGCATGGCTTTTTCCTTTTTTGCAGTTCAGCACGGTTCACCTGCAGCAGTTGAGAGAGACAATCAAGGGACGAAAGTGCGAGGTCCACGTTAGTAGTGTTTTAGGTAAGTGTCCATCATCATCCTGTGTGATAGGTATGTAAGTAAGGATGCTGTCTTTGTTGTAGAAGCGGATGAGGTTGAAGAGAAAATGTCTCAACTGAGCTTGTCAACAAAAGTAAGGTGTGAATGCACCTGCCCGACTGTTCTTAATTCTGTCTTACTTCCTCCCTAAAGCCACTCTCAGAATGTATGGATGAATTTGCCCCGGTACCACCCACACAAAAGGTCACACTGGCTCCCATGCCGCCTGACTACCAGGCTCTCCCGTGCAAGCCTCTCTTCTTTGACCTGGCGTTGAATCACGTCACGTTTCCCTCTCTTGCCCACCGGGCTGAGAATAAGCCGGGTGGAATCACTGGTCTTGTGAAGGGGTGGATTTGGGGGAGCAAGTCCTAGGGGGAGTATGACTTTTCAGGTCTCACTGCATATTTTGGTGTGATAAGTTGGAATCATGATTTAGAGTGTGCGGGTTTGGCGGCCAGCACCAGAAGTTCAAGTTCAGACGCGATTTTTCACGTTCGGCGTAGCGAAACGGCCCTTGCATTTGTTATCATAACTTCATAATCTAAGACTGACTGATTTGTGGGACAAATTTGTTCAAATGTGTCCACTGATTTACGTCTAATAGGGTCTTGTCAATCTTTTTGACCTGAATGGGCACATTTCGTGAGCTATTGTCACTGTGTAGTATAGTTAGTCTTACTTCATTCAGACATGAGGCATATTTGACTGGAGTTGCGTCTGTAGAATTCACAGCTGACTCGTAGAGAAGTTGGGCGATATCTTTCAACTGAGCAGAATGGGTTGGAGGTGTCTGGCATATGATCTGCAGTTAAAAACCTCAGTCAACGCGAGTATAAAAGGCGGCGTCTCTAATATGCCTAGGTTAACTTACAGTCTCTAGACAAGGGAGGTAATAGACCGGAATATGTGAGTTAACTGAGACTGTTGATATGTGGTCGATAATGACTCTGTTCCACGTGGAACCAATGCCTGTGAGGGAAAATGTATTGCCCGCAAGAGGGCGAGTCTAATGCAAAACTGTGAAGCATTATTTGCGTACCCTGTCCTAGTCTATCTCCTTCTCCTGTAGTAATGTATTTGAAGAGCTGAACTAGGCACAGAGCACAAGCTTCCCTCACTGCTTTGTTGTCCTATATGCATACAGAGTGAACAAATTACAAATGCGCCAGCCAAGCAACCGTGTATATATACCTTAACCAGGCAGTTTTGTAAGAGAAAGCACAGTTTTTTCACTAGCTGTACATCGTGCCCTAGCGATACCCTCTTGTTAGAGTCACACAGTAAGAAGCTGCCAGTGTAAGCTCCAGTGCAGAGTACCACACGCCAGAAATACAATCCCGACACTGTGTAAACAGTAGTGGTAAAAGCTGTGATCATACAAGACTGCCATTGGCTCACAGTTTATGGTTGGTGAGTGGTGGATTAGTGTGGTTAGAGTTGCCTGGAGAGGGACAACTCCACCAGACTGGCTCTGTAGGGAGTATGGCTAACATACGAAGTGCTACATGCAGTAACTTACGCAAGATATCTTAGTCTTGTGTTGGTGATAGATAAGACTGGCTATTAGCCTCAGTGCATTGGCAGACCCCATGCTGTGGTCCTACGCAAATGTTAGCTGTTTAATATGCACGTGGTAGTGCTGGTCTGTTTCACCTTTGGCTTAGATGATGCAGGCACACATGACACAACCCTTTCAAGGAAAGACGTATTGTTTTGTAGCAGACCGAGAACTGGAAACATGTGGGAAACATACACTCTTGATGTGTAGGAAATGCACCGTCCATTACCTTGCGAGCTTACTTCCTTTGAGTCGTTAAGAATCCCACAGAGTAAGGCTGTACCACTTGCAATAGATTCAGAACAACACCTAACACATACAGTACTTGTCATATACCCATACACTATATTGTACACTGACCTTGCTACAAAGTTGGTGGCTGTAGACAAAAATAGTTCTATCAAGCTGCGTAATTGTTTAGCTGACTACTTTACCGTGGTAGACCAACTTGAGATCGGGAGCCAGTAAAGTAGAGTGGATGCTTTTTGCTAGTAGCTTCATCAGTGACGCCGTGGCACCGTCTGAATACACACACAAATCTCTTTACTGTGACTTGTGCCATACATACACACACACACACCTGATAGTGGGCGAATCCTCTGAGCCAATAGAAACTTTTGAACGTAGCTAAACACTTTGCGAGAACTGTTGCTGTCGATACATTGCTGCTAACGTGTAGAACGTTTCAGATCAAGAATAGTCAGTAAATGCTATAGTGCTATATAAAACCTCTGAGAGAAGGTGGTCGAGAAAGGAAATCATCAGGGGAGTAAGCTCTTCCTCAGTTGACACATTCTGTACATTACATCATCATAATGTGTAGCTTTGGTCTCAGTGAGAGAGAGCTTACCAATAGTATATCAAGGCTGGTAGGTGTCGTCCTGATGAACTGCACAATGACAGACCATTCCTCGCAGCCAGCAGTCAGCTCAAGATCACTGTCAATGTCGTCCTTGGCACATGTACCCTTCAACCACTCCCAGAACTATACGAAGCAGTTTGTAAGCTATACCGTATCCACTGCATGCACAAACAAGGAGTTTCTACCCTTTCATTTCAGAGTACACAGCTGTGTGTGTCAGTGTTCTATAACCCCATTACTTTCTGACCCAGGTTCTGGTGATATCTTCCAGCATTGGCTGGGAGAAGGCCCACTGTAGCAGGTAGCGGTTGGGAGAGAATAGGGAGCCAGGGCTGGCCACTCGCAACAGAGCCCTCACTAGAATCTGACTCCCTGTAGTGGTGTAGATAGCTCGGTATTATTATGTGAATTTAGCCACTTTTTAAATTTTTTTTATTGACCTTGAGTTGCTTTTGTAGGCATGACCAATGTGACTCCAGTGTCCTGTACTGTCATCTGGAAATAGTGTGCTAGTCCATGTCAAGTAGGGGGGGTTTTGCTGGCTCACAGCGTAAAGAGCAGTGAGGTGGGTAAGTGAGGGGATCGGCATCAAATGGACGTCAGGATTCAGGACTAAGAACTTGTCCAGAGCTTGCAGCACCAACACCGGTGAAGTTACACTGCAATTGAAATCACATACGTAACTACATACATACACCACTAGAACTCCTTGCCTTGCACTTGAGTGAACAGTGTGGTAAAACAGAGTCAGCACAGCTCTCTGAAGCTGTGGCAACGAACTGGTACAACCGGAAGAGCCATGGGGTGGTCGCTGGAGCAAAACCTCAAGACACTTTTCCAGCTCACCTTGTTGGAGAAGCATGCAATGACAGCGTATCAAGATTGCAGTACACTTACAGTTGAGGTGAGGCAGTGCAGAATGCAGGGTCTCCCTGATGTAAAGTCTTTCCTGTGGGTCTGATTCAAGACTTGCACACAGCGATTCCACACACTCATTGACACAGCCGCAGAGGGATGCCCCACTGTGAGAACACAAGACATTGATTCCCACCATTTGAGAAACACTGCAATTACCCAGGGGCAGTAGAAAATCTGCTCTTTATATCAAATGCTAAGTAGATGAATCCAAGGTTACCTGCAATGTAAAAAGGGATTCATTGTAACAACGTGGAATAGCGTTTCCTCTGTATTACCAAGTTTCTGAGCAAGAAAAGTGTTGGGTGGCTCTGTCACTCCGTCAAGCTGGATCTTCGCAATGTTGAAAAACACGGAAAATGGCTCACAGCGATCAAGCACTTCAGCCTTCAGCTATGAGGCAGTTTGATTCACATTTTGTCATACAGTGTCTGTCATACCAGCAGAGCAGGCACGAGGTTTTGTTCGAAGCTTATCGAAAGAAATGTGATGACGTCTTCAGAAACAGTATAGTACTTTTCCCCATTGGATCTCTTCCCCTCCAAACAAACCCTGTGTACCACAGCAAAAAGCACGTGAGCAGAACCAACAATAATTGTCAACTAACTTATGCATATTCTCCATAGTTGATAGGACTAAACTGAGCAGCTGTAGTGGATGTATCGCAACGGCTGAAGGCATCAAGCCTTGTTGGGTTGAGCTAGAACTTAGATCCCTGTCTTCAGTGGGTGATTGTGCGTGGAGCTCCAAAAGGTGGAGAAGGAGGGAGAGAAGAGGCAATAGGTTCGACAGGTGGAAACCTGGTGGTAGGTGGTGTGTGCTGCACGCAAACACAATGTATGTGACTCAGTAGCTGGTTGAAACCTACCAGAGCAGGTAAGAGAGGGTAGTAATGGAGGAAAGAACTGTGGCTGGAGTCTGCAGAGCCGTGTGGACTAGAATAAGCAGCTTCTGCAGACCCTCACTAGTTGCTGATGTGAAGAGTGACATTGTGGCCGGTTGTCTTTTACAGAAAATAAAATTTCATCGTCTCCAACTTGTGGTGCTATCATATGCATACCTTTGAAGAACGGTTGATAGAAAAGTTAGGCTGGATGGGGAAATGACCATGAAAATTCTACATACTTATTTCAAATACATACCCGAGATTTACAGCTTCGTGGTTGTTTGTTTCAAGTGAAGCTGACACTCCATCAATGACCTGCTCAATGCCTAAAGAACCACAGAGACTGTAACTATAATAACGTCTCACCATTAGGATACATACATAGTCAACTTACCATACACAATATGCCCCTTCGAATAGAAATCCTCCACAGTTGCAAGTAGGTTCAGACAGGAAAACAAGGAACTATATATACATAACACAAGTAAACTAACTTGCCACACTCTACAGATTATACCAACAGCATCAGTGGATCCTTCTTGGTTCTTAGAGCTTCAAACATGAACTCTGTATGTAAGACCAACAGTGGAGTAGAGAAGTGTTACCGTCATTTTCTAACCGGCAATGTCAGCCTGAAGCAGTGTCTGCCCGTACTGAGGGTGGTAGGTAAGAACCTCTGACACACACTGAACCCCCGAGAGCTGCAGAGTTTCATCGTTACTCAGCAGAACTCTCTTGAAGGCCGATGCTAGGGTTGATCCTGTTATATATGAACTAGAGAGCTAATTCAATTGTAGACCATAATATGGATGGACCTTTTGCATTTGAAGTGTGTCTGTCAGTCTGCAGCAGACACTGGGCATAGACACTGCTCTTTAGCATGCCTTTGACCAGACCTGTAACAATTAACCACACTGTAATAGCAACCCAATGCGAAATGTACCACGGTGAAGTTTTATCTGTCCAATACGAATTTACCACTGTGAAGTACTATGTGTAAGTGCATGTGTAATATACCCAAGAGGTTGAGAGTGAGTGTGTGGGACTTGGCAGATGCCAGGTTGGAGGAAATGAGTCCACAGACAGCCTGCACAAGGCTGGCAGGGAGGGAGTCCTGAGGTGTCTTCATGCTCAGCTGAGCCAGCATGTACACCACTGCTGATTTCACATCTTCATCCGGGTAGGCCAACCCTCTTAGCAGGTATTCAAGAAAGCCACCTTTCAGGAGTAGGCATAGTTACACTTCAACAGTACTGAAGGAGAGTGACATTTTTGTTTACCAAATGAATTTGTCATTTCGGTGCAGAGAGGGGGCAAGGAGTATAGCATCCGACCAAGGAACGTCAGGTAAGGGAGTCCATCTGAACATCTTTGTGTTGCCATAACCTTAGCATGCACCCATACAAAGTGTGTATATACCTATATCACTAGAGTACATTATTACATACTGTTTGAATAGTTTTCTGCATTAGTTTTCTGGGCAAATCTGTCGCTGAAAACTGACCAGAAATCGCACTCAGGACTAGTATGCAGGGAGGTATATACACCAATTACAGCAGTACACTAAGTACACGAAGAAAAGGCTAACCTTCCATCGCTAGCTGGGCAGTTGTTCCATCTTGTGTTACAAGCAGACCTAACAGAGGATATGATACAATACATGAGTAATGGACATGTTTGGGTGGCTAATTGCAATGTCTCATCTGGTTTCCTTTACTCGGAAGCCATCCTGAATTGCACTCACGTTACATAATAGCTCTGTAACAATCACCCTTTGATGCAATTGCAAGTGTGCAGACATTAGTGCACCGGTATAGCAGCATTAGATGAGGCATTTGTCAGTGTTGAGAGGGCAATATTGTGTGTCTCCACCTTGTGCTATATTATGTGTATATATGTATATACAATCCAATTTGTGCCCACCTGCCATTGACTATATATATAATAAAAGGGAAAGAGTGTGTGGACACGACCTTTGCCGCCACTTTTCCAGCTGCCAATGGGTATGAATGGCAACATGCAAACACAACATACAGTGCTTCAGCTCACAATACATACCGAACACAGTGGTGGACAGGTGATCCAGCACTCTCCTGTCAGAAGACAGCATACGGACGAGAGAACTGTCTTTGGCAGTCAGCAGTCCCTGTAGCTCTCCCAGTACCCTTCTGTGGTGGAGGGACAGGTCAGCTCTGTCTTCCAGTCGCTCTGTGGCGCAGGCCAGACAGAGAGTGGGAACTGAGTAGCCTCTGAGTGTCCACACTGAGCTGTGGTGGACGTGTCTCTGCGTGAGTAACGGGAACTGGGTCTGCTGCGTGGCCATAATCAACAAACGCAGGCTCCAGCCAGCTAGCAACAGACACACACTCGCGCTTTGATTTTCGCGCCAGCTAGCTGCGCGCGCGAGCGCTTCGAATTACGTCACTGAGTTGGGATACTAAAAATAGCAAGTGCAAAGTGCTGAATCATGGTCATGCGGCCCGGCGAGTGCGCGTTTTCGTGGTATAAAACGCTCCTGTTCGGCGCAGATACCCATTCATTGCTGCCTTCTCAGTAGTGGGTCAAGGAGAGAGAAAGGGATCGAGCACAGCGCGATCTCCCTCAATCCACCATGAAGCGCTTACTTCGAGCAGTCACCGACACTTCAAAGAAATAACGCTTACTTCGTCGGATTGTGACCGTATCATGGTCATGACCTGAATTTTTCCTTCTTTTTTATTTCAGCTCTAAGGTGTTTCCCTGCCAAAGCGGCCACGCAGTCACCCACAGGGTGCTATGTGGTGGCAGGGAGATGCTGGAGGGCGCCATATTGTACTCTCTTCACCTTGTGCCATCAAAGGCCCACACACAAACGGTGGTGCCAAGTGTACAAGGGAAGAGTGTGCGACATGGGTTCATACAGGAACAGAAGAAAGCAACACCGGAAAAAATGGCCCTGGTTTAGTTAGATACCGGTCACAACGCGCATGCGCAGTTGCTTTGGCGATTAGGGGCCCGGCCGGGGGGGCGGGGGGGGCGGGAATCCTCTCGTTGTTCGGGCCAGCCAGATGGACTTGCTTATGGAGGAAGAGGTAGGCACAGGGGAGAGTTCTCTGGAGGAAAAAGTCCCCGCTCAGCGACGGGTCTCGTTCAAACCGGGCGATCCCGTCTCGTTACGCGAGGTGGCTCCGCGCTCAGACGCAGACGACGACCGTACAGGAGACCACGAGACGACCGACGATCCTGGCAAGTACCGTGGCCGTTCGCGTTCTGAAGTAGCCCCGACGGTATTAGAGAGGTTCCTCGTGACCAGAGAGAGAAAATGGAGCGTGACGGTGGCCTCGCTAGTGGCCGCCATACCGGCGTTTCTGTTGGGACTAACTCTCGGGTACCCGTCCAACGCACTCCTGGATCTCACAGGGGAGGCTACGGAACTGCCTCCTGAATTCTTTTTCTCCACTGCGGCCCTGTCTTTATTCACTGTAAGTTGAGCTGACTGGTGGGGCTGATTAGGCTGATTAGGCTGAAGTTCATTCAGTGTTGACCTACTACTTGAAAATCACCTGACATTTTCTGACCTGGGACCCATTAATTTCCTAATATAGTCACTGGCTCCACTGTGTGCCATATTTGGTGGTCCAGTCGGTGGCTGGATCTCGGATCACTGGGGAAGAAAGTGTGGCTTGATGTTCTGCGGTGTGCCCTACCTCATCGGCTACCTCATGCTCAGCTATGCCCACTACTCTGCGACTGCCACTGTCTTCAATGCCGTGCTCTTCAGTGGACGAGCTCTGGCTGGATTTGGAATGGGATGGGCATCTGCTGTCTCACCCGTAAGTGTACGACATACTGCAATTACAGGCTTGACTACTCACATTAATTTTTCTTGAACGTGCCTGTGTGAAACACTGTGTGCCAATTACGTGGTACAACCATGCACATGTAATGACGATAGTTGTTCCTTTCTCTAGGTATACACAGGTGAACTCTGCTCTGCTAAGCTAAGGGGGGTATATGTCAACTTTTTCCCCGTTTTTCTCACGACTGGAATCTTGTTCAACTTTGTCCTTGGAGCCATAGACAACTTTCGCTACTACGACACGTCACTGGTGGCGGTTGGGATTGTGGCACTGTTTGAGGTGCTGATGTTCTGGCTTCCAGAGACCCCGAGATGGCTGATGGCGCAAGGATATGCGGAGCGTGCAGAGCACGTCTTGCTTTGGCTCAGGGGAAAGAAGATTGGCATAGACAAAGAATTAGAGGACATGAAAAAATCCCTCTCGAAAAAGAAAACAAATGTTTGGAAAGTCTTTCGACAGCGAAGGGTGTTTCAACCACTAGTATACCTCCTGATCCTCTTTTTTGTTCAGCAAATGGGAGGGGTAAATGGAATTACCCCCTTTGCTGGCCTCATTCTTAGCGACGCTGGGTTGAGTAACCCACGGACAACTTCCATCTATGCTGTTGGACTATCAGGGTTCGTAGGTCTAGCAGTTTCTATTGTACTCGTTGATCTAATCGGGAGGAAGACCCCTCTCATTATTAGTGAGATAGGACAGTTCGTGGCAATAGTAATGCTAGGTATCCACGCCTACATCACTCGCCCTTCTCTCTGTGACTTCAGTACCTCTGATGCAATGCCGTGCAACCCTCAGTTCCAGTACATGGCTCTTGTGAGCATCATCGGTTTTGCACTCTCCTTCACTTCCGGTGCAAACTCAGTCCCGTACGTGCTTCTTGCAGAGTTTATGCCTCTCTCGGTGCGTGGAAAGGCCAGTGGTATAGTGGCTGCCATGACTTGGGGTTGTTCTGCCCTTTTTACGGGGCTTTATTTCGAGTTCAGAGAGTGGATAACTCCCTGGTTCACTCTTTGGCTCGTTGCATTAGTCAACCTCATAGGTGTTGTATTTATCGTACTTATTATTCCGGAGACAAAGGGAAAGAAGTTGGAAGAACTGGAGAATGTGTTTGTAAAGAGACCAGACACGGTGGAAACTGTTTTATGATGCATGATTATAAAATCATAATTTCCACACCTTAGTTTGTCATTATTAACCCTCGGCGCGCATGCGCAGCGAGGGTTGGTTTGTCCGTCTGTCTGTCCGTCTGTCTGTCCGTCTGTTACCACGTTTTCTGCCACCACGCACAACAAACAGGTAAAATAGCGACACCAACGGGTTCAGCGCTACACTGGCTTGATTTTAAAAAATGCACATTTTCGTAAAAGTGCCGCGTTCAGAAGTTATGGCGTGAAAACCAAGTGAACAAGCCAATATGCTAATTAGCACTAGCTTACCTCGACCTGATCCGCTTGCTCTGTGTTCCTCGAAGGCACAAGAAGTCACAAGGAAGGGCGTGTATCGACTCCCGCATGCTATCTACTGCTGTAGCTAGCCCGTGTCAGACTCTCCGCGAGCTACTAGCGGGAGATCACGAGTAAACGCAGACTAATAAGCCCAGCCCATCAATTAGAGATACCGCGCATGCGCAGTTCGCCGAGGGTTTGCACTTTAGTGCTCTTCATTACATGAAAAATAAATTATTACATACTCCATTTCTTTTCAAAGGCTGCCTGGATTGACTCTAAGCTTTTCCCCTTTGTCTCGACCAGAGCAAAGGCAGCAAAAGCTACAGACATGAAGTTTAGGAGACCGAAAGACCACCAACCAAACCAGACAGTGACGGCCTTCACGTAGCTTAGATAGGTACCAGTGACTAGGGCAGAGGTGGTCCAGTTTACCAGGACTGCAAACCCACCTCCAATTCCCCTCACTTTGAGTGGTAGGAGCTCAGGCAGTAATACCCACGGGACTGAGGCCCATCCAATACCAAACAAAAAGTTGTAGGTTATCAAACTGACGATTGCTAGTGGTCCGTACTGTCCGTTGCACGAAGTATCGTCACCAGCACCAACTCCTGAGAATTCCATCCCGCTGCCCGAGCACAGTGACGGTCTGGTGATGTAGAAGTGAACACCAAGTAGAGTGCTCCCAATGCCCATGCCAATTCCACTGACAAACAGCAGGGGTTTCCTCCCCATCTTGTCCACTAAAACACCCGCAATCACATTACCCACTAGGCCACTGACACCACCACACATGGCTGACGCCAACTGGGGATGATTGACACCAGCGTCTCTGAAAATGACTGTGGCATAGGCAGCCTGTGCGTTAAGCCCACCAATCTGCTGGAAGAAAAACACCAGCAGGAGCGTAACAAACGGCACGAGGACAGACTTTCTCTTGAACTCTCTCCACACACCGCTTTCGTGGTTCTCGGTCAAGGACAGTTTCATGGTCTCCAGCTCACTACCAATGTCATAATGTGGACCTCTCAACCATTTGAGGGCAAAGAAAGCTGGTTGAGCCTGTCTGTTTGCTAGAAGCCATCTCGGTGTCTCTTTTAGCCAGAGTCCCAATGGAAAAAATCCAGTGATGATGACAGCAGCAGCTAGAGAAATGTGGTAGTAGGGGAGAAAGGCGGACAGGCCGTAGCCCACAAACACACCAAGAGTGATGAAGAGCTGCATGATCGTTCCAAAGAGCCCTCTCAGTCGAGATGAGGATATTTCCCCAATATATATCTGCATCGTTGAGAAAAATAACCGTAGATTAGAAAGGCATCAGAAACACAAAAGGAAGAATTGCAGGCGTTGCTCTTACTGAAGCTGTTGAAGAAGCCCATCCCATGCCAAATCCGCTGAAGAATCGTCCAATCAGCAGCAGAGTCTTGAAGGCAGTGGCAGTTGAAGAGTAGTGGGCATAGCTGAGCATGAGGTAGCCGATGAGGTAGGGCACACCACAGAACATCAAACCACACTTTCTTCCCCAGTGATCCGAGATCCAGCCACCAACCGGACCACCGAGGAGGGCACCCAGTGGAGCCAGTGCCTGTTGAAGAGAACCATGCATACCTCATTACTGTAGCAGCATTACCTCGTCACTGGTTAATACTAGAAGAATGTTCAACATTGTTGGCGAGCGGGAGCGACCCAATTTGGGATTTGCGCGATGTTCGGGCTGCATGATGAAGCGTATACAGCTTTCCGTTCGTGAAGCAGGACAGAGACCTGTCGCCGTTTATGCGTACTGTATTGCAAGAACGGTGAGCAGGTGAGCAGAACGGTCCTTACCTAACGCTTTCAGCTCGTCTGTCGTGGTCCAACAGGTAGTTGGCATGGCACGGCAGTAAGCTAAGGCAGCGAACGATCGGGCTGGCCAACCACGCGGCGTGTGTAAGCCTATACAGGACGATTGGGAAATTTCATCAAGCATGTAAAACCTTTCGGTATGTGCAGTGCCGTGGTGCCCTCACCAATCAACAATTTCCCTTGTTATATACAAAGTATTGCTTACTCCGAAAACATCCGCGAGTTCTGTATTGAATAGGTAGGCCTTGCTCGGTAGATGCCCTTCCCTCCAGTCACCCATCAGCACCAGCAGGGCACTAGAGGGAAAGACTATGGTGTACCCTATCAGCAGAGCCGGGACCGATGCCACGAGCGTGGACACGCACGTCGACCAGATCCTCTCACGACCGCGAATCGTCGTTGTTTGGACTGATCCATATGATGTTTGGTGTCTCTCCTGTTGCAATATATTTCTAAACTCATCGGCATTTTCCTCTCCAGGATCAGTGAAAGTGTTTACTACGGACGTCATTTTGGGATTTTGGGAGAGCGATGGCTTTGTGACCCGGACCCCGCCCATTGTATTGCGCGTGCGCACTGGCAAACACGCTTCGTCATCGTTCGGTCCCGAAAAACATTATTGTGTTTTCTGCACAGGTAGACATCAATTTCTTTGCAGTTTATAAACATGAATAAGCTGTCTGATCCCTGATTACTCCCTTTACAAATGGTTTCGTAGATTGATTCCAGGTTTTTCCACTTTCCCATATATAGCACATACACTGTTGCCGGGAAATAATGCTCAGAATAGATGATTTGTGTTGATACTGATCACACTATAGAACAGTTTCCACGATATCTGGCAGTTTTGCAAACTTCTTCTCCAGTTGCTCCAGACTCTTCCCTTTCGTCTCCGGGAGAAAGATAATGACAAACACGGCAGCCGCCAGGTTAAACAGTCCAAATGTCCAGATGGCAAACCAGAATCGGACCAGCTGAACGTACTCCAGAAATAGTCCAATGGCTACAGCTGATGTGGCCCAAGTCACAATCATGACCAGCCCGCTAGCAAGTCCACGCACAGTCAGGGGCAGCAACTCTGATAATAGGATCCACGGGATGGGCCCTATACCAATTGCAAATGAAAACCGGTAGAGAACGACGCTGACAATAGCCAGAGGTCCAAAGTGGGCATTGCACGACTCTACAACAGTGTCAGTCGGAATCGCAGTTGAGTTACTAAAACCTTCACTGCAGAGTGAGTCCCGAGTGACGAAGAAGTGAATTCCAAGCATAGAGCAGCCCAGGAACATTCCAGTAGAACTCAAAACGAGGAGAGTCACGCGACCAAGAAAATCAACGAGAAAAAATGCTGCAACATTCCCAAATAAACTTGCAATGCCGATACCATACACAGCTATAGTTCGAGGGTCTTCAAATCCTGCTTCAGAGAGAATAGTGGCTGCAAAGGTAGCCGTGGCACTGATTCCACTAGCTTGCTGGAAGAAGAAAGTTACGATTACTAAGATGAATGGAATCAAAACACTTCGCTTTGAGAAGTTTTTCAAAATGCTTCTCTTTTTCTTTTTTACAGGGAAGGTCTTTTTTATTTCATCAAGTTCTTTCTGAATGCCAATTTTCTTCCCCCTGAGCCAAATTAAGACATGTTCTGCCTGTTCTACATATCTTCTAGACACCAGCCATCTTGGGGTCTCTGGTAACCAGAACATCAGCACCTCAAACAGTGCCACGGTCCCAACTGCCACCAGTGAAATGTTGTAGTAGCGGAAGTTGTCTATGGCTCCTACTGCAAGGCCGAATGCAATGCCTAAAGTGAAGAGTGCCTGACTTACTGCTCCAACAACACCTCTCAGTTGAATGGATGATACTTCACCAAGGTACACCTAATCAATGGGAAAGTGATAATTAGCTAGGCTTCTGTAGTTCATTATCTTTCAGATGTCACACTTACCGGAACTATAGCTGACGCCCATCCAAGGCCTATACCACTGAAGAATCTTCCCACAAACAACAAGGCCTTGAATAGAGCGGCACTTGATGTATAGTGAGCATAGCTGATGAGGAGGTTTCCGATCAGGTACGGGACACCAGAAAACATCAGGGAGCACTTTCTGCCCCAGTGTTGAGCTATCCAGCCACCGACAGGACCACCAATAATAGCACCCAACGGAGCAAGAGCCTATATATATATATTATACACATGGTAAAGGATTATATGACATTATTCAACCACAAACAGCAAAATTCCTACAAGACTCTCAAGTTACTAAACAGCTTGGACCACACATTACATACCTACTAACCATCCAGCTTTTTGCTTGATAATCAAGCAAAAGTACTGCCTATCCCACCAGAAAATCACCAAATCCCTCTTTTTTGTGCTAACCTGTGATGCATTATGCCCATACATTGTGAATGGACATGCAGCATCTTCAAGCTAAAATACTCTAAATCAAGCAAATTTGACACATTTCTCAAGCAAAGGTTTATCTGTAGGTACCTTATTTAGGTTTTGCTCTGAACTCCCAGAATATTGGCACATAGATATTATTGGGTTAGGCTTACCACAAACATAGAGACAAGGTAGGTAGAGAGGAAGTAGCCCGGTGGAAGCTCGGTCGCCTCCCCAGTCAGATCTAAGGTGGCACTGGAGGCAAAGGAGAAGGTGAACCCCATCAGGAATATCGGGATTGGAACGATAACTGCGACTATTCCAGTGCTCCAAATTCTTTCGTTCGTTGAGAATAGCCCGAGCAAAGGGCAAGCATCTCTTAGACCTTTCTTTGTCCGCCGTTTCCGGGAGTCTAGAGACCCTGTCGGGAGTGACTGCTGACCGGAGGGGCGCATCTATCACTGCGGCTGTGGCGAATTTGCTGCTCGTAGGTATAGCTAGCGTGCTCGAACCTCAGAGCTAATCAGTCACAACGGAAGGAAGAAACCTCTGTGAAGAACTGAAGCTCTTGATGGTTTGTCATGTTCATTCATGCATGCGCGCATTCAACCCCGCCGCTTCCCAGATCAGCACGCATGCGCAAACGACATGTCATGCGCGCGCTGCGTCATATCTTCACACACAGACATGAAACGTGAATGCGATTGAAACTTTACAGAAGAACGTGTGATTTAGGTGCTAGAGTGAGCAAGTGAATGAGTGAGTGATTAGGTCAGTCCTGCTCTACTTGTAATTCCTTTGAGAAAGGCAATACTCTCAGCTTCACTTTGAGGTTTAAGATGGCCACATCTTCCTCCCTAATGCTCTGGACCAGGTTCTTGTTTCTCATCTGCCGTGGAAAAAAACAAAACAGAGATGGAAAGCAAGCAGAGACTTTATATACTGCAGCTAAAAAAGATGAATTTCATGAATAGGCATTTTTGCTGCACAGACAAAGTACGCTGAGTAATTCGCACAGACCTCCATCTCTTTGCTGTGCCATTTCAAAGTTGCTATCTTCTTTGCTAGCTCTGCCTCATCTCCCTGCACAGATAATTACCAGCAACGGCTGTTATGATACACTTACTATGCACACACAGTAAAAGAAGTATATACACTCCAAATAAGGGACACAATAGAAGAAACCGATCAAAAACGGACACACTTTGAAGTCCGAAACTGTCGTCCTAGTGTGTACATTTGTGTAACCTCCAAAGAGAGGACCTAAGGCTACAACTAAGGGCTTTGTTTGCAAAATGTACCGATTCTTCGTCGTTGACAGATGGAAATCTCACACTTCTCCTGGGAAATTTCTTCATCTCCACCTAAGATTAAGAGAATACCCACACATTTGCAGGGTCTCCCCCTGTGTCTGTCTCCCTCTCTCACTCACTTTGTACTGGTCTATTAGTTCTGCCTCTTTCTTTATCGCCTCCTGCAGCTGTGCCTTTCGCTCCAACAGCTCCTGCGACAGCACAGCAAGCAGCAACTGATCTTAATTGCGTAACATGCATTTAATTCAGCAGTCATCGCACAATACATGCCAACTGCACATATATATGATATGCTAAAAACTAAATCAGGTGTTCCTAAGAGCACAAAAACAAATTCTCCGGGTTATACAGTAGCCCTGACCTTACAGCTTGTATATTGTATCATATTTTCACTATACCTCATTCTCAGCTTTGAGAGTCGCTTCCATTAGCAGAAGTGTCTTCATAAACTCTGCAGTAAGTAAGATGATACAGGGATCACTAAAACTAAGGGAGGAGGATTTTTCTTTTCTTTATTAATGGGTTTTGAGCTAAACACCCACATTATTTCATGGCATACACATACACAATTGAAGCATACCGTCTTCTGCTTCTCTTTCAATGTCTTTATTTGATTTCTGAATAGCTTTTTTCTACAGCGGGCAAAAAAACACATAATCATACTACATAATCATACTACATAAATGCATAATGAGACACAATACTACATTGTATATACACTGACTCATGTATACCTTCCTCCGTAGTGCAGTGATGTTCCTCTGCAATATCCACATATCTTCCTCCCTCTGTATGAGATATTGTTCAATACGCACTAGTCAAATGAACAATAATCATCCTTAAACTGTCTAGTATATAGACAAGTAAAACACGGTAGCAAGGTCGGATACATAGGATAAAGGATGCAGTAAGAACAGAGCTTGTGTGTTTGCGTGCGAGAGTGGAGATGTAATACATAACTCACAGAGTTGAACCTTCCGGCCACCTTGGAGTGTCTCTTCATCAGCAGAGCGGTTAGTCTGTCCAACTCAGTATTGACATCTCTGAAATGTGTACACAATGCCACAATGAATATCATTAGGACGATGAGGGCACCGTTGACACTCACTGCTCGGTCTCCAGGAGGTCTATGTTGACTATTTCAATCTGTTTACTGTTGCTCTTCCTGACCACGCCGGCTTTTCAAACCTGCGGGCAACACACACACAATTCATCGTAGGTATAAGCAAGTTGTACCACAGACACAATAATCCCAAGGCCGTATGGACCGGTGTTGAGTCATGTATACTTAATTCCTCACATTCACACACAAGTCAGTTGTAGTGTACATGGTAGGGGTTATAGTAGGAGCAAAGGCTAATAAGGTTTTGATTGGGCTATGGGCCATCCCATACAATGCATGCCTGTGTCCATACACTGTGACTGGCCCATCTGCACCTGTCTATTATTATGTACGCCTACTAACTCCAAAACATCCTGCCCTTCTCTATGTCAATCACTCTACATTCGCAAAAGGTAAAGATAGGTACGTAGTACGCTAAGCCATTCACAAATCCACTGATCAAAACACCTTCAAAAGAGGATAGAGGGATTTTCACCACATAACCTTAAGGAGGTGTTGTACATACAGATGTATAATGTAAGCCTGGGACCAGGCAATACATATGTACCTGGTGAGTGGTACATCTCCAAAGAGATTGTGTCTGTGGTTGTAGAGAGTGTGGAGGAAATGAGCTGGGAGTTGGAGGGTTGGACTGAACACAATCACCATGTTGGGCAGCGTCATCTTGTTCACTCCCGACTGTGTGGAGAGAGAGGAGAGGGAGGGAGGGGAGGGAGGAGGGGGGGTTTGACTTGGGTTTTATAAACAAGAATTTGTAACATGTTGGTAGAAATTCCCCATAACTTTTCCTTGGGAAAACGAATAAAACACAAAACTCAAACTAAAATATAGTGTAACAACCATTCTATTTTGGCACATGTTCTATTTTCGTTCCAGAATGCAAGGCATGTGAAAATACATCTGTGGCCAAAGCTACCTTGAATCTCTAGTGGGGTCAGAACAAGTGTACCTTGCCGACGATGTGGGTCATGTGTTCAAGTAGCCAACTGAGCAGTAGGCGGTTCGGTGTCTGGATGGTGTCCACTACCTCTCGCAGTATCTCGGACTGCTCCTCCTCTAACAGGTCTGCAAGTATGAGGATTAGTTCACAACATGTTGGATAGGCTAGCAATGGGATGCGCACAGCATGCTGCATGCCACATCGCAAGGATAGGGTCCATTTCTATCTTCATCGTGTACCAAGGCAATCTGTAAACCCAGCTTAACCCAGAGAGTAGTTTGTTTAGACACCATGCAGACACTATTATTGTGTTCCGTATACATATATGTACAGCAGTATAGGGATAAGATGCGGACTTAAACTGGTGTAACTGACGCGGCACGAGCTACCAGAGTATGCAGCAGAAAGAGATGCGTACACTAATCACCCTCTCATTCAGGGAGTATATACAGCTCACCAGAGATGCTGTCAATGCGGCCGGAGAGAGAGGAGCGGGGAATGAGAGGCTCAGGCAGTTCTCTGAGGTAGAGTTTCAGGAGACTGGCCACTGTGTTGGGATCCTGCTCCGACAGGTCCAACACTTCACCTGCAGTCAGTTTTTACGCCATGCATCATAATATGCATGAGGTTCATGCACTAATAAGCCGAAAATGAATATCACCTTTACTTGCCCCAAGCGATGCCGTTGAACCACCTCAAATAGCCCAAAACTTATTTGAAAGGAGTTACTGCCCATTTGGGGGTGTTGAATTTACCCACAACTATCTACTATCCTATTATCACTTGGTTTTTCGTCCTGTCATTATGTACTTCATGCTCAATGATACTTCATTAGATACACTTAGTATCATCATTGGCCGCGGTGCGCAAAGGTACATGTATTGTGGTTGAAAAGCAGCTGACCTTTATCAAAGTGAGATTTGAGCTCTTCGACTTTTGATTTGACTCCTGGTAACCTGTATACACCCTGATGGTTGACACCTGGTGTGATGTGAGAGAATCATAGACGTTCATTTCACACACACACACACACACACACAATTTTCATTTTCGTACAGTTATTATCGCTTGTACATCAGGGCGACATACGAAGTGTACATGTGAAGATTTCACCATACAAGCTATACAGTATACAGTATACAGTATAAGCACAACTACATATAGTGTGGGAAGTCTACTTGTTGCATGGTACGTACATACAGTAGTGCACAATACTGTAGCTCCCAATGTTTAGTACATGTGTGCCCGTCACATACTTGTTGCATGGTACGTACATACAGTAGTGCACAATACTGTAGCTCCCAATGTTTAGTACATGTGTGCCCGTCACATTTATATTTGGCACTTAGAATATGAATTGATGTGTGTCCGGGCCATGTGTACACTGAAAATGAATTGATGTCCGTCCAAATGTACACACGATGTAATTGGTCCCACACTTGTGTGTGGAGCTGTGTTACACACAATGCATACATGTTACAGTGTGAAATGTGCATGCAATTATACCGTGTTCCTCTAAGAAGTCAATGCATTGTCTGAAAACAGTGGGCAGCTCCAGCTGGTCTGTGCCTAGTGTGCTGCGCTGGATGGCCACCTCCACTGTGACTCCAAACACTGCCAAATCTATACATACAGGGAGGAGGGGGAGAGGAGAGGAGGGAAGAGAAAGGAAGAGAAAGGAAGAGAAAGAGACAGAAGGAAGAGGAAGAGAAAGGAGAGAGAGACAGTGAGGGTGGGAGGCCAACGGAATACGTATGTAGAAGTTGGCTTGTTTGAGACTAATAAATAAGCAGTTGGCAAGAAATTGTGGGCAGGGTGGTTGCAGAGAAGCACCAAAGGCTTCGTAGAACCAGGGCAGGAAGAGGGTGAACGATTACAAAACATGACATTTTGTGAAAGGTAGGAAGAACTACTGGCTAAAGGAACCGTCTTCCATCTGTCTGCAAACCATATATGGTCCCAGACTACCCATGGTCGTAATGTTGGTCCAACATGTAGACCAGTCTCAGGTACTTTACCCAACAGAATGTACAGTTTCCCTAGTGTACCATAGTTTGACTTCACAGATCTAGAGCAAGTTTGTTTGTAGTTATACTGCACATGGTGGTTACAGGAATGGAGTACAACTGTTGGAGCAAAACCGTGTGGGCACAGGGCACATGTCGACTGCTTAGGAACCTGTTAATACCCACGCACGTACGTACGTATGATATATGTGTATATACATAGGTACACATGCAATGCAGGAGATTGTTCTAATGGATGTCGGCTAGCAAGACATGTCAGCTCATTTAGAACAAGTTGATTGGCGACACATGTGTCCTCCCACCAGTTCCTGAACACAGTTCCTGAACATGGTGCACATGCAGGGGACAATGGTGACAATGGTCCACTGTTACACTAATCACATACATCCTTATCCGCTGATAAACTTGAACTGCATCAATAGAGTGTCAGTCAGTAGATGACACATTTGTCTTAATAAGTCTTTCTTACAGATGATGGAATAAAGTACTGACAAATAAGGCAAAACTCCCCCTGCCCCCTACTTTCCAGTTGTACTACTAAATAAAGAGATACGTTTGAGAAAGAGCTACACATGGCTTTACATGGCTTATTAGTCTCCAACACGAGAGCCATAACTGAAGTATGATACATACTGTAAACTAACTAACTATAGGCGTGTGTCGTAAGGGGCAAAGCATCACAATAGGGATCATTACACATAATATTCACACACTATACGTATGTAACTGACTGTGTAGGATGTAAATGTATAAGACGGATCGGCTATGGGTGCAGAACTTACAGGAAAAGCATGTACATAGCTTCTAAACAAGAAACACCTCACAATGTGTACGTGAGGGCAGCTCAAAAGAGTTGTCCTGGGTGTAGTTACGCCGTTTACTGTCTTTGCCTCGCGACCTCATTTGTGTTTACATAAAGCATAAGTCACAAGGTACAGTATGTAGACACTGCGCTGGTGAGCCCAGCATACAACACTGACTTACTGCGGGACTAGGGACTCAACTGCAACATTCCCTACTGCCACAATGTGACTACGGGCTTAAGAATAACAATAACAGAGCTTCAAAATGAACGGAAAACAAGGCATTTTCAGTTCACACTTCGGTAAAAAAAACGACTCATTGTGTGCATTTCCCCATTGCGTACACTCAGAAAGTAATCAATTGTCACATATACAGTTTATCACCACACAATAAAACAATATCAGCATCAGATCAAAGTTTCCCCGACTACATGTACGTACACATGCAAGTGCAGCCAAAACATGCTGAGTCTCTAAAGTAGTGAGTGTGTGTATGTGTGTATCTCACTCAATAACAACAGACATTCGCTGATCTCACCTTTCTTGAGCTTGTTTTTGATCTTCTGCGTGAAGCTGCCAATGTTTGGTTTCTTCACTCGGAACTTCATGCGAGGTCTTGGGGATCGCTCCGACTTGCTGTCTCTGTAACATGCAACAGAGGGAGAGGGGAATGTGGGGAAATAAGTAAGTAGAGAGTTAAACGGTAAATAAGAAGGAGGGTGAAAGTAAATGGACAACGAAGTGTGTTCTGTTGTGTCAATATCAACCCAAAAATGTGTTTAAACTGGTCTTGTTGTGTGGGAATGGTAAAATGAGTGTAGGCACAAGTACGACATCAGAGGCGAGTGGAAGGAAGCCTTTCTTTGGTACACGCAGCTCCTCCCAACCACCCAACTCCTAATACAGCCTTGGGAGAGGTATATACCAAACACCCACACAGATACAAAAATAGCACGATAAAAGCAGTGTCATACCAGTACATAGAGTGTACATACAGTACAACAATTGCACCACCGTATGGGGGGAGATCAGTGTCAAAATTACACAGGGGTGCAGTTGCTCAATTCGGGCCAATTGAGCGACTGCACCCCGTGTGAATGAACCTAAGAATAACAGCTACTAGCTACCGTTTATACAAGCCCTGGCGTATTGAAAGTTTCTGAGGCTCAAGCACGTTAAGTGTTGCAACCTGTACGGTAATCTGGCCATGCTGCAACTATAGACATGCTACCAACTGGTTAGAGAGGTAGGCACACATCATAATATGTAGCTAGCTACAGCAGACTGACCGCCAGCGATATGTTTCCTGCTCGTCCAGGTCAGAGCTTGAGCCGTTGCCCCTCAGAGCTAAGCTGAGTCTGGGGCTGGCCAGCAGGTTTGGAGCCACATGGAGCTCCCTGGTCGTGGTGGTGGTTGCCGCGCTCTGCTGCGACGACACGCCGCTGCTCCCGACTGCCTCTGCCTGCTCTCCTTCCTCCCGCTGTTCCCCGTTCTCGGAGCCACTCTCGCTCTCGAAGCTGTCATCGTAGTAGTCTGACATCTTGAAACTGTCTACTGGTAGTCTATACGGCTACCTTGCTGCACCACTGTCACTATCTCAGACAAGTAAGGGCTTCTTCACTACCGGCCAGCGGGTTTTTATGGTGTCCGGTACGTACATGTCCCGTTCCCGAACACCCCTACCGCGGAACTCCGTGCGCGCATGCGCAGTATCTGTGCATTATTGCGCATGTTCGGGAACCCGCCAGTGTGGGGGCGGAGCTGGTATAAAGACTGGCTGGCGTTGCCGCCTGAGCTGCTTCCTCCCTAGAGGTGACGACTTCACTGCACCGTGAAACCACAAATTTGCGGACGAAGCTGAGCTGAAAAACTGCAGGTAAGAAAAGAACGTGGATGAAAAATCAACTATTATGGATATATTTTCTATGCAGTTTTTTATCCTGAGAAGAGAACGATTTAGCGCCGACGACCATGAGCGGAGACGATCCGGAGGCCTATCTCCGTCCCTCGCGCGAGAGGGATACCATCGATCAGACGCGCATGTTCGACTCCAAGAAATGGACCTGGATACCCGACGAAGAAGAGGGTTTCAAGTGTGCCACCGTCAAGTCGCAAAAGGGCGAGCGACTTGTCGTTGAGCTGGACGATGGACAGGTGAAATACGTAGCTACTTTACTATAGCTATACACCTATGCGAGCCGAAAGCGTCGTAGCGAATTTTTCCTGCAGAAGACAGCGATTTAACACCAACTGTTGGCCCATAGCTAGGTCAATGCTAAAGTCATCTATTAGTGTCCATAGCTACACTGCATGTATACTCCGATGATGCTGCATCTAGCTACTGCTTGTATTATCTAGGAGGTGGAGGTGGACCTGAATGCCACACAGCAGATGAACCCGCCAAAGTTTGAGAAGATTGAGGACATGGCAGGTCTGACGTACCTCAACGAGGCCAGCGTCCTACACAACCTCCGCCAGAGATACTACTCCAGCCTCATCTACGTATGTCCCACACTACCATTATAGTTCTATGGTTGAACTCACGTACAGCATTAGGTGCTCCTATAGTGTAAAATATCTATGGTTGAATTCAGTAGCCTACGCTATACACAGCGTTCACAGTTAACCAGAAGCAAGCATCCTGTATGTGACCAAGACAGTAAAACGGCCATGTACCACAGCCACATTGCATAAATCTCTTGATGGTATTGAATAGGGCGCACAAGTGTGGCACAGTGAAATCTCTTGGATGGTGATTGAATTGAGTGACCAAGGTGCATAGTTTAAGCTAATACTGTAGTGTGGGAGCGGCACACACGTTTGGAATGCCTACACAACGTCTCGCAGTCAAAGCTGATACGTACAAAATGTAAGGAAATCTCATATTCCTTTCACATTGTATCCCCAATAGATCACAGATGTGAATAAACTTGACATGAATATCCAGATCTCTTGTCACAATCCTGCATTGTTTTCCTTTTCCATTGCTTCTTTCTCACACATTGATATTCTGAGTATACCATGTTAACGGTGTTTTGTTCCGACTGACTTAAACTTTGCTTGTGAACACCATTGTATGTGGCACGGATATTTGTATTTTTACATACAAGTGTATCAGTACTCTCTTGAATACCAATCCAAGTTTGAGAGTATCATGCCATAAGTGCAATTGCACGATTAAATGTGCACTAGGCTCCATTCCCATGTGGTAAGAATACAACTCAAAGTCAAAGGTCCAATGTACACAGCTTGATAGCTGTATTGAGTATATAGAGTGGCTCAACCTGTCAGTGGAAACATTGTTCTGGCTCAGTGGACATGCTTGTGCATGAGGGAGATAGGGGGTAGTGGTGTTTGTGTCTGGGGAGAGCCTGTGGGAAGATCCAAACCATTAGCTGCACGGCAGTCTTGATGATATAGTAGCATTTGGGGGAGGAAATATTCTGAATACCTCAACTGTTTACCATCCTCCTCCTTGGCGTGTTGTCGGCAGAATGTCCTGATGGGAGAGGCTAACGCGTGGTGTGATATTTCAATGCATTCTGCTTCACAGACCCTGATGATTGTATGTATTATACATACCAATAAATTATGAACGTATCACAACTTGTTAGTAGAGTCAGTATCAAACACGAATACTAAACTTGTTTTCCTCTTTGTGTAAGCTGCTCTCCGGGGCACTGTTGTAGTGTCTAATTACTGTTAGTGGCACGCTCGTGATATGAATAATGAGCTTGGCACAGAGAGTAGATACTTACATGCATTTGTAAGTGTGATAGGAAATGGGTATAATGCATCTCGTACACACAGTGCACTTTGGAGCTAATAAGACGAAGTATCTCCCACATTCTCCCATGTTCTGCTTGGCTTTGATTCATTTGCCCAGTTTATGTGTAGCTAATGCATCTCCTTTCACTCCCACTCCCTCCCCCTCGCTGTATCCCTTTCCTCCCTCCCTCCCCCCCTCTCTCTCTACGTCTTCCTCTTCGTCTATCTTCCTTCTCCACCCACCCTTACTCTCCACTTCTCCTCTTCCCCGTCACTCTTTTATACCCACCAGACCTATTCGGGGCTGTTTTGTGTGGCAGTCAACCCCTATCGCATGCTGCCCATCTACTCCAACAATGTGGTCAACATGTACCGCGGAAGAGGAAACCTGAGATGGCTCCCCACGTATTTGCCATCGCTGACAATGCCTACAGAGACATGCTCCAAGGTCTGTCATTATGTGTGAAGAGTAGATAAAAGTGATGTCAGTTTTCTTCAAAACACAGATCGCGAGAACCAGTCCATTCTGATCACGTAAGTTCATGAGCCTCTCTGACGTGTGCACATTGATGCCTCTCTAACGTGTGACTTTACACCTGCATTATGCCCACTAAAGGGGAGAGTCTGGTGCAGGAAAGACTGAGAACACCAAGAAAGTCATCCAGTACTTTGCCACCATCGCTCCAAATCCCACCACCACCAAACACGTATGTGTTCATATTACTAACTAGTGTACATGATGATTGTGCTTGCACGTTGTGGTGGAATATCAGTCGTTACACATATCAACTGTGCAATTCAGACGACTTGCTTGCCAATTAGCTCCCCAACGGTCGTATTAGTTTTAAGAAAAGCTGTGCCTTGTAATGTCTCCATGAGCGTCACTTGTATTTATGGCCAATGGGAGAAAGTGTTGTGTACTTGAAGTGCAAACATCACAATAGATGTGTATATACTGCTTTGTTGTACTAATTGAGCTCAATTGGTTGTTGTCGTCTTCTAATAGCAAGTGTTTGGGTGTAAGATACCTGCTCTGGTTACCACTTCTCACGTTCCTTAGCTAAACCCTTCTTCCCACATCAGGGTTCTGTTTAAGAGCAGGGGGACATTTTCCATCCCCCCCTTCAAATGATTAGTTTTCCAGCAAAAGTTTTCCCCATTTCCTTCCTTTTATAATGTATGTGTACTGCAAAGGATCTGTTGATGTGAACACGTACACAAGGGAGTTGTGGGAGTGTATTAGGTTACTGAAGGTGATAGAAGTCAGTAGAGTATCACACTGCTACTACGAGGTGATCATGTGTGTGTGTGTGTGTGTGTGGCATGCAGACCAACCTGGAGGAGCAGGTAATTCAGGCTAATCCGGTTCTGGAGGCCTTTGGAAATGCCAAGACCATCAGGAATGACAACTCTTCTCGTTTTGTGAGTACCCCAATCACACATAGCCCTTTATTCAACGTTTCATGATCTCTTACCTTTCGCGTGCAGGGAAAGTTCATCCGAATTCACTTCGGACCTCAGGGCAAGATTGCAGGAGCTGACATTGAGTTTTGTAAGTATAGTTAAAACTATAGCGCCAAATTTTTGAAACGATATCAGGAGTTTTTGACATACATGGAATAATTTTAGATAAGCGCTGGCCGCTATACATAAGGCCCTGTTTTTGTAGATTGAGACTTCCTGCAAAATCTTGCACCTTGAGTATATACAGCTCCCCCACATGTTCAATGTGTGTATGATTACAGGCATATATGGGGGGGGGGCACTACATGGGTATGGGGGAGATAGGTTTAAAGACGTAGACGGGAGAGGGGGGAGAGGAGTGAGGCAGAGGAGACAGGCAAGTAGAGGGAACATGTCACAGGGAGTAGAAAGAGAGAGGGAGGTAGAAGACAGAGGCAGAGAGAGAGAAGGGGCAGACAATGAAGGGGTCCTTCTGTCCTCCACAGACCTGCTGGAGAAGTCGAGGGTGATCCACCAGCAACACGGAGAGAGATGCTACCACATCTTCTACCAACTGCTGGCCGGAGGCTCACAAGAACTTCTCAGTGAGCCATCTACCATAACCCTTCCTTTGCCAGAGGGTCTAACCCTAAACAATGATATTTGAGAGTATTGGGGGAGTGTGGGTATTAGGCGTGTCTTCTCTATCCCTCTGAAGATGACCTTCTGCTGACGCGGCAAGTCAAGAGCTACAACTTTCTCGCCAACAGCGAGGTGACCGTTGACAACGTGGATGATGCAAAGGAGTTCAACTTCACCAAGGTAAGTTATGCAGACACGTCCATAGCCATAATGGCAGAGTGGGGGGGGGGAAGAGACTAAGTATTTAACCTTCCATGGGCCATTTCTCTTTCCTCCCACGCCTCCACAAACCCTGAATTACTAACCTTCATTCAGTTTCCTTGGTATATACAGCAATATCCATGGTAAAGCAATATAGCAATATCCATTCTATAGTACGAGTCATATTGCTGCATGGATGTATGTATACAGGAAGCAATGGTGACCCTGGGGTTCACTGACGAAGAGCAAATGTCCATGTTCAAGACCATCTCGGGAATCCTTCACTTCGGCAACATTGAAGTGAAGCAGCGCCCCAGGGAAGAGTGGGCTACCATCCCCAACACCACTGGTACTGTAATTTTTACAGTCCATGCCATATATATAAACAGCCTTCCTTACTATATTATATATACCATTGACATTCAGCCTAGCTTGCTGTCTGCCCGCATACAGTTTCTGCCTTCTTATCCTTACTACTACTGGACACACATACACTCCTTGTGCCTTACAAACAGCCACTGCAAAACACACATTTATACAATCCCCGCCTTATGTCTACCACTGAAACTCATACACTGTAAGCACGTCACCTAACTCCCTGACAGAGGCTGAAAAGGTGGCTCATCTGCTGGGCATGCAGGCCCCAGACCTGATGAAGGCACTCATCAAGCCCAGGATCCGAGTCGGAAACGAGTACGTCCAGCAGGGCAGGAACCAAGAACAGGTCAGTCCAGTTCCCAGCTGGTTCCAAGACCACTCAATTCCAGTTTCGGTGATCCACCGGAAAACCAATGTTACTCTCCCCTTTCTCTTCCCATCTCTCTGTTTCAGGTTCGATTTTCCATCGGTGCTCTGTCAAAGGCCATGTACCAGAGGATGTTCAAGTGGCTTGTCACCAGAATCAACAAAACCCTCGACACAAAAGCTCGAAGAAACTTCTTCATCGGTGTTCTCGACATCGCTGGCTTTGAGATCTTCCAGGTATTCCGAAAAGAAGCACTTTTGTGTGGGGAAAAATCTTGGCTGGGGTTTTATTGACCAGGTTGAATATATCTAAATCAAAGAACCAAAACCCAAGCAATGGGATCGTACAAAAAGTAAAGAGACAAGAGAGGGATGGGCTGCGCAGTGTGTGTGATGCAATAGCACATGGGATAAGGGCTACATACTTAACAAGCATCACGTGCCCGTTCCCTATTTCCACTTCTATTGCTACAACCCCGAACAGTAATACTTTGCTTTACTTGAAGTAAAGCCTAGCACATTATCTTTAAATGAAGGTTGTTGTAATGACTGCAGGTGAACTCGTTCGAGCAGCTCTGCATCAATCTGACCAACGAGAAACTGCAACAGTTCTTCAACCACCACATGTTTGTGCTGGAGCAAGAAGAGTACCGCAAGGAGGGCATCAAATGGGAGTTCATCGACTTTGGACTTGACCTTCAGTCGTCCATCGATCTCATTGAGAAGGTATAAAGAAAGGCAAGGCTCCCTTTAGAGCTGCACTATTGTACTTTCTGGCCCAATAAGCACTTAGCATGTTGGCCATAGCTGCTGAAGAGTATGATGGCACTTTTGCAGCTCCACACACCCAGCTTCACAGCTCCATATCAGCTACATACAACAAAAACAGAAACTAGGCCCACGAAACTAGTTTCAGTTTTGTTGCTGTAATGAATCTGATGAAGACCAAACCCTCTGGTCGAAAGGTTGTCTATGTGTGGTAACAAGATATACGGCTGTAAGAAGAAGTCCCACATTACCCTTTGTGATCGACAACTGGATATATGTTTAGTGGGATAAAGAAAAGGCTCATGGTTCATGCTACCACAACTAACAATGCCCCACTCATCCCTTCTTCAACCCTCTTGTTCCCTCTTCAGCCCATGGGAGTTATGGCTCTGCTGGACGAGGAGTGCCTCTTCCCGAAGGGCAGCGACAAGAGCTACCTCGAGAAGCTGAACAAGACGCACGCCGACAAGTCCCCCAACTTCCTGAAGGCCGAGAGGAGCAGGGCGCAAATGGCCGAGTTTGAGATCGTACACTATGCTGGCACTGTACGTCCATTAGCATTCTGACCTATAGAAATTTTTTGTTGGTAGTGAAAAGCTTGTTTTAAAAGCTTATGTTTGCAAATACTCTTGCTACTTTCCCTCTGCCCCTCACCACACACACACACACACACACACGTTCTTCACCAGGTGTGCTACACGGTGACGGGCTGGCTCAACAAGAACAAGGACCCCCTCAACGACTCTGTGGTGGACCTCCTCAAGAAATCCACCGACCCCTTCATCTCTGGTCTGTGGGCCGATTACTCCCTGGATGGAGAGAGAACCCGGGGCAAGAAGGGGTCGCAGTTCGTGACCGTTGGGCAAGTCCACAAGCAATCTCTTCATTACCTCCTGACCACACTTCGTACGTATATACATAGATTATAACTCATTTTAACTGCATAACACTACTGAAGCCGTAGTAACAGATTAGGTATTGTGAGTCTAATTTCCTTCCAGGCAACACCACGCCCAACTTTGTCCGCTGCATCATCCCCAACGAGCTAAAGAAAGCCGGGATGATGGACGCTCATCTGGTCCTCCACCAGCTGCGGTGCAATGGAGTTCTCGAGGGTATCCGCATCTGCAGAAAGGGTTTCCCCAACCGACTCTTTTATGCCGAGTTCAGGCAGAGGTACATCTCACTTAACTCATGAAGCACAAGAGGCCGATTTGTATATAAAAGACTTAATGTTATGTGCTGTTGCTTGTCTTTTCTCTCCCGCTGTTTGGGTGAAGGTATGCCATCTTAGCTCCCAAGGCTATCCCAGCCGGCTTCATGGACGGCAGGAAAGCATGCGAGCTGCTCCTTGAAGCCCTTCAGCTGGAGAACAATGAATTCCGTCTTGGAAACAGCAAAGTAAGAGAAAGCATGACGCAACATTTTGAGCTCATCAAATTCTGTGTCTGCAGGTGTTCTTCAGAGCTGGGGTGCTGGGTAGGCTCGAGGAACAGAGAGATGTGCAGATGGGCATTGTGCTCACCGCGTACCAATCCCGCTGTCGAGGCTACCTCATGAGGAAGCTTTACAGAAAATTGATAGACCAGAGGTAGGAAGACACTGAAAATAAACAGCACATGATCTATTGACACACTCTTTGCAGGCTGGCCATTGCTGTACTGCAGCGCAACATCCGCAAGTACCTGTTCCTCAGAGACTGGAAGTGGTGGAAGCTCTACACCAAGGCAAGCGTAGCTGCTCATAGCTACATCCTAGAAAGTAGTTTACTCTCTCTGCTACTCGTACTGATAATGATTCTCGTGCCAGCAGTTTACTAGCTAGATTCCTAGGTAATTTACTAACTAGTTTCCTTAGTTTACCGAAGATTTACTGATACGGGTTGTTGTGCCTGCAGGTAAAGCCACTCCTGAATGTGGCTCGCACAGAGGACGAGCTCCGGCAGAAGGAGGAGGAGCTGAACAAGCTGAGGGAGAAGGTCCAGAGGGACGAGGTAAACCGGAAGGAGATCGAGGAGCAACAGACGCAACTCATGGAGGAGAAGAACAACCTCTTCATACAACTACAGAGGGTGAGTAACAAGATTGCAGAGGATATTTTTTATGCCTTTTTACACTTCTCAAGCAAAGAATCTTGCCAGATTTGCTGAATCCATTAGCATTATTCTATTATTTGCGTTAGGAGCCCATTCTATAACTGTGCAGGAGCAAGAGCAGTGTGCAGAGGCTGAGGAGAACGTGCAGAGGCTCATGGCAAAGAAAGTCGATATCGAGGCCAACCTCCAGGAGATGGTGGAGCGTCTCGACGAGGAAGTCGACAACAACGCAAACATCTCGGCAGGCAAACGCAAGTTGGAGGCTCAGCTGGAGCACATCCAGCAGGACTTAGAGGACGCTCAGGCCCAACTGGATGCCGTAGAGCAGGAGAAGGCTCAGAAAGAGAAGGACTGTATGAGTCTTGAGGCAGAGATAGAGAAAATGAACGACAGCCTCACCCGTGTCAACAAGGATAAGAAAGGACTCGAGGAGCGACTTGCAGAAGTGACAGCGAGGTAAAAGAAACTCCATTAGTAAAACATCCACAAATGGACCCTCCAAAAGACAGGTCACCTCTACTAACTACACTTGGTTCTGCCCCATACAATTATTACAGACATCTCTGAAAAGAATGGTTTCACTGTATTACCGTGTTTCATGCTAACATTCTCCTACAGCCTCCAAGCTGAAGAAGACAAGGCTAATCGCCTCAACAAGTTGAAGAACAAACTGGAGGGACAGGTGCAGGAAACGCACGATGAGCTGGAGAAGGAGAAGAGAGAGAAGGCAGAGGTGGAAAAGGTTCGCAGGAAGCTGGAAGGAGACCTGAAAACAACCCAGGAGCAAGTTGACAACATCACCCATGCCAAGGAAGAGCTAGAGAGGACTCTCTCTGGGTATGTGTGGTACAGAGCTTTACTGGTTACTGGTTCATGGTTTCTGACACAAGTTGTTATACATAATAGGTGTATCAGTTACAGTGAATGAAAGGACACTTGTATAGAGTGTCTAATGGACATTTAATATTTATTTCTACAGTAAAGAGAACGAGATATTAAGCCTGCAGCAAAAGGGCGAAGATGATGCCAACGAAATTGCCTCCCTACAACGCCGCATTCGAGAACTGGAGGCCAAGGTCCAAGAGCTCGATGAAGACTTGGAGAACGAGAAGAGACTGCGCCAGAGAGTCAGTCCCTTTACAATACTTTTGGTTTTGAAGTACTTTGAAATGAATGGGAGGGCACTTTGAAACTAAGTATTTCCTTCCCCAATACACAGGTTGAGAAGCAAAAGAATGAGTTGCTCAAGGACCTCGAGCAGCTGCAAGACAGGATAGAGGAGACGGGAGGGGTGGCAATGGCGCAGACTGAGCTGAGCAAGAAGAGGGAGGCAGAGCTGCAGAAGATGCAGGGCAACGCCCAGGCCCAGGCCGAGGAACACGACCGCACTGTGGCGGACATGAGAAAGAAACACCAGCAGTCTGTGAATGAACTGCAAGAGCAGGTCCGTACACTTAACTGTAGACAGAGTGTCGTGGGTTCGTGTCCCGCCTAGGGCAGCTCTTAGTCTTTTAACTGTCCCAGTCTAGTTGATTTGCACTTGCCTTGATTGTGTTGACACCCTGCGATTAAGGCTCATTGCCTGTGCACCAAATAATGCGGGTGTATGGTTTGGTGGGTCTTTCTGTTACATACACTGTGACTAGGTAACTTACTAGTTCATCTTGCATTTCCAGTTGGATACGACCCGGAAGGCCAAGTCAAGGCTGGAAAAGGAGCGTTCTTCCCTGACCAACGAAGTCGGTGATCTTACTTCCTCGCTGGAGGACTTCCAGAAAGCCAAGAGCAACACTGACAAGCGTCTCCGCTCTGTGGAAGAGCAACTAAATGAAGCGACGGCTAAAGTGAACGACTATGAAGCGAGCCTTGCTGCACTCCAGTCAGCGCAGGCCAAGGCCACGTCTGAGAATTCTGAGCTATCATCTCAGCTATCTGAGGCTGAGAGCAAGCTCAGCGCTCTGACAAAAGCAAAGACTGCCCTTGAGGCCCAAGTTGAAGATCTCCAATCTGAGCTCCAGTCAGAGACAAGTGTAAGTTTTGCCACCGTTGCTGCCTGTCATTGTCCTGGGGTCTTGGTTTCCCCCAGACTTTTAGGTTAAGCACACACACACACACCACACACACACATACACACACACACACACAACACACACAAGCAGTAAACACATACATTTCACCCTCTGTCAAAGCTGCAATACATCTTCCTACTGTGGATATACACATCCTTTTGCTGGTCCAGTACATTTCCATCCGTCTGACACATAATTTATGCTTGCTATACAATGAACTAAGCCTCACCATCACCAATCCAACAGGCCAAGCAGGATGCGCAGTCAAAGCTGCGTAATATGACCACAGAACTCTCCAGCACCCAAGAGTCACTGGAGGAGGAGCAGGAGGCAAAGGCAGCTCTGCAGAAACAGCTGATGGCGGCCAAGAACGATGCCAATACTTGGAAGAACAAGTTTGAGACGGAGGCTACCCCCAAGATCGAGGAGCTGGAAGACTCCAAGTAAGATCCAACTATACACAGTGACAGCAGTTAATCTCGAATAGAATACTGCTCTTGTGGTTGCTTTTATATGTAACAGCAGAGACGTTGGTTGATAGCATGACATCTTACCCAGATTATATAACAGCTTGTATCTTTGTCTCTTGGGTGCAACTTCTTTTCCTAGACATAAGCTGGCAGCAAAGGTGAAGGAAACAGAAGAAGCTCTGGAGAATCTGCAGAACAAGTACTCCTCCCTTGACAAGACCAGACAACACATTGCTGCTGAACTCGAGGACTTGAACCTTGACATAGAAAAGGTAGTATAATTATGACTATAATATACTGAGCTATTCCTGCATACATTAGGTACAACAACCATATCTCATGGGGGTTTAGCTCCAAGTCACCAAATTTCAGTTGATGTGTCATGTGTGGTTTGCAGGAGCGAAACCAGGCAGCCAACCTGGAGAAGAAGCAGAAGCAGATCGACAAGCAGATCACCGAGTCGAAGTCTCGCTACGAGCAGAAGGAGGCAGAGTGTGATCAGGCAGCCCGCGAGGCCCGGCAGTACAACACTGAGGTAAGCATGCACAACGTGTGTGTATAAACCTCACCTGCGGCTACATGAAATCTGAAATTATAGTTGCTCAAACTGAGGGCAGAGTTTGATGAGCAGAGAGAGCAGTTTGAAGCTGCCAAAGAAAGACAGCCGTCGACTTGCCCGTACGTTTCCCCATCCTTAAGCCTGGAATCGTAAAAGCTACAAGTGTGTAGTGACTGTCTCTCTCTCTCCCTCACCGTGCAGAGGAGGTGAGCGACATGGAGAAGCAGCTCTCAGAGGGAGGTGTCTCTGTCCACGAGCTGGAGAAGCAGAAGAAGAAGCTGGAACAGGAGAAAGAAGAGCTCACTGAGAGCCTCGAGGAAGCTGAGGGACAACTAGAGGCCGAAGAGGCTAAAGTGAGAGACTTCAGTTGCTGCACTACAACTCCCGTTACTATTTCCCCACTTTCTTTCTGGCCCCGTGCAGGTGTTGAGGTACCAGCTGGAGTTGAGTCAGTTGAAGCAAGAGGTTGAGAGGAGGCTGACTGAAAAGGATGAAGAAGGAGAGGCCATGAGGTAACCAATATTTTCGCTCTCTTTCTCTTCTCAACTCCTCTCTGTCTCACCTCCACAGGAAGAACCACCAACGCCAGCTGGAGGGCCTGAAGCACACTGTGGAGGAAGAGATGAAGGGGAAGGCCGAGCAAACTCGCCAGAAGAAGGCAATGGAAGAGCAACTCAATGAACTCCAGAGCACCATCGACGATGCACGCAAGGTGTAATATAAAGTTGTTCATTTATGGGGGGTGGGGCGGGAAAGGTGGGCACTCGCTCTCTTGATAAAATCTTCCCCTTTAATGCACACAAAAACAGGGTTTTGCCCCTCCTCTTTCATTAATACACTACTTGCTCCCCTGGATCATTTCTAAATGACGGCTTGGTATACACAGACACACATGGTCAGTATCTGCACCTGCTATATAATTATTATGTTGTATTCCCAGGCTGCTAATGATTTGGCCAAGAAGAACAAGAGCCTCACGCAGCAGCTTAAGGAGGTGAATGCCCTCTACGAGGACGAGCAGCGTACGAGGGACGAACAGCATCAGTTGGCCACAAAGGCGGAAAAGAGAGCCAATGATCTGCAACTGGAAGTCGAGGAAATCAAAGCTCAACTGGAGCAGGTAAAGGCACACACAAATTGATCGCATAGCCTGTTAAACAAGTGCATGTTCTTCTCTAATTGAGGACCTTGCTCGTGTAGCGTTCTTGCTAAGGCTCTTTTTTGCTGATGCACTACGGCAGATAAAGCATATAATTATGCCTCTCTGCCGGCTGGGATGGCGGGATCGGGTCCACTTTGCTGGCTTTTGCACGTTCATCTCCGGCCAATGCTTTTCTTTTCCCACAGCTCCAGCGTTCCCTGCGCACCTGCGATGCCGAGAAGACCGAGGCCCAGGAGAGGGTGACAGAGCTATCCACTTCAAACACTTCTCTACAGAGCGCTAAACGCAAGGCCGAGCAACAGCTCGCCACACTGCAGGTGCACACACTCACAACAAAACACACGCACTACTGGTTTACCCGGGCAAGTCCTGTATATAAAAGGCTCCGATGTTTGTTACGTAGGAGGAGAATGAGGATATGGAGACCGAGTTGCGCGATACGTCAGAGAAGCTGAGGAAAACCATGGAGCAGCAGGCCCGCCAGCAGAGTGACTACATGACCACCAAAGAACAGCTCAACTCCACCGAGAAGGCAAAGGTCAGAGAAATCTCTCCTATCAAAAAGTGTTTTCATAACACTTTGTTGCACCACTGTCGAAATATTACCGGTCGGTATTCTACTAATACAGTCTGCTTTGGAAATCCAAGTGAAAGACCTCACCACTCAACTGGAGGAAGGCCTAGCCAACTCTGTTAAGAATGCCAAGAGAGAGATAGTCAAACTACAGGCCAGGGTGAGGCTCTTTCATGCCCCACCAAGACAGAACAATTCCATGTCGTGTGTATACATCTAGACCCAAGAGCTGGAGGGTGAACTTGAGACTGAGACCAAAGCGAGGAGTGACACACAGAAAAATTACAAAAAGTAAGCCGGGGACACGAGTTCCAAATCTCGTAAAGGTTTAATGCTGTGTATCGCACGCGCAGAGCCGACCGTCGCACCAAGGAGACGGTAATGCTGCTTGATGAGGAAAAATCCAACTGCCAGCGCTTCCAAGACCAGGTCACTTCCCAAACTTACGCGCGGTTCGAACCAAACACCTTACAAACCATTTTTGCCCCCTGTAGGTGAATGCCCTGAACAGTAAGGTGCGGTCCCTGAAGCGTGACAAGGAGGAAGTGGAGGGAGAACTGGAGACCAGCAAGTCTCGCATGAGGATGCTGAAGTCTCAGCTTGAGGAGGCAGAGGAGACTTCTTCCAGTCTCCAGACCCAGATTATCAAACTCAGGACTGCCAACAGAAGGAAGGTGTGTGTATAATAATACTAGAACAGGAATTTTTGGCAATTAAATGTACATGATTGCACAATCTCAGCTGTTTTATGAGCGTGCCAGGGCTTACGTGCATACATTAACAATACGGTATTGTGACAGGACCGTCTATGATCACGCAATTTAGATGACTACATGGACAAGAAGTGTATGCTTTGCCTTCAGATTTAGAAAAAAACTTGTATACTACGGCTAGGTGTAAAACAAGCCTACACAAGTTCTATCATTGACTGCATGTATGATGTTTATTTATCATTTCTATGTTATTTTTCGCAGATGGCAACTCCAGATGTAGACGAGGAAACTAAATGACTGTTTGACAAAAAACCAATGAAATCTTAGTAAATCAGAATCAACTAGCTCTTCACGTAGACATAGAAATTAGAAATTATTATCCCCGATTTGTAATAGACTGCAATTGATGGAGATTTGTACGAACATGCCAACCAACGTAACGCCGCCGTTCTTCAAAAGATCTATCATCTCGCCCGAAAAGATACAAAGCTACAGCAGTTTTGAAAAGTGATCTGATTTAAAAAGTAGTTTGCTTGTGCTTACAAAGAGTAAGACAAGTCAGCTCCTACTAGTATGTAACCCTGTAGATTTGGTATATATAACTCATAATGATACGGTAGCATCACCACCACAAATAGTGATAATTCACCTCTTCGATAGTGATGGTTGTGTCTGTGGCTGCTAGGCCACTGCGAGATGGAATTGCTAGCCCGGCATTCAGGATCCCTGACAAAACACCACACAACAATATAGACGTGCAGAGCACTATCAGTTTGATTTACACCACAAGGCAACTCTTTTTTCTTTGGAAAAGGCGTTGTCCTTTGTGTTGTTGAGTTTTATCTTGCCTTGCTCTGATGCATAACCATGCACACCTTATTAAACTTTAGTTCCTTCTACAGCTTACCCACACACTGAACTACGTAAAAGTACTAAGATAATGAAAAGTACTGAAGTGCAAACCCTCGGCGACCGCTGGGCTGGGCTATTTGTAGTATGCGTTTACTCGTGGTCTCCCACTAGTAGCTCGCAGAGAGTCTGACACGGGCTAGCTACAGTAGTAGATAGCATGCGGAAGTCGATACACGCCCTTCGTTGTGACTATTAAACTTTAGTTCCTTCTACAACTTACCCACACACTGAACTACATAAAAGTACTAAGACAACTATAATATAGAGCTCAGAGGCTCTACTTACGGTTGATGTGAGGGATGGCCATAAACTGTACCATGGTGTGTAGGAGTTCTTGAAAGGGTGTTGGCTGTAAAACAAAACATTGACTACACCTCAGAAGAATTTTAATGCAAGTACGTATCTCACGTCTATTTCTCCTATAACGGAATCGATATTTGATATTTCGGTTCTAAAACAGAAAAGAGAATACCAGGTAAATGAGGGTAGACTCATGTACATCTGTCTCACGTGAACGATGTGATATCCCCAGCAATAACCTGTCCACTGGATCTGGTCTGAATCTCAAACTCAACATCACACTGCACTGACTGCAGAGCAGACAAAAAACTCAGTACCACACTCCCAAACAAGCACTCAAATCATCACAATACATCATGGGATCTGTACACACAATACCACCCAGGAATCTTGCATAAAACTGTCCTGGGTGTTGATTTTTTGCTTGCTTACTTATGATTCATGCATTGAGAGTGACACACACACACAATTGAAGTTACACACACACATTCATCGTACCACTGTCAGTGAGAAGGCTAGCTGAGGGGTCACACCAGACTCTACAACCAAGATACTAGCCTCTGCCTCCCCAACAATTCTGGCTTGGCCCCGAGACAGTAGTAAAGAAGGTGGCTGCTTGGTCTCCATTATATACTCCACATCTTTGTTGGGAAACCGTCGATACAGCTAAGAGAAATGACACACAATCAAATACAGACATGGACTTGCAATGAAGCCTTCACCTCTGGAACGATTGACTTATAGTCTGCAGTGGTTTTAAGTAGAACATTTGGTACCTGAAACAATTTCCATCACTGGTAAAAAATATATAGATAGCGAAATGCTGGCTACCTCTTCGTTTTTAATGCTATAGTCCATGTATGCTGCTCCCTTGTATATGTAGGCAGCCGTGTCAAAGGTATAGCTGGTGAGCCATATGAACACCATCTTACTAGTCGGATCGACACTGGACGCAGCAGGGAGGGAAGCAGGTGAGATGGGGACTTCTTGAGAATGCTCTGCTGACATAAACTCACCCTGCGTGCATGCGTGTGTGTGGATATTCACTGACATGATAGCATCTCTTAGGCCCGAGTTACAGAACTTCTGCTGTTGCATCTGGGGTGCTAGCAGCCTTGTGTGTGACTACTTTACTTTCATTTCTCAACTCATCTCTTTCCGAGTCTTTCGAATCGACAAATATCCATGTGCATACACTATTTGCATGAATGAGACTATGTTTTAAGAGCCTAAATCGAGTAAGGATGCTACATAATTCTATTGAAAAGATGAGGATGCTCACGTCGTGGTTGGTGAGAAGGTAGGAAGATGACAAGACAGGATCTCCAAGAATGGCACAGCTCACCTCAACTCCATCACTCACCTGAATACTCACTGCCATCAGACAAACATCATTTTACATGTCCACCAATGAATGTGTAAAACTGCCATAGTATATATGTAAACTTGCCAGGTAGAGTAGTCGGGAGTTCTTTACCAAACTCATTAATCTTTCCCGTAACCATCTTACACACCTGTACAATCACACATTAATAGTAATGAGTTATAATTTTAGGCAGCTGTTTGTAATTAACCTGACTCCTTAGGTGATCTTTGATTTTCCCCTCAATGAACGAGGTGAACAGATTATACAGCCAGCTATATACAACAGAAAGAAGCACACACACACTGATCCTCTAGCACCCACTAAAGCCCAACATAAACATGCATGGTGCAACTCCTTGCAACTTCTTGAAAGTCTTGCAATTTTTGTAGCAGAGTCTAGACATAATCATTCCACCTCAACGCAACAAGTTGCACGAGCGTTGAAAGCAACTCCTGGCCCACACATAATGTCATGATGTAACGTTAATGAGACTAAGGTTGCGTGTAAAGTTGCCCCCCGTGTATGCACTGACCTTGCTCCTCCATGGAACTTGACTGAGATCTTCCTGACGTCAAAGGAGCAGTCTGCAGCCAGTACCACTAGCCGCCCGCTACCATCATTCCTCACTGACACAGTCTGACTCAGTGACATGTCCTTCGCCTTCAAGTCCACGGTGCCGTCATCCCCAATTTTAGGCCTGGAATATATATAACTTATTTGAACAGTATTAGAGAAGACGTCCAAAGTGTGTGTTATAATACATGTAATATCAGGGGATTCAAGAAGTGAGGTGAAAAAATGAGCAATGTGAAATTTTGGGCCTTGAAACCAATATTTTGCGTAAACTTCTTGTGCTATTGAGCACGTAAAAACAAAGCAAGTTTTAGCAGAATTAGTAGTTCTTTCTATAATTGTATATACCAGCTCTTCTGTTTGTACTTCCACTTGGCGTGCATGGCCAGAGACATGCCTGAGATGTGGATTCTCATCAGCTGGTCATCCCTGGCCTCCAGAGAAGTACTGGGGACACCCACGTCACCAACTGTTATCCTGCACAGAGAGCCGTCTAGTTTTACGGCGATAGTTTGGTGGAGGTTTCAACTTACTCGGTGAGGTAATACTTCACTTTGCCGACAACTTTCACTTTATTTTCCTCCTGAATGTCGGGTATGCTCAGCTGCAGCAGTCCGTCCCTCAAAACAGGTCCAAAAACTAAATGGAAAAGGTCAGTCATTAGCACAGCTTGCTAGCTACAGTCGGTGTATCTTTAGCTACCATAGTCAAGCCCTTTCTTGGTGAACGTAACCCTGAAGCCAGGCTCCTGACTAAACAGACTGCCTGATGAGCCAGGCATAGCAGAGGTCAGTAATAGCAAAGCAGTGAGCCAAGATGAAATCGGTTTCATCTTCAACATGCAGCCAACGCCTCCTCTCGCGAGGGCTCTACAACACTTGACCCCGCCGGCACTTAATTATACGTATACATACGCTCACGTATGCACACGCGCACACAATCGATACGCGCACGCACGTGACGAACACAAATATCACGTTAGCACGTTCAAAAAAGGTGGCCGCATCGATACGATCGCGAAAGAGAAACGGGCTGCTGCTATGGAAAGACTCTCCGTGGACAGGCTGCGTGCCGACGAGAAGCTGATCGAGGGAGTAAAACGTTACCCGTGTCTATGGGAGATACACAACAAGTCATTCAGAGACCTGGGGGCCAAAGAAAGCGCCTGGAAAATAGTCGCCCAAGAGGTGGGGCGCGTACGTCTTTCCTATGCAAACACCTGTTGGGCTTCACACCTAAACTTTTACATGCATGATTGCGGCTGTCGTTTTTCCCCTCAGGTGGGTTATTCCGATGAAGATTGCTTGAAGAGGTGGAAGTCCCTGAGAGATCGGTTTGTGAGGGAGGCCAAGAAGGTCAAGGAGAATGCAACACCCGATGGCGGTTCGGGATACGTACCTCCTTGGTCCCTCTTTCACAGCATGACCTTCCTCATGGACTCAATTCGTCACAGAAAGTGAGACAACTCGCTCTGGTCATTTGTTTTTGCTCAGTGTAGCAGCTTAATTCCCATTTTGAGTGTGAGTGTTGATATACTGGAGCCTCATGGGATAAAGGACCCAAACAGGGGGCAGTTTGTGCTTTTTCTTGTTTGCGTGTCGGGTGTAGCCCGCGAGTGAGCTACATTGGTGGTACGCAACGTCCCCGGCCCGTTCCGTGTTCGCCGCCTCGTTCCGTTCTTATGTCTGTCCCGTTCCGTTCCATCCGTCGCGCACCTTCGTCAAAGCTGCGTATTGTCGTTGCGCGTTTCGCGAAGGTGGCGCCACTCGTGGAGCCGTGGCTCATCCACGCGCGAACATCTGCCTCCATGCTTACTGCTTAGCTACATTACTATTCTGCCTGCTTGCAGGTCAAGTATGCTGACACTAAAACGGGATGCTTCAGAACTGGCATTGCCTGAAGATTCCACGGAAATAGAAACAAGGTATGTCTATTTACACTTCAGCACGCATTGAAATATCTGACGATTACGTACGTCAAACTGGTGCTCTCCCGTCTTGGTGCCTGCAGTGGAGACGGAGAATATCTGCCTATCGGCTCTCCCGGGGATTCCAGCGTGGACCTCAGCGCCTCTCCGGCCAGCAAACGAAGGAAGACCTCACATCTACCGGTACCTCTCGTCGTGTGCTCCGCGTCCACTCCGCTAGACCCGAGACTCAACAAGAGCGGCAAGGAAGGCGGAGGAGGGAACATGCAGACCTCACACCAGGTAACGCAGGCCATCCTGAAGAGCCTAAAGGCCCTGGAGGAGACGGTGCAGGAGCAGCAGCGGATTATCGTGGATGAGGACGAGCTCTTTGGGAAACAGGTAAGGATCTGCATACAGGTCTATCACTTTGTGCATGGGCTGTGTATAAGGAGATCATTACAAGTTTCCATTGGCTCTATCCATTTGTTTATGAATCCTACCTGCAGTGTAATGCTGTGCGTGTGTTTTGGGCATGCCAGGTCCTGTCTGGAGCTACAATACTATATACATGTGTATGACTCCCTGCAGGTGGCAATGGTAATGCAGCGACTAAACAGCAGGCAGAAGGCAGTGGCAAAGCTCCGCATTCAGCAAGTCTTTCTGGACATAGAGTTTCCTCCAGAGAAATCCGACATCAGTTAGACATTCTACTCCAGAAACCTCCTCCCTCCCACCCTCTCATCACTCAGACTGTATTTACCCCATCTCACCCTCATTATACTGCCACTGACACGATGCACAGAACCCTCATGTCATATCCCATATTTTATTCTTTCTTGTAGCCCCTTTTTCCAACAACACATCATCCTTTCTACAGAGGAATCCAGTAACATGATTATGAAGCTCAACTAACTCTAGCACTTTTCCTATTCACTTTTCTTACTGTATTCCAGAAACAATGCGCAGAAGAAAATGGATGGTTGTAAACGCATACATTTTAATGTACACACATTCATACAGATTGTACAGAACAGTATCTTCAGCTCTAGAGTTACAACGAGTGTCCCATATAAAGAGTGGATCTTCATCTTGATCGAGAGCGGTCCCGTCTTCGTTGGTCCCGGTCGCGATCCCTATCCCTGTTCCTCCGATCTCTGTCCCTATCTCCCCTCTCCCTCTCCCCCCTGCCCCTCTCCCTCTCTCTACGATGGCCTCTCTCTGAGTCCCTCCTTCTCTCGTCACCGTGCAGGCTCCTGCGTCGATCTCTCTCTCCATCCCTACCACGGGGACTCCAACTTCTAGATAACAGCATGGAAAAATCGACTCAATGTAGAATAGTACACTGTATGCTTAGTACAGTGGATATATATATACCGGTGTAGGTGAATTCAGAGCATTCTGGCGAGCATGAGCAAGTCAAAACGTGTGCATGTGCCCCATTAGGAAGACCACACAGAGCCATTACATAGTTCAGATGGAGCTTGCATTTACTTTCATTAGTCTACTGGTCTTCGTGGGTGGTAGCCCATGCAGAGCTCATGTCAGTGTATGCGCAGTTCAACCTTGTGTAGTTTCGCAAACAACAATCAAGTGTTCAACCTCCAAATATGTACAAAGGCATGGCCTAGTGTGTTCTATATTTGTGTCCCACAACATTAGGAGCTGTGGGTGGGTGATGTCTACAAACCTTCTCCTGCTCTTGTCCCGTTCCTTCTCCTTCTCCTTCTCCTTTTCTTTCTCCTCTCTCTCCTTCTCCTTCCCCCGCTCAAGCTCTCTCTCCTTCATGTACTCCTCCCTCTCCTTGGCTCTCTTCTCTGCCTTCTCCTTTATCTTGCTCTGAATCACGTCACACACACACACACACACACACACACACGCACACAATGAGTATTCTGCACATTTTGACTAGGCTTGCTAACATACAGAATTGGGATGCCCCCAGAATCAGGTAAAACGTATTATATTGGAGTGTTCTATGATTTTTTCTACATATATTAATGCTGTGGAGTACGTACTTCATAATAATATTGCGGTTTTACTGACCCTCATATTTAGTGGGTATTAACTAACAAATGCTGTATATATACACTACTGAAGACGCTGTACCTCAAGTAGTGCGATCTTTTCCCTGATGGTGACAAATCCGATGTGGAGTTTCCCGCCAAAATGGTCGGCCAGTCGACGGTCATTGTCATACATACTCAGAAAAGCACCACACACCTACGTAAATGGACAGGAGTGAAAGAGTAAAACCCCCCTTTCCACACAATACAGACGATGCAATAGGTTAGGGGCCCAGCAAAAAACAGTACTATTTGAAAGAAGTTGTCTTTCGGGGCACACTTGTGGATATGTGGGGCTGCTCCCACAGCTGCAACCCACGAGCATGTAAAAATAGTGGGCATCAATTGGAGTAAGTGCAGGGGACCAATCGAGGGGGAGACGGAGGTGAGGCCAGACAGCTCGTCCATTGAAATCTATATACATGAATTGGAAGACCTTCGGCTTCTAAACCACATAGACTTCATCACGGGTAGTTGAACTCTACTGCTGCTATGATTGTAGGGTGTAGTTGGACTGAGTGACTGACTGACTGACCTCGCAGGCTTTGAGTTTCTGCTGCTGGACGGCGTGGCGAGGGATGAGTGCATGGTACTCGTCCTCTGCCTGCTTCTTCTTCAGCTTTATCTCCTCCACCTCCTTCAGCAGCTGGAGACTCCCATCAACATTACCTTCAGCTCCTGCAGACAGACAGACAGACGACAGACAGTAGGAAGGAAGGGAAAGAGGGTGAGACATACATCAAGTGTACTAATAATCATCTCCAGGCTCTCCCTCTGTTCACAAGTATTGCTTGCTACCAAAGTACATGACTTGAAATTGCTCACTTCTAGAAACTGACAACACAACAGGTATTATAATGTGTCTTGCAAATAGATCAAAATCGGGAAATCGACCACGCCAAAGACTGTACCAATAGTAGCACCACTGGATATCACAGTATGTCAACTGACTGACCCATGGCCTCAGCCTTGGAGACCTTCTCCCCGATCTGGACCGCCAGTTCGTGGATCTCCTGGCTCTTGGCCTCCATCTCCGGATTGTCCTCCGTCACGTCCAGCCTCTTCCTGTTGGCCTCAATCTTACGGTCGTTGTCGGCCAGGAAGGCCTTCAGGTACTCCAGCACCTCCTCCTCGAATCGATAGTCTCTGGCCTTGGACGCATTCTCGAACTCCTCCTTCATGGTGATGGAGTGTATCTTGGTACAGTCTGGCAGCTCCGCTCTCTGCCAGGTGGAGGTGTGCACGTAATGCATAGAGAGGGATGTGTACTATAATGTGTATGGCACAGAGTCAAAGTATATACAGTAAAAGAACTTCTAACCCAAACACCTTAGGACTATATAGGGAGTTTTTGGATAGCGATAAGCTGAAGATCTAACAAGGGCCAGAGTAAAAGTAAACAGAGCATAGCTACATACAGTGATGTATGTATATATATGCATGATGTAGAAGTAACAGGAGCATAGAGCAAGGCTTGTGAAGGTGTGTTGCACAGAGTGTATTCGTGGGCCATGCTGCTGATAACACACCATCAAAGCAGCAATAAGTGACTGGGCAAACAAATAGCTAGTTTCTCTCACCGTGTTAGTGAAGAGGTCGCTGATACAGATATCCAGGAGAAACGGCCTACAGACAGCTCTGTCGGTAAAGTGTTTATCGTCACCGCCATCGGCACCTGTACAATGCACACCAAACCACATTCACATACCATATTCAGCAAATATCGTGGTTATGACCAGCTTATCTATAACACAAAATGGTGGAGCCCCTCTACTTAATTCAGACACGGTGTTGGCAAATGCTGCTTTCAACTTAATCAGTTTGCCGCCATGGAAATCAGGAGACCTCACAAATCGGGACAACTTCACACATCGTCGTGACTTCTCCACTGACAAAGATAAGACAGGCCTTGCATAGTGAAATCATGAACTGCAGCTCCTCAGCTTATATCCCTCCGGCGGAATATATCTTACACACACACACACACACACTCTGTTGAGTTGTGATGTATTTCAACTTACCACAGGTCTGATGTGTGTATTGTGCCAATGGACTAAGCACACGTGTCATGCTCTGAAGGCGCGACTGGGTAAAATGCAAGGCAACAAATTGAAATCACCACAGGGACTCACTCGGATGAAGGTGACACACACAATCAGCTGCCTAACACGCAGCAGACGTGTTCGAAATCACTTCAACAAGAAAGGAGGCTCCATTTGGAGTATTCCACATTGATTTTAGTTTGTTGAAAAGAAAAAAAAACAGCAGCCCCCTACTAAGAGCACACAGTGTACATGACTACTGGTGTATGTGTGTGTGTGTGTGTAATATAAGTGTGTCTTTCTCATAGAGATGTGTACATGTCAACTCACGACGGTGGTGTGCACATAACTCACGTAAACACAGTACACTGACCCCCAGTGAGTGGGGAAACTTTTGATTGGGCTTAATGTGCGCTTAGGAAGGCACTATAGCTGTGGTCTGCCACGAGCAGAAAAGAGACATAGCAGGAAAAGTCAACGCCTCGAAATTCGAGGGTCAAAAAATCTTGCCTAGAAGAGATAGGGAGGAAACTCACCGTCCCGATTCTGGCCCATGAGCTGATCCAGGAGTTTGCTCACTTGATCCTTGGCCGACATGGTCGCTCCGGGTCCCCTCTACTGTAGATATTAGACCTTATGCTCCAAAAGCACGAGAGCAACTGCTCTGCAAAGAAGCGCGGAAAGATTGCTCACGTGTCTAGCACGTGATACTCCTGAAGCCCCGCCCATACAAGAACCACCTACCTCTCTTCAGCCATGAGTTGGTTCGATGGCAGCTTTAGCTTCGCTCGTACGGCCCTTTCTCAGGCCCAGAAATCAATCGACAAGGTGCTAGACATCCGAGAAGAAGAAGGAGCTGCACTAGATCCGGCGGAAACAGGTGTGTGCCTGAAAAACCGCTCTTCGTGCGTAAAGTACTTCCACATAGCATGGTTTTGGGTATTATTCCATGCTTTTTAGGTCCTCCAGGCTCTTCCAGTGCGGCAAGCAAGAGTTCAGATGACAAGCCAAAGACTTCGCCAAAATTCTCGACATCCACCCCAAAACCGAGCAGCTCACAACCATCGCAAGCTCCTCTGTCGTCTCAGGGAAACACTCCACTCTCTGCGTCTCCCTCGCGGGACAACTTTTCCTCTACGTGGGGCGGGACTTGGGGCAATAGTGGTTCTCTCTGGGGTAGCTCCCCGACCACACCCCCAGCAAGGAAGACGGAGCTCGTTAGTCAAAAGGAAAAGCCGTCCTTGTCTTCGGCAGGTCGGGGAGACAGAGCTGGTGTGTCTACTTCAGCAAGGAAGAGTCGAGTGGCAAAAAACAAACGGAGAGAAGGGTCAGCTTCTAGCCTCGAATCTCTGTCTTTTCCATCATCAAACCCACCCGGATCAGAAGAGACTAAAGAGACTCCAAGAGATGAAAAGAATGGAGGACTCTCTCCTACACAACAAACCTCTACGATAAGAGATACGCGCAGAGTCAAAATTTCACCACTGGTAAAACTGAAGTTTTTGAATCCTCCATAGTAGGGAGTGGAGAATCGGCTACAGAAGTGCCAAGTACTGCCAATGTATTGCAGGTGGAACTCTCTACAAAGGTTGGAGCTGAAGGTGAGGGGACTGAGATCCAGACCAGAGTTGACGGCAGCAGGCACAGGTCCACTGGTACATGGGATATGCTTACTTCTACCAGTGAGCCAGTTGGTCGAGGTGGTTCTGCTGGTGGTGGAGATGAGAGAGAGACAGACAGAGGAGAGGAGGGAGAGGGAGAAGTGGAAGTGAATCTCGTTGTACCTCCGGCAGAGGCCACCGATGGTGAAGCTAAGACGCACACATTTCACGGAGAAGAGGATGACAGGGAGCTAAGACCGACATCAACATCTCCACATTCCAACCACTCCAGTATGCCAGGGACCCAGCCTCATCTCTCCAGTCCCAGAGAAGAAAGATGGACTGAAGTCCCTCTCAGTCAAGAACCTGAGACTGCAGAAACTTCTAGTGGAGATAGTAGCCATCCCGTAGGAAGTACTGACACTCCTAGCGAAGTGTACAGACCCTCACCTCCCCACACAGTCACACCCTCACCAGTGCTACAACCTTCACCAAACTCCCCTCCTCTCCCCATCTCTCACTCGCCACTCCTCCCTGCCACGCCCCCTCCTCCCTCTCCAACAAAAACCTCTCCACTTCCCCCGACCTCCCCGGTTCTCGAACCAACCAACACATCTGACACAAAGCTAGCAGAAGAGATTGTTTCCCTGCCACAACAGCAGACCCTCGAGGCCGCTCAACTCTCAACTAATGATGGCTCTGATGTTATGGGACAGAGCAGAGAGGCGCAAGACCAACAAGAATCAAGGAGTGTTGATGTAAAGCCGGTAGAAAATGAAGGTGGACAGCTGAAGGAAGGAAGTAGGGACAGTGGGGTATTGGTGTCTAGCGGTAACTCGGGAGCAGTGGAAACTTTGCAACAGGTTGGTAACTTCTCTTCTTGTACAGTATAGATTCAAAGCCATTTCAGTCTGATTGGTACATAGTTCGAGCCTTGATAAAACGTGTCGTGTATAACGTGCACATTTCTTGCTACGGAAGACATTCGGTGCAGGTATATAGCCTTAGCATGTGTCCTTGTGCAGTGTCCATTATAGCATGCTTCACATGTTGCACTTCTTCGATTCTGTTTCCACACAAGATACATAATATATTATATGCACATTACATAATTATGGCTCCTGACAAATGTGCATTGTACGTGTGTCACTGTCTTGTTCAGGAGCTGGGGAGAGTAAACAAGTTGCTGGAGGCTCGGGAGACAAGGATGGTGGAAATGAGTCGAGAGGTTATCCAGCTCAGTGAGACCAACCAGGAACTGCAGAGGTCAGCTATGTATAGTGCTTCTAAAAACATAGTGTATCATTCTTCACTGAGCAGCATAATGTTGTTCAAGGTTCCTAGCGCCATAGATGAAAATAGCAGCTGAAGCTTTACTTACGTATATACAAAGAAGAAAGAGAGACGGAACAAGAACCAGAACGTCCTCTTGGGCTTCATAACACAAACTACAAATAGAGGACTAGGGAATCCAATTTTCTAAACCTCAGTCGACTGTCAGCCGCCGAGCAGGACCTGCACACCAGTCAGGGTGGAGTCGAAGAGCTGAGGTCAGAGTTCACCAAGAGAATCGGAACGACGGAAAAGAAACTTCATACCATTGTCAAGGTGATTACTTTTGATGATGTAGTGGAATACACATGCAGGGTAATGTAAAAGAAGGATGCACTATCACTACATATAGACGTAATGCTTTGCTCGATTTTTATGTCTGAAGGAGAGGGACAGTCTGAAGAAACAGCTGCAAGTGTTGACAACGGAGCAGAGCCAACAGTAAGTCACTGTTTCCCTCTCTCTCTCTGCTATATACTCAGGATTGTTTTCTGTAACATTTCAGGCGAAGAAGTGCCAGTCAGGAATTGAGTTTACTGCTGAAGGAAAAAGAGGAGCAGATTTCTGGGCTCATGGATGAAGGTAAGGCCTCTCATGTAGTAGCTGGACTATGTATGCATACCCAATTGTACCGATTACGCATGTGTTTTGATCACACTAGTACGACCACTGCATCTCGTTCTTTTGTAATTAAAAGCTTTTCCTTATTTTGACACCAGGTGAGAAGTTATCTAAGAAGGAACTGCAGAACTCCAACATTATCAAGAAACTGAAGGAGAAGAACAAGCAGAATGATCAGTTATTGGTGGCACAGAGGTCAGATTTTGCTTCTTCATGGTTGCCCCAGCTTCTCAAGTGGTAGCGTGGCCGAGCGGGCCGAGCGTGGCCGAGCGGTCTAAGGCGCTGGTTTAAGGCACCAGTCATTTCGATGGCGTGGGTTCGAATCCCACCGCTGCCATACTTTTTCCTTCTTCATACCTTTCCTTATTCTCATCGACAACCCCACCGCTGCCATACTTTTTCCTTCTTCATACCTTTCCTTATTCTCATCGACAACCTTACACTTTTTGGTGTCTTTTTTGTCTATCTCTGCAGACAACAGATCGAAGATTGTGAGAGAGAAGTTGGCAGACTCAAAGAGCTCGTGAAGAAGAAGGAAGACAATGAAAAGAAGTATCAAGGTTAGACTCTCATACGGTGGACCTGACCATTTCGCTTCGTTCACGTTCACTGTTGGTTCTCTGTATGCGTAGAGTCAATGTCACAGTTGAACAGCATTGCAGAGCAGCAAGAAAAAGAACTAACTGCACTGAAGGTATACTTTACCGTGAACCTTATAATGCCACACCCCTTATAATGGCAATTTGATGGGCACAGGTTTCATTTTTATTTGATGGCATTAAACTTACTAGCATGACTGGAAAGTGTTCTCTTATCTGTAGACGGAGAGAGATGAGCTGACAGACAAAGCTAGGAGTCTGCAGACTAACTTGGACAATGCTTACAAGTCAGTCGGTGGGCTAGCTAGCATGGGGAGGTGGGGGTAGGTTGGTATCAATGGCGCAGGCTTTCAATCCTCTACTTTGCTGTGTTAGGCTAAAGTTTGATCTCGTGTTCACATCATAAATGCTAAGTATAGTACAGCGATATAGGTAAATAGATAGAGTTTGTGCAGTTCAGTGTTATAGGATAATTGCGTACTACAACATGCCTTTTTGTTGGTGGTTGAGTAGTCATGTCAATCGGTAGCCTGATTTACAGCAATGTATGCTTCATTTATCGTCATACTGTCTGCCATTCTGCTGTGACTGGAGTTCTCTGTGTCTCTCGTCAATTGATTGACTTCATGCTCGCTATGATTGTGGGGAACTCCTCTCGTTTTCGGCTCATCCGGGGCCACTTCATACGCCAACGAATTGATCACGTAGCCTTCATCATCAGTACAATCACCCTCAGGTGCCACTTCTTCCTGATGTGACGTCATTGAAGTGTACGCCTCGTTAAGACCGGTTGGAATCAGCACGGAACTTGTCCATGACACTCTCTGCTCCTCTTCATTCGGGATGTAGCTGTAGATTTCGTCTTTTTGACCTTGGCCTCCAGGGGACGCATACGATGGGTTGAAGTCCATCTCCATTGCCTGGCCGGAGGAAGTGTATGCTGGATTAGCCTGCAGACTAGAGCCATACGCTGGATTGGAACCAATTTCTATTGGTGTGGTTTGCATTGACTGCTCTGGGAGGCTTGAAGTAGAATATGCTGGCTTTTTGTCCAGACTAGTAGAACCATACGCTGGATTCGAATCAACCACAATAGGTTTTGAAGTATTGGCTCCAAAAATTGTGTTTCCTTCATCAGAGGAGTCGCCGGCTGGTTTCGAGTTTGTTGAGACCACATTACGAGGATTTACTTTCCCTGAAGTAGTCAGATTGTGTCCATTGAGTGTCTGAGGCGTACTAAAGCTCTTCTTGTTCTGGAGAGGGTGTCTGGTTCTGTATCTTACCACCAGTGCAACTGCGAGAGTAGCAAACAGTAGTGCGACAACCACCAGTACGGCACCACCGCTGCTTCCTCCAACTAGTAGTGGAGCTACTCCTGCATTGGTGTCTGCTTTGCCAATGTTTGAGACTAGCGGATTTTGAGATGTACTTAACCGCAGTGGTGTAACAGTCGCGGATGAAGGTACTGCTGCCTTGCCCGGAGCTGGTAATGTATGGGGATGATGTAGTCGGTGCCTGCAATAGAGCGGTGGGTGTATGTGGAAGTCCTCTTAGTGCTGTAGGTACTGCTGCCTTGCCCGGAGCTGGTAATGTATGGGGATGATGTAGTCGGTGCCTGCAATAGAGCGGTGGGTGTATGTGGAAGTCCTCTTAGTGCTGTAGGATTTGAACCAGCGATTCCAGTACTTTGCGGATGTGTTAGTTGGGAGCTTGAGGGTGTTGGTGGTGTAGTCTCCAAGCTGACTGTGGGCGAGGTGTTTGTTTCACACGGTCCTGTAGGGAAGGAAAACACATCAGGTGAGAGATTGTTTGATGTTCCACCTTGATGGTGGTGCATGCAGCCATCCGCGAGGTTAAACTGTGGGAGAAATCCCTCAGACCAATGGGCCATCCATGATCCATGTCCACCTCTAGGGCTCATTGCGTCAGTTCCATATTAATCGTTTTGCTTTTTAGTACCAGATATCTACCTACAGTATGTAAATACATTTTTAAAATCAATTTCGTTAATTTCCTCTTTTGGGCGATTAGCGATTGTTCGTGAAATTTACGTTTTCAGCCACCAATATTTGATACCTGGTGAGATGATTAGGTGGAAGTAGATCTTTAGGATGTCGTATATGCTGGAGTTAATGTTCACCCCGACTTCAAGTGGTGTCAGTTCCGGAGTAACGTAGTGTCCTCGCTCCTCGTTACTTGCACGAAAGGCTAACTGCTCGCTGTACCACACGCCATAGTGATCGGTACTCCGAACCACAAACTGTTCCGATGGTGCCAGCGGCAGATAAGAACAACACAGAGAAAAGGATCCGAATGGCTCGCAGTACGTGTCCATGTTTTCAGTGCTGGTGGTTGGGCCGGTAAAGCTGTGCACGTGGACAATCGTGTTCTCATCATCGACGACGAAAACTTTCATCGGGTTGGGAGTCGAGTAGGCAACGTAACAGACACTTAGCTCTGTCACACATCCACTGCAGTTTCCAAACGTGTCAGTGTAGACGTAGACTGTGTCTTGAATTGCGGTGTTTGTGATGCTGCTTAGGTCCGGAGGTAGGTAGTCGGGCGGGAAGTTGCAGGCACCTTCTGCTGCCACTGTGCAGGTAAAAACAGAGTCGTATTCCATGCTGGTCATAATTGTCAGTTCTAATATCTCAAAATTAATGTAAAATCAATGAGCAAAGCAAAGGCAGACAACACAACTACACCCAGTAATGTATGATGCGTGACTTACAGAAGTTGTGTGAAGTAGCAAGTAGGAGTCCAACCAGAGCCTTGAAGAGCATTCTTGCTGTCTGCCTGCCACCGATAGCTCTGCATAATGCTCCAGTCATTAAATAGTGCCAATCCATGGTTGATTGCACATCGCAGTGTGTGTGTGGCTGTGTTGTATCCTCTGGAGAGTGATACTGCCATCAGGAAACTGACGCTTTATTTCCTCTTTTCATAGCTCAGAAGCACACACCAGTAACTGCTTGTTGGTAGCATTGGTGTTAGCCCTTCAATAGCCCTTCAAACACTACAGTTACTACAGGTGCAAAGTGATTGGGCTTCTATATTAGATTTACTGTTGATCTAACATTATGGTATCAATTTTTCATGGCAGTTAATTTTCATGGATCGGCTAGTTTGTGAAGTGTCACAGTTAACAATGTGCTCTTCCATAAACCGTAATACATACTCACAGCGTATCATGTGGTGAATAATTGTATCACTTACGAGTTAGAAAGGATAAAAAAGGAGTATCGTGAGATCATCCTCCTCACGTGCTGCCTGTAGGGAGTTGTCTGAGCTGCACAAGGTGACGGCTGTGAACAAGTCTGTGGCCCACGATGCGGTGTTGAGTGCCGAGCAGACCGCTCGCCAGGAGCTGACAGAGTCTCTGGAGAAGCAGAGGGTGGAGCACCACCGAGAGAAGGAGCAACTCCTACTGGAGGTAATATTACACAATCATGTCTTTGAACCACTGCACTATATATCACATTGGTGGAAGTGGAAAAATCGTTGCTCTGAAATGAAGGGGGATGTAGGGATGGCACACATGAAAAACAAAAGATATATACCAACTTTTCTTATCGGTGGCGGATGCATTGAGCAAACTTGTGAACCTGCAGGTCTTCCTATAATACAACACTCAGAAGATAAATTATGAAGGTTTTTGGCCCGGTTTCCTCAATTTAAACTCTCCCCTCTCCTGTCCTAATTTTGTACTACGTGTGTACTAGATCAGCGAGTTGCGGGCGTGTGTGAGTCGGTGTGAGCAGCAGTCGGCGTGGAGAGAAGAGAGAATGAAGCAGGAGGTGAGCGATGTGCAGCAGAGACTGCAGGAGGCCGAGATGAGGAACCAGGAGCTAACCACCACCATCTCTCAGAGTAAGTACAGTGTACCTTGTATATAATATCAGTCATGTACTACTCTGTGCTCATTGCCAGTGTGTAACTGACTAGTCCAGGTGTGGGGAAATTGTGCAATTCTGATGGCTAGATGTGTGTGTTCACTTCACTTGCCAATTATACGTTAGAGTTAAAACTTCAAGGGCGCAGCATGAAATTGAAGTTTAACTGTTTTGGTTGGCTTTAAAAATAGTCTCTGACCACAAACTTTGTGGAGAACTTGTGGATAGGTCTCAAATTGCAAGTTCTGCTGTACGCTGGGACTGTTATTTGTACAGTGCATCAGCAATATTGGTTCTAACATTGGCAAAGGCATTGTCATGTGGATCTCTACTGCAGCTACCAAGCCGTTCTTGCGACAGATAGAGACACTACGTAGTGCTCACTCTGCTCAGACAGCCAACTGGGAGAAAGTTGAGGCCGACATGACCCACAGATTAGGTATATTTATGATAAATTTTTACCATGTTTTTGTTGTGAAGTGTGAAGCTAAAAAAAATATTGTTTGTGATTCTTGGGTGCGAAAAAGTGAAGATTTATCTGTAAAATTGTGTTGGAATAAACCAAAAAAGAAAAAAGCTAGCAGAGGATGGTTTCGATCCATCGACCTCTGGGTTATGGGCCCAGCACGCTCCCACTGCGCCACTCTGCTGCTGGTGGGGTGCATGATGAAATTCATGTCATTTATACATACGCAGTTGAAGCCCAGACCCAGCTAAGCGCTGCAGTAGAGAAAGAGAGAAGTGCAACAGAGAAAGCTCTGACTCTTCAGTCGCGCATCACGCACCTGGAGAGGCAGACGGCCTCGCAGAGGCAGGAAATATCCAGACTAGCAGCCTCTCTAGAGCTAGAGAGGGCTAAAGCAGAGACTCTTGAGGAAAGTCAGCAAAGGTGTGCACAGTAAACATCCGGAAAAAAATACCGGTTCTGCCCATACTGTATTATTCTACCTCTGAATAAGGGATGCCTGTAAATAAAAGACACTTTCGATGTCCAAAAACTTTCCGCATTCACTAGTTTCTGCATTGTTTTGCCCTGTAGGGAGTCAGCTAAAATGGAAGCAATGCGGTCGTCTATGCAGCAGTCAGTAGAAGAGCTGAGAAGAGAAAAGGTGTAGCCCAACATACACAGCGCTTGTAACTATTACGTCGCTGTATGTAGGAGATGCTGGAGAGACAGTTGGAGTATGAGAGAGTGAGACTGGAGGCAGAGAGCAGAAAGGCTTGTCTTGAATCACAAGAGAAGGTGTTACGAAACTGCTTACTTTGTCCACAAGATCTGTCATCAAATGTGTATGTAAATCACAGAAGTGCGTGCCTTTTCTTATTTAGTTGGTGCAATCTCTCCTCGTTTAAAGTCACAGTGTATACATAAGGGCGGAACTAAGCAAGAGGGCCCAGTGAAAGAATTTTAGTAACAATTTCTCCCTATATTATACTGCCACATTCCCCCTTAAGATGTGCCTCTCAGTGAGTCATTATTATATCTGCCACTGCAGGAGAGGCTGAGGTCCCAGTTGGCCAGTTCTCTCAGTAGAGGTCTCTCGCGGCAGTCCAGCACTGCCAGTACCACACATACACAGGTAGACGACGTTCTGGGCTCCGTAGCTGATCCCTGTACTCCATAGCGGTAAATTTTTCAGGAGAAAATTTTAGTGGTAAATTTCACAGAGAAAAATTTAAATATAGTAGCCCAATGGAATAGTCCCAACTCACAGAATTTGTGTAAATATTTTGTAGATGTCACTCAAGAATTCCAAGATTTACTATAGAGGTGTTTCAATATCTACCCATGAGCTATCTTGTTAATGACATCCCAGAGTGAAATACTGGAGAAATCTCTAGTTCAACAACTCAGCGAGGATGCAAGGGGAGGGAGTGCGTCAGATTCCGGTACCGGTTTCTACCACGGGAGGATTCCACCCACTTCAGCCTCTGCCATAGAACAGCTGCGGTCACTGCTCAAACAGAAAGAGGGAGAGCTCGCTAATGCACAGGTGTGTGTAAGCAAGCAATGACGCAGCAGTGAGTGTGTGGTCTTGTGTGCAGCAACTTTACCAATAGCATCTGGGAAAACATGGTCCTTACGATGTAGTATAATATCCTAATTGCTTTTCGATATAGCATATAAGGCCCCACCTACCAAAGTCTGCAGACTATATCGATTTACATAATTCTTGATTAACCATTCTGTGATCTCATTGGAGATATCTTGTCCTAGGACCAGGGAAGTTGTTTGCCACACCCCTTTTCCAAGTAATGAGTGGGTGGGGTCTAGGTACAGGACTAGTGAGTCTGTAGATGATTGTCATGTGATTGTCACATGATTAGACCCTGGTGGGCTCTCTGGAGAGGTCGCGAGCTGCCATGGCCAACGACCTCGCTGCCGCATCGTCGCAGAATGTTGACCTCGTGGAGAAAGTGGAGGCCATCCCTCACTTGAAAAACAAGCTACAGGTACAGCATAACCTTACGTAATTGTGTGATCACAATGCAAAGCTGCACATTTTTTAATGTGTGTGTGTGTGATTAGCCTCGTCCTAGTTTCATGTGACTGCATCATAATTAAAACTTAAGGTGCAAAGCGTAAAATTTTCCCCTTCTACAAAAACACCACCGTGTGTAAAGTCAGATTCAGACGTCTTTTTATCCACGTATTGCTCCATACAATAGAGTGCTTACTCCCCCCCCCCTCACCTCTGTCCATACTATATATGACAGGAGCTACAGAAGAATAACGAAGCCCTGCTACAAATGTACGGAGAGAAAGCAGAGAAGGCAGAGGAACTAAGATTGGACATTGTGGACTTGAAAGAGATGTACAAACAACAAATTGACGCACTCACTCAACGATAACATAACTTCACACGGAATTACCTTTTCAAAAGTCTCCATAAATAATATGACATAACCTAATAAACCTGTACAATAATTATTATACATAGACACTGAACACTCAGAGATTTGATGCCATAATGTTTTGAGTAGACAGTATTACTATAGCATGGCGGCTAGGTTCACTATACTGAGAATATGGTGTATAAAGCATAATGCTAAGTGTTTTGCCTACTCCTTGAGCACACCCCACTCTTGCTTCCTGGTCATCTCGTCTCCGAGTTTCTTTAGCTCTGGCTTGTCTTCGAGGTACTCTTGAATCTGTACATGCAGCAACAAACACAAAGCTTCACTCACTCCTAGTATACAGACTATAACTACATACACAGCCGATCCCCAATCCCCACGCATTACACTGGAAACAAGTCTTGTTGATAGTTACCTGGTGTTCATATTACATAGGGCAAAAGCAGATCCACCCATTAGCTAGTTAGTACACAAACGGCAACAAATAATTTAAAGTTTCAAGAGGCTGTATAACACCGTTGCATGCAGTGCCCAGACCGGATATTCAGAACGCCAACGCACGAAATGTACATACTCACCGTCATATCTTCAAATGGCTTTTGTGCCTTCAATGCAGCCAGCTATGAAAAGAACAAAAGCACACATACAAGATGTAGTATAGACCGGTCGGACAGTAATTGGTACCTCTTCTTGCCACTCTTTCATTTTCTCCTTAGATTTTGCCAGGGTCTCCTGCACTATAACCTCCTGTAGTTTCAAGTGTTAGAGACATTCTCCCGATAAACGCCTTCCCTTTCCACGCAAACATACCACTTCTCTCTCTCTCTTGTCAATAGAGGCACTGGTGGTGTCCTTGGGGTGAGGAACACTCAATCCCCCGTACTGTTTCTGGAAGGATTCCACCAGGCCAGGGATAGCAATGTTCTGGCGATAGTGGTCCCAGTTGATTGGCTGGGGCTTCTCCGGGTAGGAGTTGAGGCTGTAGAGATGTGTTGTTTCTCTAATTAGAGCACACCAGACAGGCTCGCGCTCGGCAAACGGCAAGTGGGTTTAGATGAGGAAGAAATAGAAGGGATACAAAGAAATACGATCTAGTTTTTTTGCTTTCTGGGTCATAGGGTACACATTTGGTTCTGTGAGTCGCCAGCTCAAGGTATACCTGGTTTTGCAGGCCTCGTAGCGGCCTCGGAGCTGGCTGAAGCGCGCCCTTCCTTCTTCGGATATCCTCCCGGCCATTCGGGCCCAGTCTACCACCAGCTGTCCAGCCTTTCTCCCTCCAGCGCTCATCTTTCCACGCACCTCCTCTGAGCTGCTCGTCCGGATACTCTAAGTCCGTAATCTCCTTCGTGGGGTTAGGGGTGGAGCGTATATTTCGTTTTATTTCCGTATACTCTGACACGATCTGTACACATGTTTGGAGGTTTGGAGTTGACGGTGTGTTTGTGTCTCTTTCCGTCTCTCTTCGATGGCAGAAGGTACAGGGCAGGTGAGCATTCGAGTATCTAAGTTTATAAAGCCATCTACGGAGGGTGTAGAGGTTTTGATCACAGTTCTTTGTGTGAGTGGTGGGATTCATGATGTTTGAACAACACTAGCTAGTGCTGCACACTGATTACTGTACAGTCCGAGTACGCAGCCACTGTTTTGGGTGTCCACTGCATAGCTGAGCCACCCATCTAGGCGGGGCTGCAGTGCCTGGATATTTACAAACAAACTCAGCAAATGAATTGGGTTGTTGCTCAGTAACGTATGTATGTAGACTAGAGCGTCTCACCTAGCATATTATAGTATAGATGCATGTGTTGTGCGTCTCACCTAGCATATTATAGTATAGATGCATGTGTTGTGTAATACTAATCTGCTCAACCCCCCCCCGTCAGGCGAGTGGTGGGGATAAAAAGAAGAGAGACGATTTTCAATTTGAACGTATCCTAGGTGAAGGCTCCTATTCTACGGTTAGTTATGTGAACACAGCTTACTGTATGTATGTATATACGTTCATGTTTGAGAATACACGCATTAAGATGGGGACTTTTCTAAAAATGAATTGTTCATACCAAAATACCCACCTCTTGACGTGTTTTACGATTAAACCAAATGCAGCACCGTCGAATAGAGGGTAAATGATGGGTTTGAGAAAATCAACACACGCGAAATTCCCTCCACTGGACTAGTGTGTAGTGTGGCCAGCATTTCCCCCGTAAACATGTTTTTTTTCCAGCCACCCCTACCTGTGTGTGTGTGTGTGTGTATATTGAAATGCTTTGTAAACACTACCCAGCCAACTGGTACGTAAGTTACCACACGTATGATTTCATAGCGATGTTGCTTACAGATGCGTCGTGTGTGTGTGGTACACTGGCTAATGTAAACACTTTATCTACACATTCTGCACCGCGTGCTTTCTTTGTCTGCTCTGTGTGTTCGTGAATAGCGATTAAAGAATTTCCATTTCGATAACCTGTCGTAAACATGGACTTCAATTAGTGAGGCAGTGTACTGGAAATTACGTGTACTCGTACATACATAGGTGTTCTTGGCGACTGAGAAGACATCGAAAAAGAAATATGCACGTGAGTGTCTTTACGCACCATTACATGATGTACAATCTCTGTGTATATGGGAATTTGTGTGTGTCGTAACTTCCACAATCAGTCATGTACATGTTTTTGTTTAGAACTTGCTATAATAACAGAGCAAAAACACTAGCTCTATATATATATACCACTCTACCAACTATTTATAATTATTATGGTGTCATACACAGCAGTACTTTGAGCATATCCAAAGAACATGTTGTGTTCAGGGATCACCCCATGCAACAGAGGTCCCATTTGACCCCCCCATTTTGTTTCCTACAACAACTTTGCTGAGTGTATGTATAAACTGTGCCCACCCCCCCATCCAGTGAAGGTGCTGGACAAGAGACACATCATCAGGGAGAAGAAGGTCCAGCACGTCAGTAGAGAGAAGGAGATCCTCTCACTCCTCAACCACCCCTTCTTCGTGAAACTCTACTTCACATTTCAAGACACCGACAACCTCTGTATCCCGTCAACTTTCCCCTTTGCACTCCATGTGGTTTATACCGTCCACTTAGCATCCTGACCGTGGCAGCTGGCTACCACTGTCAGCCATACATACGTGTCTTAACTACACATTTTGACAGACTGACAAGTTGACATTACTTCCTAAACTTGGCTGACAAAAGAGAACTTCCTATTAATTTTACTGATCTAATATTCCCAACCAAGCTTTCTGTAGAACAAATGTAGCTATATTTTCTTTATGGACCGACATGCAGTACCCGTATCCATCTCATAGGGTGTTTTTTCATGAGTGTGGGTTTTAGGTGTAGTTTTCACATGCTAGTCCAGGTGTTGACTAGGGCACCGGTTGTTTTGCCTTGTTGCTCGGTATTGCCGAATTGTTCTCCCTGACTGCGGCTGACTGAAAGATTTCGGACTCAGTTTTGCTGAGAGAGGTGAGCTGCTGGACTACATCAGGAAGGTGGGGTCGTTTGACGAGCACTCCACCCAGTTTTACTCCGCCGAGATCATCCTGGCTCTGGAGTATCTCCACGGACGTGGAGTAATTCACAGGTTATACTCCACACATACATGTGTTGTATTTTTTGCGTCAAAGCTCATCCTAACACTACTTTGTGTATACTTTAGTTTGCTTTAAGGATATGGGGAAGACCAGCTTTTGTCTTCCATGACACCCGAGTTCAACTCTTGACAGAACTTAGTTCTTGCTCTTTACACGCCCTGACTTACGCACCTTGTGTTAAATAATGGTTTCCACGGACAATATACAGTGGAACCTTGAATGAGGACACCTCTCTAATAAGAACACTTGCTCTTGCTTGCATTTTGAAATGAGGACACCCCACTGATATTGACACTTTCTTCTGTCCCATTGTTGCCCTGATTGGAGAGTTTCCATGTGCGTGTGTGTATGTGTACGTGTGGCTGTAGGGACCTCAAGCCTGAGAACATACTCCTGGACAGAGAAGGTCACATCAAGATCACTGATTTCGGAACTGCTCGACTCCTCACCGACGATGGTAACCAGCTGCCGCGGTCTATGAATACACTTCACCCACTCTCAGTTGAACATAGAGTGTTCTGTACTGGGTGTATCACTTGTACATTAGGGGCAGTGATGGGCGTGGTGTACCTAGCATCAAAACATACTACATACTGCTTGCTTGAGAGTGGCACACTAGGCAACACTATAGGGATTGTGTTGTGGGCTCGGCTCTCCCTAACATACAGTATCTCCCTTCCTTTTGTATTTTGTAAACCATCCCTGTATTATCCCATTTTAAACAAATTCATATGTTTACTTGTGCGACTTGTTGTTTTGGTAATCTCGCCAGTCGACAGAGCCAATTCATTTGTGGGCACGGCGCAGTACGTGTCACCAGAGCTCCTGCAGGACAAGGTGGCATTCAAAAGGTGCAGCATTTGTTATTCATGCATGCTTGTGTCTGTATAATTGATAGACAGTGTGTCTGTGAAATCTACGCGCGTTAGAAGCAATGGGCCCTCGTGTTGTAGCGTTCTGAGCGTGTGAAGGCCCCACGGGCTTCTAACACGCATAGATTTCAAGTGTCATGTGTATAATTTTTTATTACTTTTTCTATGACTGAACAGAGAGAATGTAATCATTACCTCACTGTTATTTGTAGCTCCGACCTTTGGGCCCTTGGCTGCATCGTGTACCAGCTACTTGCTGGGAGACCACCATTCCACGCTCCGTAAGTTCCTCCTCACGCTCTCTCTTCCCTTCTGACACTTCTCTCTCTCTCATTTGATTTTGGTCCAAACTAATGTGCAATGAAAAATGTGTATGAAAAGAGGTGAGGGTAGGATTGAGTTGAGGTACTTGTTCTATAGAGGGGTTGTACTCTGAAAAATTACTTGTGTTGCATCTTACAGGCATAATTCGGAGCGTCATTGTCTCGCTGCCTTTCTCTCCTCACAGCAATGAGTACATGTGCTTCCAGAAGGTGATGAAAGGGGATTACGTCGTCCCTGATGGGTTCCCCGACCAAGGAACCGACCTAGTCAGATCTTTACTGGTGAGGTCATAACGACATCATCGACCGGGCACTGTTCGTCATTATAGGGTCATTTGTATTGTGACAGGTGCTGGATCCTACGAAGAGACTTGGCTGTGATGCAATGGGAGGGTACACTTCATTGAAGACACACGTTTTCTTTGCAGGTACATATAATGTATAACGAATTACATACCGTAAACAGAAAAACTTTCACAAATTTCACGACAGCTTTCTGTACTTGAACCAGGATCATTTCTTATTGAGACAGACAATGTGTATGTCCTACCGATTTGTGAGTGTTTGAGCTATAGTTTCATCCGTAGAACTAGTATATACACTCCAGATATACAATTTAACAACTCATTTCTCCCTCCCCTCCCTCTCCCTCTCTCTCCTCTCTCCCCCTTCTCCTCTCTCTCCTCTCTCTCCTCCCTCTGCCACAGATGTTGACTGGGAGACAGTTCCAGAGCAAGTGCCACCGAAACTGATGCCATATCTTCCCTCCAGTGTCAAGGGAGAGGAGGGATTGAGGAGTGACTATGTGAGCACACACACCCTTTCTCTCTCTCTCTTGTTTTCCCAATACCAGATGAGGGAGTTTTTAAATATCCCACAGCCTTCTTGTTTGGTGGGAGTGGTTGTTTCATTGTTTTGCTGTGAAAAGCCCCCCTTCTTTATGTTGAAAATACATACCTGACTTTGTGTTGTGTTTTGGGCTCCAGGTTCTTTTTTGGTGGTCAATCTTTAGTCCCTTTACATATGTATCACACTCAATACCTTGTATAGTAGTATAGAGGGAAAACTAGAGTTTTCGGCAATAAAACAGTACAAGATTGCTGAAATACATGCACCTGTTAAAAGATGTACAGAATACTAGTGGAACCTCCTCGATGTCTAGTGTTATCTGCATCCTCGTGTGTGTGTGCGTGTGTGTGCGTGCATGCGTGTGTGTCTGTGTGTGTCTGTGTGTGTCTGTGTGTGTGTGTGGTGCAGATTGTGGAGGGTGGGAATGGGGATCGGGAGTTTGAGGATCGGTTTCTGCAGTGTTTTGGTCTGGTGGACCCTGCACCAGACCCGTCCAGAGAGCCTCGGACGGCCAGCGAGGCCAGCGCTGAGGAGAGGAGACAGAGCCTCAGGAGACAGGCTGAAACATCTCCCTGGTATATATATAGGAGACACCTAACTCTTCGTTACTGTAAATACCAAGTTCATTTAACTATGTGTTGAGAGAATAGTCCACTCCTTTAAGTATGTAAGTAAAGATTTGAAAGGTCGCAGTCTTACGAAACTACGATACATTGTATTTGGATACGAGTTGTGATGGAAGTTTTTGTGTTTAACCCACAGACTTGCCTATTACATTAGCAATCTGTTTTCCCCATTTAGTGTACATGCTATCGTGTGGAATGAATTGTTTGCGCTCTGCTTCTCATACCCACACAGGCACAAGTTTGTCAACAACGAACTGATAGTCAAGACTGGACTAGTCGACAAGAGAAAGGTCAGTCTACACTACGGCATGAATCTTTTTTAAAATTAATGGAGAAAAATGTGACAAACTCGCGAAAGGTTTCTCCGCGACTGTCTGTGTGAAACGGAAAAAAATTGGTTGGTTTTTTTTCACAAAATAGTTTCTCAACTGCTCCCATTATATGTGCAGTACGGTACGAAATTCCACTCCACTAGCGTGTGAGATGTGTGTGATGGTGTGTGTGTGTGCATGTTGTCATTAGGGACTCTTCAGCAAGAGACGGCAACTCATAATGACTGACGCTCCTCGACTATACTACATCGACCCGGTTGCCATGGAGCTCAAAGGAGAGATACCATGGTATGCAACTCAATTCTAGAATGTGTATATAGTTGTTCAATGCAGTCAGCATCTACGGAGTTTTACTGTTGCAAACTGAGTGATAATTATGTCTCTAGTAAATGTGTATTATGTGGTGCACAGTACATATCTATTGTAAATGTGGTGCATGTATCTGTCTTGTGTGGTGCATGTGCTGTTGTAATGCTATAGGTCTTATGTATGTGGTGCATCAATGACTTGTGTTATGCTGTTGCCACTTCATGTTATGTGCATTTTGCAGGTCCAATAGCATGAGAGTGGAGATCAAAAGCTTCAAAATATTCTTTATCCACACAGTAAGCAAAACTGTAGAATATACTTTCTGTTGCTGCATACCTTCGAGCTACAATAGCAAACCTGTCAACTTTCAAGTCTATGCGCACAGCTGGAATTCTTCCGCAACCTTACCTGATGTTTTTAATAGTTGTCATGCCTTGAGGGTGAACACGGGCGCCAACATAGCCTCCTCTCTTGCGCTAAGCTGGAGGCGAGAGCAGTATTTGCGTTCTTCAACACCACAAAAATCACTTGTAGCCGTATTCTCCAGTTCACTGACCTTCCGAGGTGCCTTATTACCTCTTTATTATCTCATTCCCTTCCCAGCCAAACCGTACCTACTACCTTGAAGATCCGACAGGCCACTCGAAGGCCTGGGTGGACACTATCAACAAGCGGTTGTCACAACCAGGCACCTCCCACACACACTAATAGGACTCCTCTCGTTTCTTACACACCAATTCACTTATTGTGCACGTGTACAAGAAATAATAATTATACTACCGCTTTTTTCAATTTTCAGCTGGCAAAACAGGTTGTTTTTTTTGCGCATGCGTAGTTTGATTAGCACGCGCGCGCTCGCTCTAGCTCTTGAGCTGAGAAAGAGATGCTAGCTAGCCACCTCATCGGCTTGTGAGAGGTGAAGATTGGCTCGAGTGGCAGCAGGAGAGTAGCTGGCGCTGGAGCCCAAGGCAACGAGCCAGCAACAGGCAACAACAGTATCTCCTCGGGGAGGTTCAACACAAGGAGAGCAGGAAGAAGCGGAGGAGGCGGGGGTGGTTGGAGTAGGCTACTTCTGGGAGCTAGACGGACGGCGCAAGTTGCTCCCGTACGAACAGTGTTTGTTGCAGCAGCCGTAGAAGACTGTGATCGCAGTAGAACAGAGTCGGCTCTGGGCCTTGGCGCTGCTACTGTCGAGAGGAAGATGTCTTTGTGCGTGAACGAAGGCGAAGAGCAGTTTCAGCAAGAGGAGGAAAATGCGGAGCTGAGCCCAGACCACAACGGTGAGCGTTGAAACCCACGCCACGGACAGCGCAGCAGGCTTTCTCTGCACACGCAACTGGGCATGGTGGGCACTAATTAGAACAACCTGCACCCGAGCAAGCATTCTCCGTTTGTATCAGGCGTGCAAGTACTGTGTTTGGGTTTAGCTGTAAAACAAACACACACGCACAGACCCTCTGCCTCTTACAGTGAATCATAAACTCATTTCTCTCTCCAAAGACACACCATCTCCTCAAGTTGGGAGTCCAAAAGCTGACAGTGACTTGAACGGCTCACCACACCAACCTGTGGCGACCGAGGCGGAGGAGGAGGCCCAGAAGGAGGGAACTAAGGACGGGGAGGAGACCAAGGAGGGGGAGAAAGAGGATGATCCGTGCACCAGACCAGAGGGTGTGGTCCACTTTGTTGTGACGGATCCGACCAATATGGAGTCCCGTCTCAGCAACCCGGTGGTGATCAGGAATGTACCTTGGTGAGCTCCATCACACATCTCTTATTCACTCCCTCTTTCCTTATCTCCCTCTCTCCTTTTGTCATTCCCTTATTCCCACTTTTCCTTCACCCGTACCTCCACTTCCTCCCATCTTCCCGCCTTCCCCACTTTCCTCTACCCGCCTCCCCACCCTCTCCTTCAGGAGGATCTTGGTGATGGGACGAGAGATCAAAACACCAGAAGGAGTCACCAAAAGTCTGGGAGTTTTCGTACAATGCAATCCTCTTGCACCAGAATCGACGTAAGTGGAAGAAAATCCCTCGCGGTGCCTGCTAACCCACGGAGCGTGTGTGGTAATGTATTGACTGTCATAGGAGCTGGCACGTGTGGGCGAAGGCTACCATAACTCTCGTGAATCACGAAAACTTGACCAAGTCGTTTGCCAGAGGTACATACGTACAGTTACAACCTACAGCATGTCCTCTTCTATGGTAACATTGATGCTACAACATGTTGACTACTGCAACATTCATTGGATAATTACATGTTAATTACTCAACTTTTATTGGATGCCTCTCGTGTTATTTACTGTAACATTGAGTTGATTCCTCTCCTGTTAATTAATTTAACGGTTCATGAGATACTAATTGGTTACCTCTCCTGTTCATTACTGTGTTGTTGATGGGGTGCAGAAGTGTACGGTCGTGTGCTGTGTTTGTTGTTGTTTGTTTGTTTGTTTGTTTGTTACAGAGATCAGCCACTGCTTCTGTCAGAGGGAAAACGACTGGGGCTATAGCAACTTCATCAGCCTCAAGGTATATACACAAAAAAGGACAAATTATTCGCGTGTTGGAGGGACTTAATAAGTAATTCGGTGGCAATATATTTTTCTCCCTTACCTAGAACGACGGGCATTGTTTGCGAGCGAACGTGACAGTTGCGAAACAAATACAACACATTAACATATTATAGAAGTGTGCACTATTCAGATTACTACATAGCTTGCTTTGATCGCCAAAAACTTACCGCTGCGTGGCATAAGCCCCCTCCCTTCTCTACATACTGCCCCAGGATGCTATTGAGCCTGCAAATGGGTACCTAAATGATGGAACTCTGGTGCTTGATGCTCTAGTAATGGCTGATCCTCCACACGGCATTCAGTGAGTCACACACACAACTTCTGTACCCTCACGAGGGAAGGATGTGTCAGAAGATTGTCTGTTGTAATATGTAATACATAATGTTTGACCGTCCCCCCTCTCTCTCTTTCATTGTGTCTCTCTCTATCTTCTCTCTCTCTCTCTCTCTCTTTCTCTCCCTCTCCCTCGATCTCTCTCTCTCTCCTTTCTCTTCTTGTCATCATTTCCCCCTATGTACCCCTCCAGATGGGACTCACGTAAGCACACGGGCTATGTGGGTCTCAAAAACCAGGGAGCCACATGCTACATGAACTCCCTCCTCCAGACCCTCTACTGCCTCCCCAAACTGAGGAAGGTCAGTCAGCCAAGCCTCACACACACAGTGTGTGTTTTAAATACACAATCGTGTTCAGAATTCTGGGTAACTTTTATGTAAGCAACAAGTAATCCTTACAATTTGAAAAGGAACTGTTGGTTATATTGATACTAGAGGGTTGATAAGTTGTAAGAAGACTTTGATGTGAATATAGAATGGTGGATTATGGTTTCTTGAAGAGTAATACTGTACGGTCCTTTGTACTACTACGTACATATGGAATAATACCCAGGCTGTACAGACCTTACCTTTATGAGAGGAGGCGGTTGGAACAGGAGTGGGAGGAAGCATAAACTTCACCTTTTGCTTATACTACTAGTCCCCCGTGGCCTAGCCTCCACGTGTAGACTAAGAACTAGACTATTACGAGGCTGTGTATGTGTAAGTACATAGTGTAGTACGACGTATGTCTGTGTATGGACCACTGCAGGCAGTGTACCAGATGCCGACAGAGAGCGATGACCAGAATAAGAGTGTCCCTCTCGCTCTCCAGCGGCTCTTCTATGAGCTGCAACACAGGTGACCTCCTCTCTTCTATGTTTTCACCTCTCCTAGCCAGAACCTTTACAAATTTGGCATGTGTTCTCTTTATCTTACGTAATTACGCTGTCCTTTTCTCTGTGTTAGTGTTTTTTTTTCCTCCGTGAACCTGTTTTTATTTTCTATGCATTTTTATTTCACGCTTAAACCCCTGCTTTACATTATTTCATCTGGACACGCTCCCATCTGGACACCCTCCCCCTCTCTATGTTTCCTGCCTGAGCAGTGACAAGCCGGTGAGCACGAAGAAGCTGACCAAGTCGTTTGGATGGGACACGATGGACATTTTCATGCAGCACGACATTCAGGAGCTGTGCAGAGTTGTGAGTCACAGGGGGCGTGGTTTATATCCTGTCTTCTTTGGGGTGCACGTGAGTGTTTGAACGACTGTTTGAAGCAGTGCATTGCGTGTTTTTCTCCATGGCTGGTTGGTCTCAAACAACAATAGCTTTTTCATACAAACTTTATATTATTAAGACTGCACCAGCCACTATGTGTCTGTTGTATGATCAGATCAACTGTGTACAAGTTTGCTGGGTGCTCATGTAATCGGACCAACTATATATAAATTTACTGGGAGTTTAGTATATATATTTTTGTGTCCACAGCTGCTGGACAACATTGAGAGTAAGATGAAGAACACAGTAGTTGAGGTAAGACAGCCTGACACGTCCAATTCAACACAAAGGCCAGCTTAAATTGTTTGGGATAGAAATCTGTAGGTAATAGGTGAGAGATCTGCATGACATCGTGAAAATTTCATTGTTTTACCATTGTATCAGTATGTTGCGTGATGTTTAGCTTTTTTGTTCTTATAAACTTTCAGGGTACTATTCCGGGCCTTTTTGAAGGCAAGATGGAGGTACGTACGTACATACAAACTAAAACCTATACTTAACTGTGGCAAATGTGAGGTTTTCTCTCTCTTTCAGTCGTACATCAGATGTACACATGTGGACTACGAGTCAGCACGGTATGGAGTGTTTATATTGTATATGCCCACGATGGAACGAAGTGTTCAGTTGCCTTTGGTCAATGTATGGCTGTTGATAATATACATACATATTGTGTATGCCCGTTGGTCAATGTTCAATGTGTGGCTATGATATACATACATATTATAGGGTGGAGACTTTCTTTGACATTCAACTCAACATCAAAGGAAAGAAGGATGGTAAATAAGTATGTGTTTATCTTGTGTGCAGTAGGTTATCTGACATACTGGTCTGTATGTTGTACGTCAGTCTGCCTTGTTACTTCATTTAAGACTAAGTTTTGAGTCACGAAATTTGTTGTTGGTTACCCCGTGGATGCCATAAGAAAAACAGGTTATGAACATGGGTTGCGAGCTTGGAAAATGGAAAATGATGACCAGCATTTTGTGACTTGGTCTTGAATGAGGAACCAGCCCCAGTCTGCGTGTGTCATTCCTGCAGTGCATGCCTCGTTCATGGACTATGTGGCTGTGGAGACATTGGACGGGGAGAACAAGTATGATGCTGGGGAGTATGCGCTGCAGGTAATACACATCTACCATAACACTGTATACATGGGGTTGTCTTATGATTATACATGATGTGGGGCATTTTTAATAATAAAACAGTGTTCGCGTTGCATGCACATGCGATCACTTACGGGGAAAAACAGTCTCTTCTCCCTCTTTTGTCTGAGCATGAGCCTTTTCTCTTCAGCCATTTTGCAACTATCCCCCCTCTCCCTCTTCGCCTCCATTTCCATTTCCGTCTCTCTCTCCTCACTGCCTCCGCCCTCTCCAGGAAGCCAAAAAGGGAGTCATCTTCCTGAAGCTGCCTCCTGTACTCCACCTCCACCTCATGAGATTCCAGTACGACCCAATCATGGACACCAACACCAAGATCAACGACAGGTTCGTCGCTTTTTCTCTTCAAATTTGCCACCATTTTCTCTATCTGAGCCTCCAAATAAGCTATAGTGTTCTGGGTCAACAGTGCACTGACAGTTCTGTCTCTTGTATTTTGCATAGTGGCCATAGATAACCTTGAACTGCACACTCCAGCTATGGTTAGGGTATTCAGGATGGTTGGTTGGACTGTCCTTTGTCCCACCTGCTTGCTAAAAGTACGAAGAATTTAGGTCGCCCTATTTTCATTCATCCCGTAGCACTGCAATCTCCAGCTATGGTTAGGGTATTCAGGATGGTTGGTTGGACTGTCCTTTGTCCCACCTGCTTGCTAAAAGTACGAAGAATTTAGGTCGCCCTATTTTCATTCATCCCGTAGCACTGCACACTCCAGCTATGGTTAGGGTATTCAGGATGGTTGGTTGGACTGTCCTTTGTCCCACCTGCTTGCTAAAAGTACGAAGAATTTAGGTCGCCCTATTTTCATTCATCCCGTAGCACTGCAATCTCCGCTATGGTTAGGTACTGTCAGATGGTTGGTTGGACTGTCCTTTGTCCCACCTGCTTGCTAAAAGTACGAAGATTTAGGTCGCCCTAGTCATTCATTCATCGTGCACGCATCTCCAGCTATGGTTTAGGGTATCAGATGGTTGGTTGACTGCCTTTGTCCCACCTGCTTGCTAAAAGTACGAAGAATTTAGGTCGCCCTATTTTCAATCATCCCGTAGCACTGCAATCTCCAGCTATGGTTAGGGTATTCAGGATGGTTGGTTTGGACTGTCCTTTGTGCCCACCTGCTTGCTAAAAGTACGAAGATTTAGGTCGCCCTATTTTCATTCACTCCCGTAGCACTGCACATCTCCAGCTATGGTTAGGGTATTCAGATGGTTTGGTTGGACTGTCCTTTGTCCCACCTGCTTGCTAAAAGTACGAAGAATTTAGGTCGCCCTATTTTCATTCATCCCGTAGCACTGCAATCTCCAGCTATGGTTAGGGTATTCAGGATGGTTGGTTGGACTGTCCTTTGTCCCACCTGCTTGCTAAAAGTACGAAGAATTTAGGTCGCCCTATTTTCAATCATCCCGTAGCACTGCAATCTCCAGCCATGGTTAGGGTATTCAGGATGGTTGGTTGGACTGTCCTTTGTCCCACCTGCTTGCTAAAAGTACGAAGAATTTAGGTCGCCCTATTTTCAATCATCCCGTAGCACTGCAATCTCCAGCTATTACCCAGGCTTTCAGGATAGTTGGTTATCCATTCCTTCCCTCCACTTGCTTTAAAAAAGTACGAGAAGTTTGTTTTCCACCACCCACTCCTTCCACTGCACCCTCCTGCCATATTCAAGAAGTTCCGGCCACCCTATTAGAATGTGTGTATATACATGAGTTGGTAGAGCCGAGCAGAGTGTCGTGGGTTCAAATCCCTCCCAGGGCAGCTCTTCCTTTTTCCTGGGTGTAGTTGACTTGTTTGCTTTGCCTTTGCCTGTCTTCCTCACCTAGTTGTTGTTGACACATGAAATAGTTACGCCGGAACGTGAGTCTGTATGTCTGTAGGTATGAGTTCCCCGAACACCTCAATCTGGACCGTTTTCTCAAGAAGCCCGAGGAAACCCCTGCCAATTACACCCTCCACGCAGTCCTCGTACACAGCGGGGACAACTTTGGAGGTCACTACGTCGCATACCTCAACTCCAAGAGAGATGGCAATGTGAGTCTCAACGTTTGACACTAGACAGAGGTTGAAATGAACGAAATGTTTTAGCATAGCGACGATGCTCTTAGGCACAGATATTATGCTACACCTTTAATCCAAAAATTTTCCAAAAGTAACGGCTCGAAAAGTGTGTACTTCCTGTAATCCAGGCTGCATTATAGAATCGAAGTTTATTTTTGTATTAAGTTATGCCGTGTCACAACGATGGCTGATGCAGGGGTTTGCATCAATGTTACGAACCTGCCTTAGAGCTGGGTAATTTAATCATAGTTTCCTGGACTTGGCATCTAACTTATATTTATTATTTCTGTTGCTATTACCTTCTACAGTGGCTCAAGTTTGATGACGACATTGTGTCCAAGGTTGGCAGTAGATTCCATTTCTTTGAGTGTCTAAGTGTTAAAAAAAACACCTCTCGTTACAGTGCTCTGCAAGGGACGCAGTAGACCAGAACTTTGGAGGTAGTGAGGTCAGTAATGTATGTAGCTCCATCCTGCGGGGATTACTGCTACAGTAATATGGCGAGTAAAATTGCAGAGACAATCAATTATATAACTCTGGGATGTTGAAGGACACATAATTATGTGTCGATATACGTGACAAATAGTATTACGCGGTTTTACGTGGTAACAAGTGAGTACAAAAGCAGCGATTTCCTAGATCGACTGGTGCTTTGTAGCAATTGATGCTGCATTGTGATTACTGCCGCTGTCTTCTGTATACATATTAGGACAGCTTGGGGATCCGCAACTGTACCAATGCCTACATGTTGGTGTACGCCAGAGAAAGTTGTATTGGTGAGCTATGTACATACGTACCTACTCAGCCATGTGTGGCTATAGGACTTGTTCACGTGGACGTATGCAAGAGAAAAAGAAGAGCTGTCCTGGGTGTAGTTGGTTTGTTTGTTGTGCCTTTGCCGTTCTAGTACCTCGTAGTTTTCACATGAACGTACAGTATGTAATGTGTGTGTGTGTGTCTATTAGATGAGGTTCTACAAGATGTGAGGGAGGAGGACATTTCTCAGGAGCTTGTGAAAAAGTTTGATGCAGAAAAGTGAGAGTTGTTAAATCTAGCACGTGTAGATATTCCCCTTTTTGATCCCTCTCCTTCTTTCCTTGTGCCTCTCTCTTCCTTCTCTTCCCTTACATACCTTCCTTTATAACCCCTTTCCTTCCCTCCCCACTGTCCTTCTTCTTGCCCCTCCCTCTCCTCTACATGTATGTTCCTCTGTTCCCCCTTTTTTTCCTTCTCCCCCCTCCCTCTCCTCCTCTCTTGTTTCTGTCAGACGCCTGGAGCAGCAGCGACGTAAGGAGCGAAACGAGGCTCATCTCTACATGACGGTCGAGATCTATCAGGAGGATGATTTTCAGGCCCACCAGAGAGCCGACCTCATCGACTTTGACGATGTCAAAGGAGGGTGAGTCAGGCAGGGAAAGAAAACGCTAACTTTTAAAGTCCCATGCAAAGAAAGTGTATATACCTGCATCCTACAGCATGTACAAAAGTTGCCTTCCTAGCTCCTTCAGAGTGTGAAGTTAACCAAAGTGGACCTATAAAAAAATTAATTAAAGTAAAGGAAATTTCGCCAGAGATAGAAGCAACTAGTACATATATAGAAAGCTTTTCTGGGTTCCAATGTGCAAGGCTAACCATAATTTCAAGCTGCAATTTACAACGCCACATCTTGCCAGTACTCCGACAATGCACACGTTCGTTCGTGTGCGTTCAATGCCTCTTTGGGCAATTTTACAGTCACTGTGAGTGGCTCTTGCTGAATTCGTCGCAGGTACATCAAGTGTCTGAAAATCACGACTTTCCCGGAGTTTCACCAGAGCCTGGCTACCATGATGGTATGTAGTATATAGTAGTCTCTTACGTCCACCGAGAGTGATTCGTTGTATATGCTGATTGCAGGGATATCCCTCCGAGTGCATCAGAGTGTGGCCGTTTGAGAAGAGGAGCAACAACACCACCAGACCTGGGTACTTGGAGAAACTGGATGACTCCAAAATCACAGTAACAGCTCTTCTTTCCAATGCTTGTAGCTCTGATGATGCACACATGCTGTACAATTGGAAACACTTCGGGGGGAAATGTTTTCATGAATTTCACACGTTATGATCTCTGTCTGGGAAAACTTTTCTCTGTATTTGTACAGCGGGATGTATAAGCAATCCATGAAAATTTTCTTAGCGAAATTCTCAACAAATATGCACAGTTCTTCACCCGCGAATGTTTCCAGTGGTATAATATACACACTTATTTGCCCGTTTGCCATTTCAAAACAGTTGTTCCAGCACGCAGAGCAGAGAAACGTATGGAGAATATTCGTGGAGACACTGCCAGCAGGTGAACCTGTATAGTCTGCGTCTGTATACGCGGTGGTGAAAATTGAACAGTGTATTATTATTCTGCTTTCGATCTCTCAGATTCCAAGCTTGAGTGTCTGAAACCCTACAACTTTCAGCGTGAGTGTGTAAAAAAGATATTTACTGTTTTCTGAAGTTGAAAAAACGGGAAGAAGGGAATAAAAAGTGGAAAGGTTTGTAAAAATGAAGCGGAAAAATTCAGCCCCTTGAGAGATTTGAACTCTCGACCCCTGGTTTACAAGACCAGTGCTCTAACCACTGAGCTAAAGAGGCTCTTGATGGGTGAAGAACTGAATAATGTTGGCCTATTTCCTGTGAACCTTAGAAGTGGAAGGTGCACAGAAGACTGACCACAAAAGCTTTTCACTTCTGACCAGGCCTTTTAAAAGTTCATGCTGTGTATAAATTTGGCTAAGCTACAGTGTTGATGCTAATAATGCACTGTGGATATACCACTGTGGTGTTCACTTAGCTTTAATGTGTATCTGTGATATTGAATTTCCGACCAAAAGCATCTCGATTCTGCAGAGGAGGTGCTGCTGTTCTTCAAGTACTACAATCCCACCACCAGATCCATATCCTACGTGGGACACTCTGTGGAAAACATCGAGACAAAGTTCCGTGAGTACACGCATTCTCTGTTCTCTTATGTCGTATGTGTGGCAATTCGGACGGCAGTGTAGATGTTCATACGTAGGTGCACAGAGTAATAAAAAAATTTTTGCAGGATGAAAAATTAGCAAAATTCAATTGACCTAATGTTTCAGATGTGCGTTTGGTTTGTGCCGAAAAAGTCATGAAATTTGTAAAATTAACAGGTGACTGCATATATTCTGTGCAGGAGATCTCTTTCCTGGTATGAGTAAAGCTGCCAGCCTGCATCCTGATGTACCACTGTTGATATTTGAGGTGAGGCTAGCTGTCGTGCCTTTAACACTACTACTGTATGGCAGGGAGAAAATTTGGAGGGAGAAAACCTCACATGAACTTTGTGGTTGAAGGTCAAACTGCAGACGTTTTTGTCAATGTGAAAAATTTGTAGGCTGTGCCCCGCATTGGAAGTGATCTGTGTTAGGTTTCTCGGTCGATGCACCCAATAGTGAAGTATTTCTCCCTCTAAAGTTTCACGTTATGATGGCGAGTGGTGTGCAGAAATCATTGTGTTTTTGCCAATGTTTGCAGGAAATCAAAGCAAACATGGTGGAAAAGATCGATCCTGACATCAAAATTGGTCAGGTAATGAACCAGTTACTTGTATATAGCTTGCCTGTAGTGGCAGTAAAGCGACTCCGTTTTCTCTCCATCCCTCTCTCTCTCGTCTCTCTCTCATCTCTCTCCCCACCTCCCTCTCCCTCTCTCGTTCCTTCCTCATTTTGTAGTTGGATGAGTTTAGAGATGGCGACATCATATGCTTCCAGAGGTTGGTGTGCACTCACTTCGTACAATATGCTCCTCAATGTTACTAATATTCTGCTACGTATTTGTATAGAGCTGACCTACACCTGGAGAGGTTACAACTTCCCATGGTGCCCGACTACTTCAGGTGTGTATATATGTAGTACACCAAACTGCCGTATAATAATATCTTTTGCAAAATATAATGTTTGGGTGTGATGACCTTCAACGTAATGGTATGATTGGAATCAAAATTAGCACTAGTGTTGGGGTGTGTAATACCGACTGGTACTGCCGGCCCTGCAGGGAGCTGTACAACAGGATAGTGGTGACGTTCATAGACAAGAACCTACCGGGAGACACTGGAGTGACACTCACCCTCAACCAGAGGATGACCTACCCAATTGTACGGCTCTCTCTCTCTTCAATAACCACAATGTTTGGCTTAAAGCTGCAAATTTTGATACATAAAAAAACTTTTTCACATTTTTTCCACATTTTTGTGATGTAGCTTTGCCAAAAAAGAGATCTGTAAGGTAGCGCTCTAAATACTGTACCAGCAAGTATATAGTATAGTGGGTCTGTAGAGTTGGCGGCACTATCTCATCTTTCTGTCTTGTTCTTCTGTGTAGATGGCAAAAGAGGTGGCCAGCATACTGGGCACTGACATGTACCATCTCCAGTTCTTCAAACCACAGGGGTACAGAACACATACCTTTTGTGAATTTCAATATTTGAGACCATCCGTTAAAAATTTGTGAGTAGGTGTACGTATGTATACCTGAACAAGTAATCCACAAAAAAAACAGAGTAATTGTACGAAATTCTCCATTTCCAGCCGATTGCAATACACTTTTTTGTCCTTCAAGACTTTTCCTGCAAATGTGTTTCTCTGTCTGTGGTGTGCAGGTCCCATCAGGACATCCCCATTCGGTGCAACAGTGAAGGCTCAGTGAGGGAGTTTGTGGGCACAAGACATCGCTACGAGGATCCCTACATCCTCCTCTACCAGAGAGTGAGGAATGAGAGTATTGTTCTGTACCATGTGTCCTGCACTCCCGTAGCTGTCCATCCCAATTCAAGAGTTTGAGAACAAGAAGTACTTCAGATGTTACTTCATCAATGACAGACTCAGGGAGGAGGTGTGTGTGTGTGTGTACTTCTCTCTCCTTTATTATATACTCTCTCATTCCTCCTCTCTCCCTCTCTCTTCCACCCGTTCCTTCCTCTCCCTCCCCTTCTCTCCTCTCCCTCTCTCCCGTTACTCTGTGGATGCAGAAAGAGCTGGATCTGTATGTGGAAAAGAATGGAACTGTGCTGGATCTCTTGGCAGAGGCATACAAAGACGTATGCAAATTTTAGAACTCTTACGGCGTACAACCTCTGTTGAGTTACCGTTTAATGTCAGGTTGAGACGGTTATGACAAGTGAAAGTGGGTCCAGAATTCTCAGGTTAGCTCTTTTTTCTCTTTCTCTCTAGTATGGAATATTTCATCGCAACTCTCTCTGTGTGTGTCTCTCTGTCATGATGTGTACATGCTAGGTTGGTGGAGGTCCTAGGTCATCGAGTGGTGGAGATCCATAGCTACGACAAGCCAGTCAGCGAACTTCATACACAGAAGATGTACAGAATTGAGGTAAAAGCCACCACTGGCTTTCTCTCCCTCTCTCCTCCTCCTCTTACGTATGTATGTGTGTACGTAATACATCCCAAAGTACTGTCATATGTGTGTTATGAAGTGTATAGAGCTATACATAGTTCATAGCATAACATGTGGTGATGTGTTGTATAACAGGAGGTACGCAAGGAAGAGGTGGAATTGGATGAGGATGAAGCTTTCCTACCAATAGCCCACTTCCACAAGGTATGTATGTATATTCCTAGGATTTCATATTGACCTGTGCCTATATATAATGTACACCAGGCTCCAGGCAACACCTTTGGGACTCCGTTTGTCATTGTGGTGAAGAATGTGAGTATCTTCTCGCTGTCTAATGCACTGTCTGTCACGTGACTGTCATGTGAGCAGGGAGAGAGACTCAGCAGTGTGATTGAAAAGATACAGTCCAGACTCAGCGTGCCTGAGAAGGAATTTGACAAGTACAAATACATTCCGCATAAGCAACCTGCTGAGAAAGCAATCCATTCCAGTGCTTATGTACAGCAGGGTACTGGATTTTACCTTCTTATCTCTCTAACAGTGGAGTTTGCTATAGTTTCAGGCATACAAGTCCTCAAGTATTACTCGGAAGGTTAGAACGGGCTTTATATACCATACCACAAATAAGGTGAACGTGTGTGTTTTATGCAGAGAGGATGATCCTATATCATATTTCCCATTTCTTTCTAACCCCAGTAGAGGTAATACATCTAATATCTGTGATCGTTAATGCTGGCACTGTATGTATTATATGGTGGTCCCTCCACCTCCCTATTAAAGGGTATTACATTTCCACGGATGGGGACACCTTGGTTTGGACTAGAACACATCAATAAGAACCCCAAGAGCATGAGATACACGGTAGAAAAAGCGATAAAGATCCACAACTATTCCACGGGCTTTTCTCTCATCTTTTGTACACTGTTGTATGTATAAACTGAAGCACTCACTTGTCCTTCCACTTCAATCTGCAATGTATAATTATTATACTATACTTCTTGATTTCACGTAACGATAATACTGCTGTGCTCTGCACTGAAATTTGCAAGCGCAACAACTGCACCAGTCAAGCAACCTGCCATCACACTAATATACAACCTAGCCGTCGTAATGCATGCTAACCATACCCAAGCACCTTTTTTCATTCAAGCTTCTTGGACGAGTTTAATAAAAACACGATGATGTTAGAATGAAGGTGACATTGTAACCAAAAAGGTACATGATTTCTCTCATGATAATGTGTAATGTATTAAAAACTCAGTAAAATTATGATGAAAAACAAAATAACGGACTAAGTTTCCGTATTAGTGAGAGAAGGGAAGGTGAGATGTGTGTTGTGGGACAAAAGAACTGGACGCCTAAACGAGTGGTCCACCATTTTTGCCAGGATTCCTTCAGAACGAGTCCTGCAGTCTCTGGAGGCATTCAGAACCTTCTTCCTTGACCCATCGGCAAACCAATCTCGTGAGGTCATTCCTTCGCACAGAGCCAGCGACTCCAGATCCAACTCCTCCTAATGCGGACTGGATGTGATCGATCAGGTCCATCGACTGAAGAAGGGGCGAGACGAGAATCGTTTTCAATGACGATCGGCGTGCCGTAGCATTGCGCCGGAGCCCTGCAAGGAGCCGCCTACTGCGTCGACTAGTAGTCTCGGAATCCGAACCAGATTCTTGATAAATCCTCCGCGACCTCGCCTGGGCTGCCATGCGAGAGTTGCCTGCTGGCCCAGCGACCTTGTGTTGTTGAGAAAGGACAGTTCCTGACTCCAGCCGCCGGAGACGCATCCTTCATCATCAATCGCCTGCTCTGTAGCAGCCTGTTGGTTGAACTGGTCGGCCAGAAGCTGGACAACGGAGCTCGAATTTTGTCTGAGCACGTCTGCAGCTTCGATGCTTCTCCCCTCTTTCCAAGCCAGCTGTGATTCG